TTCACGGGTAGGGTGGTACAGTTTTAAAATTAAACTTAGTATGAAAAGATCCGGCCCCTATTACGAAAATTGAGTTTCCCGTATTACGAAAAGTTCCGGGCCGAGGGTTCGAATGTTTTCTAAAAACACTGTAGGCAAAAAAAGAAGGTAGATGCTCCAGGAGGGGTTTGAACCCACGACCGTCGCGTTCCTCACACGACCGTGACTTTTGGTATAACCAAATTGTCGTAAAACGGCTATAAGCACGAAGCGCTAACCTCTGCGCCACTGGAGCATCAAGAGTCTGAGACAGACCATCAATTTTATCTACCCCCAGGACCGAACTCGGGAAGGCAGCCAATAGCAAAAGTTCTTAGCCACTGCTCCACCGAGCCGATTCTTGACCCATCAAACAGAGGAAAAACTTCTAGAGGAATGGCAATTACGTAAGCAAATGGACTCCGTCCTTATCTAAGCTAAAGTCTAAACAAGCAGCTTCTGACCTGGACAGCAACTACTCAATCGAGAGATATTGGCGATGCACAAATAGTTAGTGTTCCAGCAATTTCCAGACCGTTTTCTGGCTTGGCTTGGAGTTGTGCTATCTAATATAGTAACCTCGGAAGGCCCCCTGATGATCTCGCAAGGAAAATTCAAGCTTGACATTGAGAGAGAGTATCTTGGACAAATCGTCAAAGCCGGATATTATCCGCTTTGCTTATTTAACCAGTTGAAGATTGAGCATTATAACGGTAGTGAGAGAGAAAACTTCCCTAAAACTTGCTGCTGCGTGTAAGCTGTGGATGGAAAGGTACACAGTTCTCACCTTTTTGTACATTTTCGTGAATTATGCATGGTTCCTGTTAAAAGGGCCGCTTCCTGTAAATGTGTTTTACGTTTTAGATACCTTTTTTCTAGTTTTGAAACAGACAATGGGTTGGGATGTTTGCTCAATAGTTTGAATACAAGTACTGTATTTCCGGTATGGTACATCACTAAATGTTAACAATATAGAGAAGATTAGCAATGTCCTCCCGTACCATGCTTTAAAATATTGACCATTTACAAAATTCCTAACTAATTCATTCTCAAAATCTCTACTGCAGCAAATATAGCTTGTTTTGCAGCCAGCCTATAATAGGTAGCGACTTCGTCAAGTAAACTACCAACATGCTTGGCTAGATTCCCTGCTTGGTTTGACACTTATTAAGCTTATGCCATTGTTTGGTTGATTAGTTGACACTTTGTTAACCAATCGAGTTTCCAATTATCGTATTTTTTAGTCTGTTAACATCACAGTTAAATTGTTGTCCTTGGTACAAGTATGAAAATTATCCATTCGTGGTATCGCCCTTACTTCACTGCTTGGGAAAACACTACTGGTTTAAGAATCTTTGCGTTTTTTCTGTGGCGTATAATTACGATTAAGTGCACCGTGTTCCAGGGTGATATTGTAATGGATCCAAATATGAACATGAACAAAACTACTTTCTCATAGTCTTCCATGGAAGGCGCTGAATATACTCTAAGCTAATTTATGCCTATAAAAGCCGATGCGAGGCATGCTCCCTGGAATTACCTTTACTACATAGTTGTCCCACATTGTTTCTTGTCTTTTGGCTTACAAAAATTCAGAAAGCTGAGGTATACCAATGGGATCACGCCAATGTGTTTGTTTCCAGCTTAAAATCAACTTCAGATGCCCCAGGCTCTATATTTCCCGATCTCGAATCGATTTCGAATATAATGTAAAACCATAGTAATTGGGTACCATCTAGAAACCAAGTCGGTTTGCTCCAGGACGAGTCCTGGAAAGAGTGAGATTTGAAAACCGAGTACTCGTAGAGAGCCTTACGATAGATTGCATTCGCCCCTAAAAAATGAGAACAAAACTAATCCACGAGGATGGTTTACTAGCCCCATTGAGTACAAGAAATGTCTGAATTCAGCCCCGATATCATAATTGACATTGTAGTTGACACACGCCCAGCAAAATCAAGAGGCATGTCGCGTGTTGATTTCAATACTAGCCTGGATGCTTTTACGGTGGCTGAAGAGTCCATTTGCGGATAACACTAGAGAATGGTTCAGACAGATATTGATCTCACATGGGTAAACCACATATTCTGAAATTAAGATTATTTGCAAATTTTTGAACTTACCACAAGGAGGCATGCAAGAATGAAAGTCTTGGTACTCACGGTACGAAGCTAGTTGGCTCCTACAGAAGTAACTCTGGATGCTTAGGAAATCCAGTACCCGACTAGAAGTGGTTGTAGTCACGTGATACAAATTACTCGCTCCACATTGGATGAAAAATAGCTATACAGCAAGAAGCCAGAACCATTCAATGATACCAAGACAGCTCCCTTCGTCGGCTTTCAAACGGGTGGCCAGCAGGAGGGCCATCTCAATATCGAACCAACCTGAGAGGGCAGGTGGAATCTCCGATGTCTCCAATGTCAATGCTAAGGATAGCATCAAAGACGTTGAGCAGTTGATTAGCAACAAGGCGTTGGAAACTGCCGAATTCAAACCTTTAGGCAATCCCCAATCTGTTCTCAGCATATCTTCCCCAGCATCTGTCCCTGTCTATGTCAGAAGAGGGTCGTTGTTATCTATCTACGGGACTGGTGCCAATTCGTCTGTATCATCTGTGAGAAGCACGCTTGAATTCCTTTCGCCAGTCAGAAGGCTCCTTTATGGAGGGTATGCCTCCGCCTACCAGAAGTTAATATCAACCTCGCCCTTTTCTATCTTGGTATCTTCCAGCTCTAGGACGTTTTCATTGCTCAAGTCCTCGGATAACAAGTCGTTTGTGAACTTGATATTGGACGGCTCCAACGACTGGGCCATCCTCAACAAAAGCGCCTTGCAGGTGTACACGGGCAATTCGTTGATCATATCATTGCACACCTTGCCAAAGGTCATTTCCAGAAAGCTCCTCAAAACCTTGGGGTTGAAGGGCACTCAGAACACAGGTCTTTTCAAGTGGACCCATTCTGGCTATACATTATTGAGTGGAAGAGGACAGGCAGGATTGGTTGGTAATGGATCCATCTACAATGTCAATCTTGCCAAGAACGAAGAGTTATTGGTCAACAAGAAAAACTTGTTGGGAGTCACTGTCAACGGACCCTTCGATTTGAGCAACTGCGTGCACAAATACTCTTTTCCCGTGGCCCCTGTGACTGAGGCGCCCGTAGCCAGCATAAGTATCACCAATATCCACAATCGACCCGTTTCCGCTCTTGCGAAGGTCAAGTTATACGGCAGGGCCATTGGCTCGTACTTGGCCAAAATTGGCCAATTTTTCCGGTTGGGAAAGGGTTACACCTACAACTTCTTGGTAGGAAACCAGGACTTCATCAAGGTGATAGGGCCCAGAAGCTTGTTGTTGCAATCCAGCACAGGCCACCAGCATGTTGGCAGGGGCAGAAGACCACCCAGATCGGGCTCGGGAGTTCCTGCCACCACCGAGGTGGTAGTGGATGAGGTAGAGGTGGTTCCTGAAAGAACTTCCGCAGACTACTTGAATTACGTGACAGTACAGCCAGGAAAGGGGGTTGTATTTGAGAGCACCCCCGACTTCAAGGAGACCGTTAAGGCGCTTGAGAAGAAGTAGATTTGTATTATAGGCACCAATAGTCACCATGGTTAGACAATTAACACACCTTAAGATTGCCCACCCGACGCACCAGCCCTGTCAATGGTGCATGTGGCAGGTAACACCTTGCATAAATCTGCAACATACTCGCCACACCATAGGGGTTCAGTACCTGCATACACATGCAAGCCGTCATTTGCAGTTCGTAGAATTCTACTATATACACTAAGATACACAGAAATGCCTAGATACAAAGTACATCGCGCAATAAGATCGACAGCTCATGCCCCACTTATTGGTATTAGATAATTTCACATATGTTCGCCTGTTTTTGTCTGCGAACCCGACAGATTGCCCCCAGCTTTAACGCTTGTCTTGGCCCTCCTTTTGCTGGTTCCTAGCTTGCACCTTTTGGGGAGGCTGATCGGATTCAGTGGAAAATTCGCTCTGGGTGAAGGTATGTGGCCCAGAATATTGGCCGGGTGGAGGCCCGACTGGTTGTGTTGCGGCAATCGGACTGTGGCGAACAAATCCGTCCGAACCTGCCCTGACTGGAGCAACATTCATACTCTTCCAGTACTCGTTGATCTTACTTGGACCCGGAAGCTTCACGCCTTGTGTGCTGGCTTCCGAAATACTGTCTCGTGACAAGATTGGTGGTAGTCTGATGTGTCCGTTGTCAGAGGTGCTGAGTGAGCGTCCAATAGGAGACAAGGCGACTGGGTTGGCACTCTGCGTTCCAAAAGATTGCAGAATGGAAGGAATCCGTGGAAAGGGGCCGTCATCCTTGTGTTTCTGGCTCTGCTCCAACTCATGCTTTTGCACGTTGGAGGTGCTCAACTGACTCATGCCTGGAATGCTGGTGGTTTGGGAGTAGTCCCTGACAGGCAATCCACCAGAAGAGTAGCCATTGCTGACCACGGGTGGTTGGATTGGGTACAACATGGATTGCTGTGGATATTGATAGTACTGTACACCGTGGGGATCAGGCTGCTTGCGCTTGGCCTCGTAGTCAGCCTCTGGCAGAGTCTGAATATGGTTTTCGTCGTACTGATTGCCACCAAATACTCTGTTGCTCTGGTCCTCGGCATACTTCTTGATATTGTCATTCTTTTCGTTTCGGATTGCCGTCTTGGCCTCCTTCTCCTTCTTTCCCAGTTTGGGGGCCTGGGAAGGCACTCTAAGGCGCCCGTCGGAGCCAAGAGAGGGGGCCCGGTGTTTTGTGATAAAGGTTCCAGCACTGTTGGCTTCGGATGTGTTCAGGGACTCCTGCACGCTGGCACCATTCGAGAACACGTTAGCAGAGCCAGACCCTTCCGAGCGCATTGTGCTGGAAGCAGCAATAGAGTTAGAGCCATGGGATGGTACCGAGCGAGAGTTGGACCCCGATGAGTCCTCGTTGGACGAAGACGACCCCGAAGGACCAGAAATGGTGCAATCGTCCGATTTCGCAACCAAAGAATTCTGGGAATTACGTTCCGAATTTACCGAGTTGGGGTCAGGTGGTGAATCGACTGATTCAGGCGAGTCATTCTCCGACTTGATCTTGATGGTGTTGGAGTTGGGTGCACCTAAGGGCACGGGGTCGCTCGGCTTCAATGCATGTTGGAACAAGTCGTTTCTGTAGGTGGGAGTGGTGCCGGAATATGTGGATGATGTAGATGATTGCGACGACTTGTTGAGCTTTCTCTTGAGGACCTTGAGTCTCTCGGATGGCAAAAACACCGGCTCGGAGGGATCTTCGTTCTGGGAAGGATGGAACTCTTGAGCACTGGAACTGGGCCCCGAGCTCGAGGAATGTCGTATTTGGCCAGCAGCATGCTGGGAGGCAGTGAGGTTGGAGGAATGGGTGCTCATGTGGCTGTTGAGGTGCTGGTTGAAGTGCTGAGGGATGGAGGTAGTGTATGATTGCGCTGGAGCCATGGCAATGGTATTGGCAAGTGGGTCTGGGGCTGGAATTGTGGTGGTTGTGGCTGGGGGAACAAGCTCAGGGCCTGTAGACTCCTTGATACTGGAAAGCGGCATGCTGTCGTCCACCATGGAGTACTTGGAGATGACCTTGTTGATGGCCTTGAACAAGTCGCTCCAGCGGAACACCTTCAAGTCCTGCTCTATGTTTCTGGGGCGCGGGTCCTCCATGGACATCAAGAGCTTGAAGAAGCGGCCAAACTGCTTGTTAGTGCGCGAGATGGTTTGGGGCTTGAGCGACTGGAGATTACGTCTGATTCTGTTTTTCTCCTCGATGCTGAACGACTCTTGCACCAAGTACTCGAGGATCAAGATGATGTCCACTGAGGTGACGATGTGCAAGTCCTTCTCCTTCCAGAAAATGCATGAGATGATGGGTGACGTGTGGTCGTACTGTTCCTTTTTGATAGGATCGAACTGGACAAAGTACTCAGCAGGCGAGAGCCGTATGAACTTAAATTTGACGAGACGACGCTGGTTTTCCTTCTCTTCAAGGGTCCAGTTCTCGGTCATGGACGAGAGGTCCTTGTCGAAGATAAGCTTGACGGGAGTGTTGACGAGACTGAGGTTTTGGCGGATATAGTGGGGGTCCAACGAGGAAGTTCTCACCAAGTTGGGCCTACCTGTGTACTGTTTGAAGTTGGACATGCCCTGCTTTTTGGAGGAGACAGGCTCCAGCTTGGCGGGGCCAGGAACTTCGGATTTGGGTACCATAAGAACGCCCAGGAGGGGGATTTGGGCTGGTGGGAAACGCTGAGGTGATGGGCGGGACGAGATGATGTGATGGGCAGGTTATGAGACGCTTGGAAAGACAACTGGCTGGTAGAGACTAGTGTCGGGGAGGGAAGGTACACGGAAATGCTGAACAGTAAGGAAACGGGACAATTTGCAATGTAGGGTTCTGAGGTATAGATATGATAAATAAGGAGCAGATTTAACTTGCCACGATTCGTGGCAGAAGCTAAGCACAGCGAAAAAGCAATTGTTTAATTGCATGCGACTAGCCACGACAGAAACAATCGCCGGGGCTAATTGGGAAATAAGGATTGAGATGACGGTTTAGTGACGCAGCGTGTGTGTGGAGGAGCAAGATACCGTGCAGGTCGGTGTCTGAAGTCGAGTTTGGTGGAGAAGGCTACGTTTGCTACGGAAATAACTGGTGGGTGGCCGCCTCATCAGCAAGGTAAACAATTGTCTCAGACAGTGGATGACGGGAAAAAATCAGGCTCCGACACTTTTTGTTGCCCTGGTGGCTAATGGCCCAGTCTAGAACTGCTGGGGGAGGGTACCCAGCTTTGCAGTCAGACAATTGAGGATATATTGGCGGCATTTTTGTAGTGTCGGCGAGTGAGCAGCTGCGCCATACTTTGTCTGGAAATTTGGACGCACTGTCCGGGCCTTGCGACGTCATCAACATAATTAAGTCCTGGGATATTCGGTTGAGAAGGCCAGGGCTACATGTCCTAGGGATCCGCAACACTGTTGGAACTGGCCACTGAGTGTAGTGTCAACGTACCTGTCGTGGCGGCGGTGGTGGTGGTGATGGTGATTCACGCCTTGGTCTATTGCCCAGTTAGTGTCTGCTAGCATTCCGTGACTAGGAGGGGGTACAGGCGGCGCGAAGTGGGGCAGGAGCGTTGAATCGGACAGATTGTACAATCACCGCTCGTGCATATATTTCTGAAGAAAAGGTTCGCTTCCGACAAAACTGTAGAGCAATCATGCGACCATGCGCCGGTTTGCGGCACGCGCCACTCCCCGAAGTGGCGCATCGATGATCGTGGTGAGGCGGGGCGGCAAGAGCCGCTCCTCCACGTGACATAGAGCACGTGACATCAGTCGAGGCGCCACTTGATTGTGGTGTGTTTCCTGCGTGGAAACAACCGGTTTACGTCCAGGTTTTATTTCCTAGGCAGGACTTTTCAGCCGAGATTCAACTTCGAGTACTATTGTCTTAGAATTGCATATGAGTTTGGAGCTATTTAGGTTATCTTGGAAATGTTTACCTGCGGTTTGTTGACCGACACAGGTGGTCGGAAGTCAATGAGTCACGTGCAAAAGTTCCGGCTAAATTAGCTACACTTGCTGGGAAGAGCTGTTATGTGGGTGAACCTAGGTTGGTTAGAAGGCTAGCCTTTCGTAGCGAGGTATGTAGCTTTGTTAACGAATTGAAGAACTGACTTTCCTATGAAATTAGAGAGACGAGATCGCTCTTAGCATAACACCAACATATATATTGGAGTTTGATTAGTTCGCAGCCTCGTCAGGCTAGTACAGCAAATCCAAGCTAACATCGCCTCTCCATTTGCTGGAAATCTTTGAAGCACCCAATATATAGGCGAGATTAGTGAAATGTATTCCGTAATCCTTATCCAAGAATAATATTAAATTTATAAAAAATGATGCTACATTGCCATCAATACAACATATTAAACATCCAGCCTTTAACTCTCTTACAGTTCGATTTTTCTCCAATAGCTTAAGCTGTTTTGAGTAGCCTGAAGAATTACAGGAAACTGTCTTTGGCTCTTGGTTATTCATCTATCACTAATATTGAGCTATTAAAAAAAGTCAGCTCCACAAATTTTGAAGGAGAAGTGATGATCAATTTTATACACCTAGGATAACTTTGAAAAGTGATACATTCATGAAGATGCTGTACACTTCCTAACAAATAGACCAGACACATGCTTAGCCACCCATGTGATATCAGTCAGGTGACTAATGAAACACACTAGCCCCTCACGTGGCCCTCCATGTGACCATGCCGTGCGTTAACCGCTAAGAATCACGTGTATCTCCCAACGTGATACCCGCCGTCAACAAAAATTGTCGAAACCACTTATCTTTGTCCCCATCCATCCATCAAACTCGACAAGATGGCCCCAAAGGAAGAAGCCGTTTTCCGTATGTATCATGCACAACCCTGCCCCGCTCCCTACTAACTCCCAGGCTCTGCGGAAATGTCTTTGGTGCAGTTGTACGTCCCTACCGAAGTCTCGAGAGACATCATCTACAAGGTAGGTGAATTGAACTCGGTTCAGTTCAGAGACTTGAACTCCAAGGTAAGCGACTTTCAGAGAGCTTTCGTCAAGGAATTGAGACAATTGGACAATGTCGAGAGACAGTACAACTTTTTCAAGCAAGAACTCGACGAGAGAGACATTCCCGTGCAAACTTACCCTTTTGAACCCCAGTCGGTGGTTCCCCAATCCGTCATCGATGAGCACGTCGAAGACGCCCAGTTGTTGGAAGATAGGGTCAGCGAGTTGATCGAGTCTACTCAATCGTTGTATGAAAGACAAACAGACCTCGAACAGACCAAGGCCACCATTCAAGGTGTGGACCACTTTTTTGCCTTACACTCTGGTCCCCAAACATCGTCCGCTTCTGAGGAGGATGCCTTACTTTCCCAGTTGGAATCCCAAGGTGCTGTGTCTGATGCTCGCGGCTCATCATTTATTTCTGGTGTTATTGGCCGTGATAAGGTCAACACCTTGCAACAGATTCTTTGGAGAGCTTTGAGAGGTAACTTGTACTTCCACAGCGAAGAATTGGCCGACCCTGTTTACGATGCCCAATCAAAATCGAAGGTCAACAAGAACTCCTTTATCATCTTCTCTCACGGTTCTATCATCAATGAGCGTATCAGAAAGATTTGTGAGTCTTTGGATGCAGACCTTTACAAGGTTGATGTCACTCAAGAACTTAGATCCGAGCAGTTGAAGGAAGTCAAATCCAAATTGGCCGATTTATCCAACATTTCAGAACGTTCCGAGACCGCATTGACCTCCGAGTTAATTGCCATTTCCAAGGACTTGGCCAAATGGTGGGAGGTTATTGCCAGAGAAAAGGCCGTATACCAAACTATGAACCGCTGTGATTATGACGGTTCTAGACAAACTTTGATTGCCGAGGGTTGGATTGCTACCGATGAAATTGATGAGTTGACTGCAGCTATCAAGGGTGCCAGTACTTCTCAATCTATTCCTACTATTGTCAACATCTTAGAGACAACTAGAACTCCTCCAACTTATCACCGTACCAACAAGTTTACCGGAGCTTTCCAAGCTATTTGTGATGCCTATGGTATCGCATCCTATAGAGAAGTTAACCCAGGTTTGCCAACTATCATAACTTTCCCATTCATGTTCGCTATCATGTTCGGTGATCTTGGTCATGGTTTCCTCTTGTCATTGGCTGCTTTATTCTTGGTTTTGAACGAAAAGAAGTTGGGAGCTATGAAACGTGATGAAATCTTCGATATGGCTTATACCGGTCGTTACATTTTGTTACTTATGGGTGTTTTTTCTATGTACACGGGTCTCTTGTACAACGATATCTTTTCCAAATCAATGACTCTCTTCACCTCAGGTTGGGTGTGGCCAGAGCACTTCAAGGCAGGTGACTCCGTTCGTGCTAAGGCTGTCGGTACTTACGTCTTTGGTTTGGATTCAGCTTGGCATGGTGCTGAAAATGCCTTGCTCTTTTCCAACTCCTACAAGATGAAGTTGTCTATCTTGATGGGATACGTCCATATGACCTACTCATACTTCTTCTCATTAGTCAACTACGTTCACTTCGAAAGTGTTGTCGACATTGTGGGTAATTTCATTCCTGGTTTGATCTTTATGCAAGGTATTTTTGGTTACTTATCATTGTGTATCGTCTACAAGTGGACTATTGACTGGTTTGGTACAGGCAAGCAGCCACCAGGTTTGTTGAACATGTTAATTTCTATGTTTTTGTCTCCTGGTACTGTTGCCGAGCCATTGTATGCTGGTCAATCTTCCGTTCAAGTCTTCCTTTTATTTATTGCATTGATTTGTGTTCCTTGGTTATTGCTTTTAAAGCCATTATACTTGAAAAGACAAATTGATAGAGAAGCCAAGAACCATGAATATCAACAGCTCAACAGCGATGAGTTGTCATCGGAAGAAAACACCCACGAGGATGCTCACGACGATGACGACGAAGAGGGTCACGACGACCACAACTTCGGAGACATCATGATTCACCAAGTCATTCACACCATCGAGTTCTGTTTGAACTGTGTTTCCCACACCGCATCCTACTTGAGATTGTGGGCCTTGTCTTTGGCCCACGCCCAATTATCCACTGTTTTGTGGTCTATGACCATTGGTAATGCATTTGGAGCCACTGGTATTTCCGGTGTTTTCATGACTGTTGTGTTGTTTGCCATGTGGTTCTCTTTGACCATCTGTATCTTGGTTATCATGGAGGGTACTTCTGCCATGTTGCACTCGTTAAGATTGCACTGGGTTGAATCCATGTCCAAGTTTTTCGTTGGTGAAGGTACTCCTTTCCAACCATTTGGTTTCAAGGACTTATTAGCCGAGACTTTGTAGTCAAACCCCAAAATTTTATTCTTATTAATCAAACGTTGAACTACTGCTGACTACACTGTAATGAATATTGTCATATAGAATATGTAACAGCTAATTATCAAGTAAATTTATCACTTCTTCAAACTTTCGAACTTGATTTTGCAAGTCCCGTAGCAGATTCCAGAGTGCAGATTTGAGCCATTTCTAACATTCATTATGAGTTAAAGTTACAAAAATTGAAGGATGATTCGAATTAGTACAACATAATCTGGTTCCAATTGATTATTGTCGATTAATCGAAGGGTTCATGCGATCGAGTTTGTTCAATATGCTCACTAAATTATTCACAATAATTCTGATCATGGTTCTGGTTCCCAGTGTAAGCAAGTACAACAGGTCTTACATGCCATCGTGACCAGAATACGTTAGTTTCTATTGCTAGATTCGCAGCTGATTTTCCCGTCTTTTCGCAACCCCCCAGAACATACACAGTCTCATCGCACTCCACCAATTTTTCAACTCATCGCGAACAGACCACTTCCAACTGCACTGTGATGTCGATCCCCCTTTCCTTAATCATCAAGGAGCTCGAGTCTACTCCAGACTCGATCCTCTCGATCCTCTCTACCCTTCACTATGACAAGTCTATCCTCCTCAACATCACCAAGTCAGAAACCAATCACCTCATTTCCCGTACCTTGAACCTTACCAAATCCCCCGATGCATACAACAAGTGGTGTGGTACCAACTTGATTAGAGTCTTGGCTGAAAACTATACCATCTTGTCCAACAATGGTATTGTTTTACTTGAGCAATTACTCACAAATTTGGAGAACTACAACCATACCATCGATAGAAAGATCTTGACCAGTACTATAGAGGCAATCAACTTCATCTGCAAGCAGATCAGAGGAAAACCAACCTTGACACGTGAAATATTGACTCCAAAGTTGCCTACAATTATTACCAAATACCTCGATAACATCCATTTCAACCCGTTGTTAGTTATTGATTCCTTGTTCATTCTTGTAAAGCACCATCCTACCACCTTCAGACCATTCGGTAACAAGCTTGCCTCCAGATTGACTGGATTTTTGAACTTAGGCGAGTTTACTTCATTCCCTGAAAAGTTGAAGCAATCGATCTTCAAGACTTTGGCCATTTTGCCTGTGATTGAAAAGGCTGAACCAGAGGTTCAATGGGAAAACAACGTTAGAAACATTATCAAAGAGGTTGTCTCTATTTTATCCGTTTACAACGAGTTCTTGAACTTGAATGACGATGCAGATATCAAGAGATTATTTCAAAAGTTGCCAAGTGCCGAAATCGATTCAAAGAAGCTTCTCGAACCGTTGAACTTGGATGTCAACCAACCAAAGTCATTGTTCCAGATTTCCAGCAACATTGAAATTCTCCTCAACCTCCTTTCCACTTATCTTAAGGTAGAGACCCGTTTCAGTGTCAGGGTTCCTCTTGGATTAATTGTGACCTTGAATGAGTTAATTTGCTCTATCAATCTTCGTTTTGTTCAATTCAAGTTCGACGTGAGGGATGACGCCTTGAAATCAATCATCAAGGCCACCACCTTGAAGAACCAATTCAACGCGGTAAAGTTGTTGCAAGAGTTGGCATTGGTCTACAGAGGAAACGTTTTGCCTCACTTGACTAACATATTGTCTTACTTAGAAGTGTTAATTCCTTTCAAGAACAAGAAAATCGACTTCAATGAATTGTTGATCAACGAAGAATTAGCAGTGGCTCTTTTGTCATGTGTTGAGTCTTACCTTTCTTTGGTTGGAAATTTGGGTGACTCGTCCCAGTTATTGAGATTTGTCGACACTTCCTTGTTGTTGGTGGAACCAAGACTTGATTCAAGTCTTGCTCCAGCTGCTGTTAAGAAGGTGGACCAGCCTCAAGGCAAGAACAACAAGAAGAAAAAGAATACCAATTCCGTTGCCATGTCTGATTTGTTGTCTCACCAGCATTTGTTTGTGGAGAGTATCAATAGCGGCACCATTAAGGTTGTCCGTAGCTTTTTGAGTGCTATCATATCTCGAGTCAACTTACCACCCACTCAGCATTACAAGATCATGAGATATCTCATTTTGGAGGCCGTCAATGCTAAGTACTATAGTTACGAGAAGTCCGTTTCTCCTCAGTTACGAAACTTGTTGATCAACAGTGTGTTGTATCCAGGATTCGAAAAGGTGTCGTTGTTGCCCATCGTGTCCCAGTTGATTCCTCAAGATCCTCTTTTGAGCGTGTTCACCAATCCCAGATTTCCCCCATTGCCAATTTACGTGAAGAAGGTGGAAGAGCCCACTGAATTGGCTGGCTTCGGTGACAACGACGAGGACGAGGAAGTTGTCGAAGAAAAGACGACCGTGGAGGACGACTCTGAACCTTCTGCAAAGCGCAGAAAGACTGACCACGGTGAAGCTTCTGCCAGCACAGAAAATGGCGATGCCTCAGTGATCCCTGCCAAACCGGAGGATATCGAGATTGTCGACGAAGCTAAGGTATTTGTCACCAAGGAGGTCAGCTCCGAAGATGTTATTTCCTTCCCATCCGAGCCAGTGGTGCAAGAAGTCAAGAGGGTGGAGGTAGTCACCACTGCCCCAGTTCCAGCTCCAGTTGTGGCAGCCCCCAGTGTTGACGTAGCAGAGTCTGCTGCTGGTGACGACTCGGACTTTGAGATGCCAGAAATCGACCTCGACGGTGACTCCGACGATGACGAATAGGTAGCTATATACTTCAATAGATACTGCTGAACACCAGTAGCTTGTTGTAAGAGATCCCACCTCATCTACCTAACCCTGTAGAGTAAACTCCATCGAACACTACCGTCTCTACCAGTTAGCCCCGTATTCTCTACGAGCCTCGAAAGCTATTCCTCCTGGCATCTTTCCTGATTCGATGTATCATCACCCAGCGCGTAAACATCAATTGGCATCCAAATCATCACCATACACAAATACCGAGTCTACGACCGCCATGCACGACAAGACCAAGCTCCTCCTCACGGAGGACCTATCGCCACACAAGATAGCAACGCTCTTCCTCGTCAATTGCTATTTGTTCAACACCATCAAGGACTCCCAGGTCCGTTCTACCGTGTATGTGATCAACCAACTCATTCAAAACAGCCTATTGTACAACGAGCATGACGAATTAGTGGTGGTACCGACCCTTTCAGACCTCTGCCACACTTTGCACAGCAGGGTGATAAAAGACAATGGACAAGAACAGGGGCGTACAGACTCGGAATACCTCCAGAAGATGATCCTAGACATTCTCTGGTCCATTTCTTCGGTTGAAAAGTTGGACTCGTTGATAACATCCATCGGTGATACCATGGTGGGCCCCACAGTTGTGTACGAGCACCCCGATAGCTCTTTCAAACAGGCTACTTCACGATCGGTGCTTGGAATCTTCATATACAAAATGATTACTGCGTTCAGACTTCTCAAGTTTGACGAAGTATTCTTGTTGTACGAGGCATTGGTCGAGTATAGAGAGCCTACCAGGGAGAGCTACTTGTTGATGGGTGGATCTATAGCTCATAGCACAGCCGATGGACAATCCTCGGGAGAAGAAAGCGAAGAATTGCTATTTGCCCACTTGAATCAACAACTAGAAGATATCTTGGATTCATCGATCGCACATTCAAGCTCTGATAACTCTGCTAATCCCAGCACTACCAAGTTGATCCCAGTCCCCAAACACGATCTTCAAATCTTGCTTGACAAACAGATTAATTTGCTTGAAACTTATGGTACCCCCACACCAAAAGCATTAATAGATTTAATGACTCTAATGACCTCCACTGATTCCAACACCTGTCTGATCCAAAACATAAATTTCAATAACTTGCCTTCATATTATTATATCAAGTACCTTGAAAACTTGAATCAATCAAACTATAATGGGGCTTTCGAGGCCTTGCATCAGTATTTTGACTATACCGTTTCTAATAACTCAAAGTATTTCTATCATTTTGCGTTGATTTCAAGAGCATCCTTACATCAGTTTTTTGGTGAAGACGAGAAAGCTATAGATTCAATCGAAGAGGCTATATCAGTTGCAAGAGAAAACAAGGACAATTCAACATTAACATATATTTTGTCATGGTTATTCAATTTTATAAAGAACAAACCAGAGCTCTGGAAACGCCAGCGCTTCTACAATAATAACGATGAGTCTCAATTGCTAAATTTTTTAATTCAGAAGTCCCAACTGGTTTCGTTACTGTTGCATTCTATGAGTTATAATTTCGCCACACTTCAATTACTCTGCAAAGGTGAACCGGTGATGAGTGGCGACGATAAGGCTCCATCTTCATACTTTGAGTGTATTTTGAAGGCGTTGTATATCTCAATCAACGACCACCAGTCCTCGTTCATCAAATCAACCGAGTTAAACTCATCCATCTGGAGCAAGGTTGGTGTCCCAATTTTGAGTGAGGTTTATAATGAAATTTCAATGGAGTCTACGGATAGAAGAAATGACAAATTATCAATCCAAACTAGATCAAATTATTTGAGCTTTTTGAGGGGAGAGACAGAAGTATCTTTGCAAAGGTTGGAAAACCTTAAACAGCAAGTTATTAACACTGACCACTCACTCTTTAATTCGATTCAAATCAGGAGCCTCATTTTGTCAATTAGGCTCAACATAAATAGAGGAAAATTTCAGACCTGTAATGAATTGATACGGATACTTGAGACCAACGAAATTAAAGAATTAGAACTAAAGAATGAGTTGCTTCTGTTGAGTGTTGAGGTTCAAATCTGTCTTGAAAACTTTTCAGTTGCTTTGAGAATGATCTCCGATTACTTGGCTTCAGACTGGTCAGATATTTCAATAGTTATTAAGTTAAACTTATTGAAATGTAAGATCTTCAACATTACAGGAAACTATACAAAGGGGTTTACTTTGATAGTGAGCCAGCTCCACAGAGCGAAAAAGCTTGGATTTCAAAGTCTTCTTGCAGAGGGATTAATCATATTGGTCAGTACATTGAACAATTTAGACCACTACGAGGAATGCTATGAGATCTTGAATGAAGTTATTCCGGTAATAATATCAATTGGTCACAAGAGCTTAATCTCAGAGTGTTATTTCGAGTTGTCCAAGAGTTGTCATAAGTTATACTTACACGGTGGGAAAAGTGATATGTTTAGCCAGGTACTTCGGTACTTAAATTTGAGCATTGTTGGTTTCAAGAGTGCGGCCAACTTGGTGATGTTAACCAAGTGTTTCGCGTTCGAGCAAGCAGTTGCTGAAGAAAAAGGAGACGCAACGTTGCAGCACCATGCCGCTATGGCAATTGAAAAATTGAGCGCAAGAAGTAAGCAAGAGACAAGTTATGGGCTTGTTCGATAAGGGGAGGTAAATACCCGAGACAATAAAATGTTAAACCATGTGATTAGGGAGGATATATCGGGAATAGATGGAGATAAACCAAACTGTATTGATTTGTTAGCGGAATTATTTAACATATACATGAAGTCTACTTGGACTTCTCCTCAGCATCCATGTTGGCCAAGATGAGCGCAGCACCCTGCAATTGGATCACGTTAGCAAACTGCTTGAAGAACCAGATTGGAGCACTCAACCAGGCCAAGACAGTGCCCAACCAGAAGAAGTTGTAGTAGTGCAAGTAGAGAGCCACGTAGAACAACTCGTTCACAAGACACACGAAGAACAAGAACTTTCTATTGGTGTAGTATAATGACAAGATCTTGGACTGCTTGGAGTCCACGTTCTTGTGGCTGGTGGACCCATTGGAAAGCATGGCATACATGTGGATGTAGTGACTGGCCAAGTCCAACGAAATCAATACCTGCCAGGCAATGGTGTAGTTGGGGTAGATCAAACTCAAGTAGGCAATGAAGGATGAGGTGGCACATCTGTCGGTGACCATGTCCAACACAGCGCCAAAGCGGGTGCCTTGGTTGTATTTACGAGCAGCCCAGCCATCGAAAGCGTCCAAGAACCCCGAGATGCCGTAGAGGACCAATGTGTAGACGGGGTGGTTCTTCATACAAACAAACGAGAGGATGGCGGTGACCACCCGGACGTATCCGATCAAGTTGGGGATGTATAGGAAGATGTCTCTGGCGGTGACTTTGGCATGCGAGGCAGAGGGCTTCTTGCTGGAGGTTGTGGAGGGGGTATTCACGGGAACACCCAGGCCCTTTGGATTGGACATGATGGCTGGGTGGAGAGGATAGTGAAAAAGTCTGATAAGTAGGGAGCGAGAACGCACGTGACCTATACCCTCTGACGGTGGGCCCGGGTAGCTGTAACCGCCGATTTTTTCACCAGCGAGATGCTGGTGGGACTGAGGACCGCTGCTACCGCCAATACAGTAGTACGTGGACCTGTAGCCCGCAGGTGGGCTTTTCTAGTGGCGTGCTTGCTGTTTTTGCACGTACTGTAGTGATTATTCCACACGTAGCAAGCCCAACCTGCTACGCCTGCTGCGATGCGCCAGCAGCCGCAGGCCCAAGAGGACGATCGCAGATCAAAAGACAACGTCACTGTGTTGGATCCTAGCTACAAAATAGATCCGACATGGCCTTTATCCAGCAGGAACCGAGTCGTTTGACTGGGTGAATGTGCAAATTGACCTCGGTCCGTTTGTTTGCTACATGTTCACCAAAACACACTCCACTGGTGGCCACAAGCAAATTGAGATAAATTGAGCCATTCTTAGACGGTTGGAGTTGAGCCAGATTTCTGTCTCTCGAATCCAGCAATCCAGAGATGGAAACTGGCACTCATGGCTCGGCAATTCCTTCGTTGCTGCGTTCCAGGTTTGAGGTGCCAGGTTTGTGTTTGGGACTCGCCGAGGGATCGCCGAAGTAATGAGAGAAGCCTGCGCAAGAATTGAACCTGGCACATTTGACGGCCTCGCGGTGCATGACGGACAGCGAGGAAATTTTCTAGTGGGCCTCTCGCTAGACTGAACTCATGAATAGATGCAACAACTGGTACGAACATTTTCTAATATCCACCACACCGAGATAACTTGCTTCTTCGTTTTGGATCATTTATCATCATGAGAAGTAAGCAGCTTTAGACCCAACTACATTACTTCCCTTTGCTTCTGGGGTTTTACCATGAGAATTCGCCTCACTCGCCAGCCCGTGTTGTGGCCCAGCGAGAAAAAATCGCCTCCCCGCGGGCCCTCAGTCCAACCTGTGCCGTGGCCAGTGGCCCTCGCCACGTAAAAGTGTCTCACTCCGCCGCAGCGAATGATGGCTAGTGAGAACGTGCCCGCAAGCTCGTGCCAACGCCAGTGGCCCAGTCCACCGCGACTTTAATTTCCCCACTACCCGCACACCATCAAAATTGAAAATCTCGACGTAGTTCCACCATCCAACCATGGCCGAGTTTCTCAACTACAAGGTCGATTTGACGCTTAAGGACGGCACCAGATCATCTGGTGTCATCACACACGTGGACAATCGGCAGATCTCCCTTGGAAACGCCACGCAATCCAGTTTTCCGGGCCAAACCATCCCCAATCTTCAGGTCAACAGCTCGCAGATTGCCGACTTGAAGGTGATCCAATTGCCCCCAGATTTCTACAAGGGTGGGCGTGGCAAGAAACCCAAGGCTGACACTCCCTCGCTGCTCGACAGTGCTATCATTTTTGCCAAAACCTCGGCACCATCCTCTAGAGAAGACAAGAGCATTGATTCTCCTAAAACCAAAGCCCCCAAAAAGACTGCTGCCAGAAGCAATTCACCCACTGGATCCGTTGACCCAGACTGGGGCAACGACGGTGGCGTCAAAGACATCAAGGCCTCCACCGATTTCGATTTTGCTGCCAACTTGGCCATGTTTGACAAGAAGTCTGTGTTTGCTGACTTCCAAAAGAAAGACACCGTCAACCCAGGAGACAGGCTCGTGGGCCATAACCGGATCGAGCAGGGCAAGGGTCCAAAAACTAAAAAGGAGAAGTACGACAACGATGAGATGGTGCTTGACAGCAAGAAGAATGACAACTGGGACAACATTGGCAACACTTCAAAAGTGGACTTGACAAAACACAAGGCTAGCCACTCATCGACCCCAGTATACAAGGACCCCGTAACCAACCAGAACCTTAAGTTGGTACATAGCTCCACGATGTCACCCATACCTTTGTCGTCGCCAGTACAATTGCTTGAGATCGAACGACTCTCGTCAGAGTCCTACGGCATAACTCCTCCTATCATGGCCGAGGTGTTGGCCACCAATCTCTCGCAATTAATCGCCACCCAGATGTTGGGAGGCTCCAGCAGACTCAACAAGAAAAACCACAACTTGCCACCTTTGGTGCTCTTATTAATTGGAAGTGCCCGCTGTGGTTCCAGAGCATTTGCTACTGGACGTCATTTGACCAACCATGGCGTACGTGTGTTGGCGTTCGTCATCAACACCGAAGATACCGATAAGGACTTGACCACCCAGTGGCAGCTCTTCGAGAACGGAGGCGGTAAGGTCATCACCTCCAGCGTGCCAGAGTTGTTGTCAATCATAAACCACCAGTTGGACACTCCCGTCGAGTTGATCATTGACGCCCTCCAGGGATACGATGACCACTTAGAGGATATTTTCTACCTGGAAAACGACCAGCAGGTGTTGCGCTCGCTCATGGAATGGGCTAATGAGCCTTCACAGCAGTCGAAGATCTTGTCGCTCGATATTCCTTCTGGAATTGACGGTGGGTCAGGCACTCTCCTGGACCAGTCGTTGAAGTTGAACTGCCGCTGGTGTGTATCCATGGGCTTGCCTATTACGGGGTTGATCCATGCCTATAAAAACGGCTACTTGGATGTCGGAGAGGTCACCCACTACTTGATTGATGTGGGAATCCCCAACAAGGTGTACAGCAGCAAGGGCAACTTGAGGAAGTTCGACCGGTTCTGGCACAGTGCGGAGTCCTGTGTCAAGCTCGAGGTCGCCAGCGAGTAGCTCTGTGTGCCTCCATTTGTACTATAGACGAATCATGCCAACGATTTTCATCATCCATCCTTTGCGATCTTAAATTTTGTAGACATTATACACCATGAGTGTTGGCCGCCGTCGTAGCTTATGTTGGATGGCAGATACATGGATCCTAGTCATCTTCCATCGCTTGCGGTTCTTTGCGCCTACTGTCCGTTATTACAAGGCTTCATTACGAGGAGATAGAACACTATTGATGTGACATGATGTGTCAAATTCATCGTCAGTGCATTTAAAAGTGCAAAAAAACATAGAGCCAATGCTATTTCCAAGATGATGCTAATAGCTATATCCTACTTAAAAAGTCGCCCAACACTGCTGCTACTTGTCTACCGCTTAAAAACTGTCTACCCCAGTACTCATCCTACCAAGCATCATCTGGTAGCGCCCGGCTCCGGCATTTTCTGTCTGTGCACGCATTTTTCTGTCCGCACAATGTTTGTTTTCGAGCTTCATCACCAACTACCATTCAGATCAGCTCTCAATCCAAGCCCGTGATCCTTCTTCCATGTCACTTTTTGGAGCAAGCAATACGACGTCCAACAATTGGAATGCATCCTCCGGCTTTGGCAGATCGGCTTCCTTCAGTGGACCCACCGGTACCTCATTACTAGGGAACGCCAACGCCAATGCCTCTTCTTCAGGAGGTCTTTTTGGTCTGAACCCTGCCAATTCCGCCACAAAGCCTGCTTCTGGAGGTTTGTTTGGAGGGTCCAACCCCCCAGCATCTTCGGGAGGATTATTCGGAAATTCCACCTCCAACTCCTCTGCCCCAGCTGGAGGTCTCTTTGGCAATTCCAATAATTCAGCACCAGCAGGTGGTTTGTCGGGCACTGCTGCCAAGCCCAGCACGAATCTGGGAGGACTTTTCGGTAATTCGTCTACAAATGCTCCAAGCCAGTCCAACACTTCGGCACCAGGTGGAGGCTTGTTTGGCAACTCCAACACCAACAGCTCTGCTGCTCCATCGGGAGGCTTGTTCGGCAACTCGAATGCCTCTGGTACTGCATCAGGTGGACTTTTTGGCAATTCTACCGCTAACTCAGCTCCTTCAAGTGGTTTATTTGGCAACTCCAACCCCAGTGCTAACACAGGAGGATTGTTCGGCAATACTGCCAAGCCAGCCACAGGTTTGCTCGGAAACACCGCATCTAATCCGAACACTGGTGGCTTATTCGGCTCATCTACCCAAAACACTACTGGAGGTCTCTTTGGGAACTCTAATACCGCTGGAATTGGCTCCAAGCCTGCTGGCTCCTTATTTGGAAACTCTAATGTATCATCTAATAGCGGTGGCCTTTTCGGCTCCCAACAAGGAAATGTGCAGCCAAGTTTAACGAACAATCCGTACAGTTATGACCAAGTATTCAGCAGATTACAACCAGGTTCAGGGATGCCTCAATCCATTACAGCATCACTTTTGAACGACAAAACCTCCAAAGACTCTTCCGACAAGAAAAGAAGACATTCTTATTTGGAAAGGCAGCAGGAGAGACCAAAATCCTCGCTATTGAGCAAACTTGGTCAAACCTTCAAAGTATTAAGAAACCCAACAACTGCAAACTTCGCATCTATTAAAGGATTATTCACTCCATCCAACTACATCAAAACAACCACTCAGCAACAATTGCTTAATAAACCAAACCCTGTGGTTTCTCATAAAAATTCTGGAAAATCGTTGCGTACTTCCTACGTCGGTAGAGGAACAGGTAACTTAAAGAAATTGGTCATAAGGTCAAAGCCTTTAAAGTTCCATCTCATTGATGCTGACAAAGTCTTGAACACCAAAAGAAGAAGAATTTTAACTGATGGCCTGAACGGAAAGCTAGATGATTCAGATTCCGAAGAAGAGGAGGTATCATACTCTACTAAATCTAAAGATGAAAAATACGCCTATAAGGTGGATTCTGACAAGGATCTCAAAAATCAGAAGGTCCTACTGGGAGAAAGTGTTAAATCTAGTGAAATCATCGATGAATTGGATTCTTTAGAGGCTAACGACGGATACTGGTGCTCTCCTAATATCAGAGAATTACTTAGCTTATCTCCTGAAGAATTGAGCAACGTTGAAAACTTTTTAATTGGCAGAAAGGGAGTTGGCCAAATATCCTACGATTTCCCAGTTGACTTGACTAAGGTCTTGAAACAAGCAGACGAAAAGAAGGTATCGTTGAATAAGCACTTATTCAAGGAATGTATTCAATTGGAAAAGAAAATTATTTTGACCCATGGAGACGATGCCCTTGGCTTTGGAATGAACGTACCAGCCACTGTGACTTTAGAGGGAATAAAGCCCAAAAACGAAACAAAAACTTCAGAATTCATTAAATACTTGCAGAATCAAAAAGGTAACGAATTTGTTACGTATGATCCCATCACTCATGTTTGGGTGTTCAAAGTGAAACATTTCAGTGTGTGGGGTTTAGTTGAAGAATATGAAACTGACGATATTACAGAATACAATAATTTACTTGAAAAGAAGAGGAAACAGGATGAAAAAGAGAACGATTCCCTTTCGGAGTATTCAAGAATATATGAGAATGACAAATTCAATCAAGAAATCAAGAAACAAAGACTTACACTGCATACCAACGGAGTTCCTGGAGGTTGGTCATCTCAAACTAACGCAAGTGAAAATCCATTACTTATCAAGAAAACCTTAGTGAAAGATGAAATCAGAAATCAAGTTGACATATTCAAGCAAGAGCAGGAGATAAACGAGATAAATTCCCACGTCAGTGATATCACCCTCGATTCCGGGGAATCAGATACTTCTTCCACTACTGAATCTGTGGAGTTTGAAGTTGCTAATACCCCATCGCATAATTTTGACTATTTGAAGCAATTAGTTAGCGTGCTTCCTAGAAACACTAATATGCTCGAAATAGTCGACGAAAAAGCATTTGAACCGGAAATATCCAACGATGCCATATTTAATAGTGTTCAAGGCAAGCATAATGTTCCTGTCTCGAAAGACTGGCTAGTGCAATTGGAGTTAGCAAATGATATCAACTCTTCTTTGAATCCATTGACTGTTAATGCGAAGATCACCAAGCCATTGACATTCTCTAATATAGATGAGATGGTGTTTTCAGAGTTCAATCATGAATCATTGAAACAAGCAGATTTCGTACCGCAGGCAAAAGACTTGGGCATAATAGAGGACATAGAGGTAGATTCCAATGATGATATCTATCCAAACAACATCCCCAAGATAGTTAAGTACTTAAGAGAAAATTCAATTATCATAAAAAGAGATAACGAATTTCCATTGGTGCAACTGTCCAATGAATTAAAATTTCAAGATTTGGTGTCTGGTGGTCTGATATTAGAAGAGGAACAACTTCTTAATTTGTTCTCTTCCTTGTTTGATAATCATACAAAGGGTCCCGAATTTGAAGGACTTATTGACGATGAGCTCATTGCTAGGTTGACTGAAATCAAAAATAAGCAGGTGTTTGGGGAATGGTTGCAGCAATTCTCACAGACTGATATTGATCGTCTAAGCCAAGACAAGAAGGATCCTTTGAATCAAATATTTATCCGTTTATGCTCTGGTAAGTTGCAATCAGCCATTGAGACTGCTCTCAACTCTAATAATGACCATCTTGCGGTTATCTTAACTTTAGCTGATTCAGATGAAGAAACTGTGAAATCTTTAGCTAAAAACCAATTGAAGGAATGGAAAGAAACTGGTGCATTCTCATTAATCCCTAAGCCAATCGTCAATATCCACAAAATTTTGTCCGGAGACTTCAAAGATGTATTGGAAGAATTGCCATGGAATTTGGCTCTCTCGGTTAAATTATTTTATGGAGGTAACTCGTTGACCTTACCAAAGTTGATAGGAGAGTTTTTGAGCAACCATAATGAATCTAATCCTGTGATTGAAGTCTTCCAATTCTATGATCATGTCAATCTGCAGACAAATGGGTTTGTGGAGAAATTTATCAATTCTACGCACTTGAATATTAAGTTGAAATGGTTAGCCCTAAAGGTGTTGAGCGAGAAACTTTCCATCAAAGCGGAAGAGTACGATGGGTTATCTTTTTCATTTGGATCTTATTTGACTGGCTGTGGATTTTGGAAAGAGGCCATTTTTGTTTACGCACATGTCTCAGACTCGGAGAAAGCAAAGGAAGTGTTACGCAAGGTTGTTATTTCGAATATCAAATACATCAAAGATTCCATCAGAGGTATTGATGAAGAAGAAGAACTCGTTGAGGTGTATCAGATCTCGCGTAACCTCATCAATGAGGCTGTTGCTATTGAAAAAGCCTCACTTGGAGATTATTGGAGTCAAACCTGGGCATTGGTAAGGGCTGAGTTGTGGGAAGAAGCCCACACTGCCATTATCACTCATTTGGCTACCGAAACTATCATATCTAACAATGAAGAATCCAAGTTGGAGTTGATCAATTTACTTTCGCATTTCCCCCAGTCGGGGCTTATTATTCCCGACTGGAGCAAGGGTGCTCAGATTTACCACAATTTCATCAAATTGGAAGCTGAGTACAATAGAGAGCTTGTGGAACAGTTGTTGAACAATATTCCTTTGGCCAAAGAGAAGTCTACCTTCGAGGCCAAAACTGCGTTGAAGTTAATTTCTAAAAAGGTGGGAGAGATCGCGTTGGAGCATCCGGAACTTGCCGACGTCAAGAGCAGAGTACTTGGGTTGGTGCTTGGTGAGGTTGAACGCAGCTACTTCAATGTTAGACTCCAGGCTCTCTAAGTCTTCGGATGCCCGTGTGCAGGACAGGCACGTGACCTGTTATCATAGCTTACAAATATATATTTCCAGTATTAGAATAGAAATCATTCATTCGACATGTCTCCTTCCAAGGATTTCACGAAAACGCAGCTAGAAGCACCAGAGCCCGAGCACTGTCCCGGGCCAGAGTCTGAGCAGGCAGGAAAGGACGATGCCTGTGAAGGGTGTCCCAATCAGACCATTTGTTCCACCCAGATGCCCACCGGCCCCGACCCTGATCTCCCGCTCATCAACAAACGTTTGTCTCAAATCGACCATAAAGTGCTTGTTCTCTCCGGAAAAGGCGGTGTGGGCAAGTCTACCTTCACCTCGATGTTGTCGTGGGCCCTAGCAGCAGATGAGGATTTAGAAGTGGGTGCTATGGATTTGGATATTTGTGGACCCTCCTTGCCCAGGATGTTGGGAGCAGAAGGTGAGAGCATTCACCAGTCAAACTCCGGATGGTCCCCAGTCTATGTTGCCGATAACTTGGGGTTGATGAGCATATCTTTCATGTTGCCAGATCCCGACTCGGCCATCATATGGAGAGGAGCCAAAAAGAACGGATTGATAAAGCAGTTTTTGAAAGATGTCAACTGGGGTGAGCATTTGGACTATTTGGTGGTGGATACTCCACCTGGGACCTCTGACGAGCATTTGTCGGTAACTTCGTACATGAAAGAGGTAGGAATCGACGGCGCCCTCATTGTTACTACTCCACAGGAGGTTGCCTTGTTGGACGTGAGGAAGGAAATTGATTTCTGCCGCAAGGCCAACATCAAGATCCTTGGCTTGGTAGAGAATATGTCTGGGTTCGTGTGCCCCAACTGCAAGGGAGAGTCACAAATTTTCAAAGCCACCACTGGAGGGGGTCAGAAATTGTGCGAGGACTTGAAGATTCCATTCTTGGGGTCAGTTCCGTTGGATCCAAGAATAGGCCGTGCTTGTGACGCTGGGGAGTCATTTTTCGATAGCTACGCTGATTCTCCCGCTGCCACTGCCATCTTAGACGTGGTGGACGCTTTGAGAGATCAAATCGAGTTGTCTGTGAGCAAGTTGGCCATTTGAGGGCCATTCAAGTGTACAGCGACGGCGCAAAAAGCCTCAAATCTTCAGCAGTCACTACATTGTATTATAGAATATAGACCTAACTAGTCAGGGGTAATATAGAGGCTACCGGTTTAAGCATACATTAATTGTCATATCAGCGTCTTAGATTTTCCAGTCTGACATAGCTTTATGACACCCCCAATCTGGAATCTGTCAAGTCTCAAATCACTTCGAGAATTACGCATAAAGCTTTTAGAACTCATAAAGCAGCAATTTTCCCTACATTGGTATCCACTACAGTTAGCTGCCCAAGTACTGTAAACTCCCAAAATGAGAATCTTGAAGCTCAAAATAAATAGAATCATGTACTAATTCAGGAAATACTCAGAACCCTGAACTCGATGCTCTGCGATAGTGTATACTTCCTAGACTGAGTAACTTGCTAGTAATGGCCGAGACGACTGGTTGTTTCTGATACCCTAGCACGAGCTGTCTTGGAAATATCCAAACACCCATACTATTGGAAACACTCATTCGCGTGCTCAGTCTGGGACCCTATCCCAGCCGCACTACTCCATCAATTGTTTCACAACCATCCTCAACTCCACCACCAGCATGGACCACACGGCCATGATCCGTTCCAACCCCCACTTCAAGGAGTCCAGGCTCAACTCGTTGTACTCCAACTTCAACAACCTCAAGGTCCTCAACCCCGAAGGCTACGAAGCAAACATCCAGGCTTGGGGCTCACTCTTCGCAGACATCCTCAACCAAGGATACATACAAGACTCTCGGATTTCGATCCCTTCCCATGACCCCGACTTGTATCTGTTCCTTTCCATCCCGTTGTACGGCAAGCCTGCCAGTCTAGGGGTGATATTGACCGAACTCGTGCTGCGCAAAGTCTTGTTGCCCTACAGTCACTACAAGGCATTGTCGGAACCATACGTGAACGAGAACAAAACGAGGCTCTCAGACTACCTCCTGCCCCAGAAATGGCTACAATGGGGCCTTGCCGGAATCGCAGGAGGCTATAATGCAGCATTGAAGGACGGATCGCTAGTCAGAGACCGCTACATTTCATGGGACTCGTTGACCAGCATTGCATCCAAGTGCGACGAAGCGATCAAGGAGGAGATTACCCAGAGTGGGACTTACTCGGGCTCATTGCATAACGACCTGACCCTTTATGAGCTTCTTCGGGACAAATTGAAATTATCCAAGGTCGATTTCGAAACAGTTTTGATCTATTTATCTCGAGATAAACATATGTGCACAGTCAAGGAGATTGACGAAGTCAAATACATCCGGTACGATTCCAAGCCAGAAGAAATCACCGAGAATGAGGTGAGAGTGATCAACTTGAAATCTACTATCAGGAATTTGGAGCAAAGAAAGAATTACATTGACCTCAAGATTCAAGGGTTGGAGAAGGACATGAAATCTCTCCTTACTATGAAGGATCAAGAACAAAGAAAATTAAGACTCAAGCATTTACTTAAAACTAGAGTTGTGCTAAGAAAGTCATTGGAAAACTGTTCTATCTCATATAATGAGTTGCATGCTGTCCTCGTGAAGATTGACGATTCTACAATGAATATAAATATCCATGAACAATTGCTTAATAGTTCTAAGGTGTTGAAGAATTTGAACTCCAAGATCAGTATTGAGAGCATCGATGACCTTAAGCTTGACATTGAAGAAGAGATGAGAATGACGGATGAGGTTTCGGAGGCATTGGGAGGAAATGAGATTAACGAAGAAGTAGAAGAAGAATTTGCAGCTCTCGAGAAGGAAGAAACAGAGAAACACAGGAAAGAGAAACAGAGAAAAGAAAAGGAAGAAAAGGAACAGCAAGAAGAAAGGGAAAGGAAAGAAGACAAAGAGCAGCTTACTCAAACTGAGCCCTCATCCAAGAAGATTCCTGACACAGAGAAGGTATCTAGTAGCGACAAGGTGTTGGAAGATTTAAAGAATTTATCCATAGAGCCAGCCAGATCCAATGCAAAGAACAAAACTACTCAACCAGTATTGGAACACGCTTGATGTCTTGTGATGCATTTATTTATTGATATATTTTCTACTTCTTTGGGCACCCATATTTCATTTTGCTGGTTTAGATACTACAATAGTCATTAATAAGATACATAATCCCTATACATAGAGTAAGGCAAACCTGGCGACTGATACCAAATAGCACTGTAGAATTAAAGAGTTAGAATATTATAAGGTACCTATGGCTATTTTTCCGAACAATGAAGGTCTGGTCGATTAATCTATATCAACTCACCCCGTCAATTCCTCAATTGTTAGTCATGCAACCAACAATGTTTCACACGTTTAATATTTGGATTGAGTTCGTTGAACTTATCCCAAGATTTGAAGAATTTGTTGGGTCAAGTTGTATAATTCAACCTTAGGATCGTCGTATTGATCATCATTGGTAGTTTGGTTGATCTGTGATTGGGATTGTAATTGTTGAGATGCACTTAGGTTTTTGATACCCGAAAGAATGGATTCGTTGTCCTTGATCAATGAATTGATCTCCTGGTTATTTGATTCTAACAATTGTAAAATTGTCCACAAGGCAATATGTTCAAAAGTAGCACTATCACTTTGCAAAAATCTGAGCAAAAATCCATAGATTCCTTCATCTGGACTGGACCAGTTATTCAAGATATATTGTTTATGCTCATTGGAAACTCTAGAACATAAGTTGGCTAATGCAGCCGCAGAGTTACCACAAACCTCACCGTTTTCACTGAAAGTCAATGGAATCAAGACATCTATAATATGGCTCTCATATAATTTTGGTTTCAAATCATCAGCTAATGCCAAGATTGCAAAGCATGCGGAGATTTCCAGTTGTACAGATAACGGCACCTTCAACACCAATTCTTTACACTTATCAACCGCTCCAGCAGCAAGAAGAGCAGTTCTGTTCTTTTCACTGGATGCCGCCAAGTTTCTTAAAGTGGATACAGCATGACATTGGATTTCTTCCAGGTCAGTGTAATCCAACAAACCAACAAGAGGCTTCAAGAACCCAGCCTCGATTATCAAAGCTTCGTTTAATGGGTGAATGGATATGTTTCTGATACATGCAACTGCGGCAAGTACTAATGGTTGATGGTTACAGGTTAACAATTGGACTAAATGAGGTAATCCGCCCGTTCTAACAATCTCGACTTGATAGCCGGAGTCAGAAGCCAAGTTTCTCAAAGCCAAAGTTGCTTGACATTGTACTCTTGGAGATGGTGAGTCCATCAAGTTGACCAATTGACTGACGAGCTTTGGCTCAGTGCTTGCTAGTCTCTTTCTGTTCAGTTCATCCACAGCAATGTTGGAAAGAGCGGTGGTACAGTAATACTGGACGTCAGCATCGTCATTCGACAATAAAGACACCAAGACGGGTACAGCACCAGCATTCACCAATTCTTGTCTGTTTTCGTGGGAATGGGTCATGTTAAGAAGTGCTCCAGTGGAGTTTCTTTGTACTCTAATATCCTTGGACTTGGCCAACTTAGTCAAAGGTATCAAAGCACCACTCTTGGCAATTTTCGATTTGTTATCGTCCTGGGTGGCCAAGTTGGTTATACAACCCACGGCATTGCATTGGACCTCGATGTTGGTGGACATCATGTGTCTTATCAAGGGTTCTAAGCCACCCATTTCCACAATCAAGATCTTGTTTTCTGTGTTGACCGCCAAGTTTCCCATGGCACCACAGGCTGCTCTCTGCACCTCTGAGTCTGTGCTCTGCAATAAGATGAGGATTGGCTCCAAGACGTCACGGTTGACTTCACGGACGTCCTTCTCGGTAATCTCGGCAAAGGCCAAGGCGGCACTTCTTTGCAAGTCGATGTTTTCCGAGTAAACCAAGGTGCTCAAGGCCTTCAAAGGCCCGTTGGAGAAGAAGTCCACGTCGGAGCGGTTTTCCAAGTACTGTAAAAGAGCCGAGATGGCCTCTCTTTCGTTTTCAGCCAACAACAAGGGGGCGTGGCTGCCATCGGAGCTGCGGGAGCTCAAACAACTGCAACAAACACCCATACTAAGCTTGCGGTTCGGTGTGGGATGGACTTTGCGAGACGAGCTGGTTTGCTGCTGGTTTCAGAATTCTATGTCTGGTCGGCAATGCCAGGAACGAAGATGGGGAAGGGCTGGTGTTTCCGGGTCCACGAGATGGTTAGTGGGAGGAGACTGAACGGTGTGGACAACGATTGATTTGAGCGGCCCAACGATTGATTGTTACAAAGACTGGTTTCACCTTCGAGTTACCGTGACTTGGTTTTTTCTGAGGTTATCAAGGGTCGGTTTTGTGGAATTTTGCCTGGTGCCGGTGCGCTTGCTTATCTAAGATGTGGCAAGGAGGCAATTGGGATGGCTAACATTAGCGAGGGGTGTGGAGGGTAGTGACTGGTGACAGGGCCACTGAGGTAGAGGGGCGTGGGTTGTAGCCACCAGTTAGCAATTGGCAGCGAATAGCGTGGCTGGAAGTCTAGACGGTATGGTGCTACACGAGACAAGAGGATTTGCGAGGGACGGCAGCAGAGGCTGGAGAAGTGGAGCTAGCAGAGGCTGGAGATGTGGAGAAATCCAGAACCGTTGCACTAACTGCTGGTTCCAGCCGTTGAGTGCAGCTTGGCATTATGAGTCGGTCCGGGACCTGTAACCGCTTCAAACATTCCGTGGCCGTTACAGAGGGGTCGGAAATACAAATCCATCGTAGGCCAATGCCGTAGACCATTGCACCCAAAAAGGGAATAATGGGCGAAATGGAATGGGGCAACTATGAAGGCGAGGTCGCATTATTTCAGATAACTGAAAATTTTGTAGAAAATCGGCTAAAATGTAGAGTTACTAAGAAGCTGATTAGCATCACCATACAGGTAACACATGGCAAAGAGTGTCCTTCCTCCAAGACATCTGCACTTGCAAGAAAGTGGGCTTTCCTTCTTCCCGACCCCCAATGGCCCCATAGGGCTTCGCATTCTCCTTATTCGCAGCCGGATATTGCTCCCCCTGGTGCCGCACAGCAACCATACCCTGGAACCCACGGGAAGTACGCCCCTGCGCCAGCGGAAGAACCCGATTGCCTCTACCGGCCGAGACCCACGGGGAGTGGGTAGATGGTGCTATTTCTTCCTTCCAAGCCCCTTTTGTGCAAATGAGAAGTATGGTGATCTATTCTCTGAGGAGATTAGGAACTAAAGCTACTATAGGAAGTTTTATTTACCTATCTCTGAATAGGAGCTACATTAATAATCTTAATCGGCCCTCTCTGACACGTCCCCCGGAGCAAGATATGACTTAATCCTACAGTTTCACCGATTCATAAACAATTCTGAATATTCGTAGTCTCAGTACCATTGTAAAAAACACCAATCGTGGCTAAGAGGCTTGCCAGAGCCTTTCCAGGCAAGACTATGGCAATTGCTACATACCGCTATTTTTTATATTAAGATTATGGCCAAAACCATTCGTTCATTGATTTTGCATTCCTTTTCGCAATCCACTCACCAGCAGAAACCTGGAGCTCTACTAAATACTGTTGTATTGCTTTCAGGCTGCCAAAGGCCGAATACGGCAGAAATTTACCCCCAAAAAATAGGATGAACAACACCCGGTAGATGATTTCTCGCATTTTTCTCGAAATCGGGCGTGTGGTCTAGTGGTATGATTCTCGCTTTGGGCGACTCACCAGTTCACTGGTGGGAAAAAACAAGCATGCGAGAGGCCCTGGGTTCAATTCCCAGCTCGCCCCTTCTTTTTTGGTTCCACACCCATTTCCAACTTCGTCTCGGGGCCCTGACACCCATTCTCGCTATCTTGGGCCTGGCTCGTGTTGGTCTTCCAGACGCACTCCCCAGACTCACTCGGGGCGCCCCGCTATGCACAGAACAATTAGCCCCCGCCGCCCTGTCGTCGCGGAATGGTTGCTAGAAATTTTGTGTCCGAACCCACAGTATAAAAACCAGTACCAGCCCACATTCACCCACTCAATCCACCAGCCATGACTAAGCGGACCATTCTCTTCCGTCTAAGCAACACCGGACAGCCAGTAGACAACGGTGCTGTCAAGAATGGGGTGTTGATCTTGCCCTCGTTGGCATTGCCCAAGGAGTTTTCCCACGGAGATGAACTCTTTGAGTTGCAGTTCCAATTGACTGCTGCCTCGGCGGTATCCAAAAATGGGGTTCTCCACGTCAATGTTCCCAAGGAATACAACACCCAGTTCGACAGAAACACCTACGTCAAGTACCCCATCGACAGCTCCTTCCACAACGATGTCACCATTCCGGTGTCGATCCACAAGCCTGGCGCTTACAACTACTACATCGAGTACACCGACAGCGACGGCAAAACTGCCTCCACCGACAAGTTCTACTTCACGGTGCCCCCCAACTTGAACATCAACGGCGAGTTTGTCGCTTTCAATGCCGTTAATATCGAGACCGTGGTGTCCAAATGGGTTGGGCCATTAGCCAACTGGGACGATTTCTTTGCCAATGTCGCCAAAAAGGGCTACAATATGATCCATTTCACCCCGTTGCAGGAACGAGGCGAATCCCAGTCCCCCTACTCCATCTATGACCAGTTGAGATTTGACCCGGAAATATTTGATAGCAACGACCAGGCTGCCAAGACCGTGTCGTCCGTGTTGGGAAAGCATGGCTTGCTTTCGTTGACTGACGTGGTCTGGAATCACACCGCCAATAACTCTGCTTGGATCAGAGACGCTCCTGATGCGGGCTACAACGCAGAAACAGCACCTCACCTTACTTCTGCAATCGAATTGGATGAAGCCTTGCTTAAATTCTCCGAAGATCTTGAGTCCTTGGGCCTCCCTACCGATATTAAATCTGAGGGCGATATCAAGACCTTGGTAGAAGCGATCTCGGTCCACGTTCTCGAGAAATTGGAGTTATGGCAATATTACGTGTTTAACAGAAGTGTCATTCTTGACGAGCTTGAGCAACAGCAAAACTCCAAGGTCTCCCCTGTTGAGATCCCAGGCGATCTCAACACCAACGACTTGAAAGCCCTCGCTGATTACACCTTATCAATTGCTAATCAAAATGAAAAGGTCATCTTGAGAGAAAGATTTGCCAACAAGTTGGATATCAGCAAATTCTTGGGCATCTTGTACTCATTATACAGCGAAGGTACTGACTTCGGAACTATTAAGGACAGGGCTGGGAAGATCATCGATGAAATTAATGCTCCTTTATACAAAACTTTTGACGATGACGTTAAGGCCATCAAGGATCAATTATCAGGAAGAATCAAGTTCCTTAGATTGGAGAGCAATGGACCCAAGTGGGGACCTGTCACTAAAAAAGCACCATTAACGGAGCCATACTTCACTAGATTCGAAGATGCACAGGGAAAAAAATGGGCGCTCGCTAACAACGGATGGATCTGGGGTGGAAACCCATTAGTTGACTTTGCATCCGATCAATCGAAGGCATACTTGAGAAGAGAAGTGATTGTTTGGGGTGATTGTATCAAATTGAGATATGGGGAGAAGAGAGAAGACTCACCAACTTTATGGGATAGAATGATTGAGTATACCAAGCAGTGTGCATCTCTCTTCAATGGATTCAGAATTGATAACTGCCACTCAACTCCACTCCACGTTGGCGAGGTTCTTCTTGATGCTGCTAGATCAGTTAACCCAGACTTATATGTTGTAGCTGAATTATTTAGTGGGTCTGAAGAAATGGATAAAATATTTGTTGAAAGATTGGCTATTAATAGTCTTATCAGAGAAGCCATGCAAGCCTGGAGCGTGGCAGAGTTATCCACATTGGTTCATAAGCATGGTGGAAGACCAATTGGTTCATTAACTTGGTTGCCATTAGATGATTTTGCGTATCCAGCAACAAACGAACCAAAGAAGGCATCATACATTGATTCTTACACAGAATTAGAAATACCCAAAACATTGACCAGTCAAGCTCCTCATGCATTGTTTATGGACTGTACTCACGACAATGAGACACCAAACCAAAAGAGAACTCCAGAAGATACTTTACCCAACGCGGCATTGGTAGCATTTTGTTCTTCAGCTGTCGGTTCCGTTTATGGTTATGACGAAATTTATCCTGCCTTATTGGACGTTGTTGGCGAAAAGAGACAATATGCTCTGTCAGATAATGGTATTGGTGAGGTCAAACAAAAGCTCAATCAAATCAGAGCTGATTTGGCTGCTGAAAGTGTGGATATATCAAGAGATCATGAAATGTACATCCATCATGAAGGTCAATACATCACAATTCAAAGACATAATTCTAGGACTGGAAAGGGTTGGTTTTTGGTTGCTAGAACCAAGTTTAACAAAGATGTTGGTGATCAAATCTTGTCTCCATGTGTGTTAGGAGGAACAAAGGTAAAGAGCGAATTTGCCTACACACTTAAGGTTACAGGAGAGTATAAACATGATGACAAATACATTACCGGAATTCCTGCAAAGGTCGAGGTTATTCCTTCGCCTGAAATCAAGTACGATGGCGATGATGCAATCATTCAAGTTGACCAAACTTTTACTCCTGGTTCCATTGCCGTTTTCTCTACTGAAATACCTAAGGTTGACGCTTCTTTAGACAAATTTGTGAAAGAAGGTGCAATTGAAGCTTCACAGGACTTGGACTTGTATGATTTGAATGCTTTATTGTACCGCTGTGAACCCGAAGAACGCGATGCAAGTGGTGGAAGTGATGGCCCATACAACATTCCTAAATGGGGCACCTTGACTTACGCTGGTTTGGAGGGATGGAATCTCGCTTTGAAACATGTCATCTGGGAGAATAACTTAGGGCACCCAATTTGTGATCATTTGAGAGAAGGCGAATGGGCATTGGACAGTGTGGTGAACAGATTGGACAAGTATGCTAAGAATTCCAAGGGTTTAGCCAAGTTTCAAGAGTGGTTGAGAGCAAGAATTGATGCAATCAGAATTGTTCCATACTTCTTGAGACCTCATTACTTTGCCTTGGTAGTTGGAATTGCTTACGAAGCCGCTAGATTCAGAGCCTTAAGAAATTTTGATGTAAAACAAATTCAAGCGGGTACCAATTTTGTCCAGAAGTTGGCATTGACTTCTATACAAATGGTCGGAAGAATGAACAATACCTCTCTCAAGGCTACTGAACAATCTCCATGCATTGCTGCTGGGTTACCACACTTCAGTAATGACTATATGAGATGTTGGGGAAGAGATGTTTTCATTTCTTTTAGAGGTTTGTTGTTGGTTCCAGGAAGATTTGAGGATGCAAAGCAACATATTTTGGGCTTTGCTCAAACATTAAAGCACGGTTTAATTCCAAACTTATTGGATGCCGGAAGGAACCCTCGTTACAATGCTAGAGATGCAGCTTGGTTCTTCCTCTTTGCCATTCAAGATTATGTCAAGAACGCTCCAAACGGAATTGACATTTTGGACGAAAAAGTGAAAAGAAGATTCCCATTGGATGATACTTATATACCATACGATGATGAGAGAGCCTTTAGTTATGAGACATCAATCAGAGATGTGATTTATGAAATTTTGGCTCGTCATGCTAAGGGAATTAAGTACCGTGAAGCCAACGCAGGTCCTAATTTGGATTCTCAAATGACCGACGAAGGGTTCAATGTCGAGGTGTATGTTGACTGGAACACCGGGTTGGTTCATGGTGGTTCTCAATACAACTGTGGAACCTGGATGGATAAGATGGGTGAAAGCTCTAAGGCTAACTCTAAGGGAGTTCCTGGTACCCCAAGAGATGGTGCTGCCATCGAACTTCAAGGTTTGTTGAAGGGTACATTAAGATTCGTGAATGAGTTAAATGCTGAGGGCAAATTCGAATACACTGAAGTTGAGAAGCCAGATGGTGACAAAATCTCTCTTAAAGAATGGGAACAATTGTTGCAAGACAATTTCGAGAAGCACTTCTACGTGCCCACGGAAGTCTCTGAAGACGATCAATATGAAGTTGATCCTTCTATTGTGAACAGAAGGGGCATTTACAAGGATTTGTACCGCTCAGGTAAGCCATACGAGGATTACCAATTAAGGGCTAATTTCCCCATTGCCATGGTTGCTGCTCCTGAATTGTTTACGCCCTCCAAAGCTTTGGGTGCATTGCAATTGGCCGACAAGGTCATTAGAGGTCCTGTTGGTATGAGAACGTTAGATCCATCTGATTACAACTACAGACCATATTACAACAATGGTGAGGACAGTGAAGACTTTGCCACGTCAAAGGGTAGAAATTACCACCAGGGACCTGAATGGGTTTGGTGTACTGGTTACTTCTTGAGGGCTTTCTTGTACTTTAATTATTTACAGAACAAGTCTGTCAGTCAAAACAAGGAAGGCGAGCCTTCCATCGAGATATTGACTGCCCTTAATGACAGACTCCAGGGCCACATCAAGTGGATTAATGAAAGTCCATGGGCCGGCTTGACCGAGTTGACCAACAAGGATGGTGCCTTCTGTGGCGACTCTAGTCCTTCGCAAGCCTGGAGTACTGGCTGTTTGTTGGACTTGTACTACGACTTGTGGACCAATAAGGAGTACCACAATGCTTAGGGAGAACTGCTTTTTTTAGAACGTTATAGTAGATTTAGAGTGAACCATTGATTTCAATTATTTGTGTAGACTTGGAAAATCCGGTAAAACCGGCAATTACGTGAACCAATTCTTTCTCATACTAACCTCACCCCCAAACAGCCCCTTTCCCTCCATGGAACCTTTCTGTAAGCGTAGTTTCAAAGGCTCCAGCACGGGTCCCTCTAGTCTAATTTAGTTTCTCGCTCCATTTACCATCTAGCGCGTAAATCTGAATCAGGATCGAAATCTCTCCATCAACACGCCATGTCTACTCCTACCAACGAGGAATTGCTCGCCAAGATCGAGGCGCTTTCAGCCGTGGTGGAGAAGCAATCGAAGCTCATTGCCCAAACGGGGAAGCAGCTTATCGAGAACCAAATCAAAGATGTTAAGCTGAAGATGCTGGCGGAGTCTGGCCCCAAGGTGGACTTGGACGACTACGTGACCAACGACGACATTGTTCAGCTTGTGGGGGAATTACAGGCCCAATTGGATGCCCTGGAAGAGCGTTCCATAAGACGTTTGTTCAATGTCCAGTTGAAGCAGGGCGACGAGAGACCGGTTGCTCCGTTGACCAACAAGGATGGCGAAGAGCCCGTTGCCGAGATCAAGTTCCCAGCCACGTATGACGAGTTTGCCAGCTTGGGCAAACGGAGCGTGGTGGAGTTGGCCACCTTCTACGAGATCATCTTGCCGAACCAGCCCGAAATCGATGCATTGGTTGCCAGCGAGGGTGTCGATGTGCAACAGGCCCAAGCGGCTTTGCTGGCCGAAGTTGCCTTTCCTCTTGACCAGGCAGTCGTGGATAGCTTCTCCGAGGGCCAAATTGTAGAGGTCCACGAGGAGTTGGCAAGGTACTTGGGATTGACTTGGAGGAAGACTAACACATGGTGAGAAGTCTCCCAACTGGCTACATAAATATTTGCAAATGAGATAAACCGAATAAACTGAGTAGGGATGGAAGCAACTAACCAACAGGGTTTGGCTGCGAGACTGGGACGGCCAAGAGCTGCAATACCATGTGCCATTTTCAGCAGGTATGGTAAGTAATCCGTTGAATAGATTGTAGGTCGTAAGGGCTAGAAGTCAGCAGGTAATGAATGCCATCACTTTTACTTGTGCTAAAGTTTTAGGGGTAGTCCAGTTGTACTTTTCCTAGATTCTGTATTTGCTCCACAACGCATTCAATTACATGAATTGATGGAACAACAGTCCATCACTCGATAAATAAAAGATATACGATCTTCAATAAGTTTGAGTTCTCCTTGATAGAGTTACAATGTATATTCCACTCAATTGTCCAGTAGAGTGCTAGGCCAACCAATTGGTGCAATTAGAGTGGGATACGCTCACCCTATGTCTGTGATAGATCAACAGTCATGCTAGACCCTGCAATTCGACTGGAACTGTCCGACTAGACCCCTCCAAGTAAAAGCTATAGTTTCGTGACTTCGGCAAATGGATTCGGTGCCTGGCCTACCATCCAACCCACCTCTTGTCATTCTCCCCCAATTTCAGGCAGTTGCGACAGTCGCAATTATTGTCGCAGTCAAACCGTCGTGCCTGCGTAAACACTTTTCATCGACGTGTACTAATAGAGGTTGACTGGTTTTCCAAACACGTATCCCAATGGCCGAAGAAACCACAGAGCCCGTTCAGGAGCAGATCAAGATCTCCATCTTCACGCCCATAATCTATGTGGCCGTGTTGGTGTCCATTTTCGTCACGTTTTCCGTGGTCTACAGAAGAAGGGCATTGAAGAAGTTGACCAAGGTGGAACCCATTTTCCCCGAGAACCACACAGCCACGTTGTACGAGTACTTGAAGGTCCAGTACCAGAACCCCGACATTCCCAAGGACCAGAAGCCCCACGAGAAGGTGATGAAGGCCGCTCTCTTGAGAAGAGCCGTGGAGGCCATCCGCAGATCGATGAAGCTCAAGGAAAACGAGCCTGTGTACACCAAGTTGTACCAGGACGGATTGGTGGGAGACGAGGTGTTCCAGCAGTACCAAATCCAAACCAAGTTCCAGGAGTTGGAGCTCAAGGACATTGTTCAAGAGACCGAGTCTTACAAGAAGGGCTGGGTCCAGACCTTCTTTCCTGTGGCCCAGGAGATTTGCTTCAACGAGGCCTTGAGGAGAAGATTGTATGCATTGGACGACAGGGCCAAGACCTTGTCCCACATGTGGGAGCATTACGTGGCCAAGACCGAGGAGGTGAATGAGAAGGAGAAAGAAGTGAAAGAGGTCAAGGACGTGAAGCAAACGAAGGAGTCCAAGCCTGAGGAGGAGCCCAAGGTACTTGCTGAGTCCAAGCCTGAATAGAGTAGTATAGTATAGCCACGCATACGTAACGAACAGCCGAAACTGTAGAGTTGTAGAGGTTATTCCCTGGCCAACACAGGCGTAACCATGGCTAAAACGCCTCTGCTGAGAGACCTCCCCACCCTCCCTTTTCTAGCAGGACTTCTCCCTACAGCACTCCCCACTCTAGCGAGAACTCACCATTCCGTCTCGCGCTCTCGCTAATTCGCACTACCTCGTTGCGACTGTTGATTTGCCTGATCTACAAACACCTCCAACTATCAATGTACCCCAGAGGCGTCCACCCCAACAACCCGCCAGGCCTGGGCCCAGCGGCACGTCCAGGCCAGCGTCCTCCCCAAGGCATGGCACCTCGTGGTGCCCCAATTCCCCAACCAGGCTACCCTCGGCCAATGGGCGTACCAGGAGGACCACCACAGCCAATCCCTCCCAACGCAAGAATGCCACGACACAACCCTGGCCCCCCACAAGGAGGTCCCAATGGCCCGCCACCACCGCTTCAGGATCACATGAGACAGAGACGTTCTGTGTCCGACAAATTGATCTCAGACTGCTATTCCCAGTACACCATCTCCAAGTCTGGCAAGCGGGTTCCCGAGATATCGTACCAAACCCATCTTGCCATCACCGAGTTCTCAGCATTTCCCTCTCAGCCTCCTCCGGAAAACCTTCCTCCCAGCAAACTTGGGTCCGTCAAGCCCAGAGTGATCGTGATGTGTGTCAAACAGTCGGGACGAGTCCTCTTGCAAAAGGGTAAGTTCAATGACGCAAAGAAAATCTATCAGATTGGACGTACCTGGGACTTGGACGAGCTCAAATCTATATCTCGGGCCGGCGCAAATGGCATAATACTATCCCTCAACAAAGACTATTTCTGGAGAGTCGAAGAAAACATGGAAAGAATCTGGAAATTTGTTCGGACGTTGGCCAACGCTTACGGAGGCTTCACCGGTAGATATCCCGAGCTCCATGGGTTCACACTTCAGGAATTGCAATTGCCTCCTACTCCTGTTCACAAGCCACTCGTTAACAGTCCTACTCCTAACGCCGTTCCCGGAAACCAGGATATCGTTCTCAACGAGCCTGTGCCCGATCCTGCATTATTGAAATCCAAATCGTTGAAGAGGAAAAACTTACCAAATCCTGTTCTTCCTGCAGAGCCCAAACCTGCTAAAAATGCTGCAGACTACTACCCTGGTTTCGACTTTACCTCCAATGGTCAATTGCCTCTGAAACCCATGAATGTTATCCTGCTGGATCGATCAGGAACAACAACTGCGGATACCTCGACCGCTCCTTCTGCAGTCCACACTAGTATGTACAGCACTGATAGGGAAGCAACGACTCCAGCATTACAATCGCACCCATACAAGCAAAGGTCTCCATATTCTACCAGGGAAGATGACACTAAATCTAATACAGAAGATACAGATCCTCATAGCTTTGTGTTTACCAATTCACCACAAAAACAGAACTACTCCCCAGAGAGATTACATCAATATGCCAAGGAGTCAGGAGAAACCTCACCACTAAGAAAATTCAAGCCGAACGTCTCAACTTCCGCCCCTGGTCAAAGAAATGTCTCTGAAGGATTGGAAAACTCTGCAGCCTTGGCAAATCGGTTGGAAAACCGTTTGGGTAACCCTAATAATTCGGATGATTTAATCAGAGAATTTGGGGAATCCTTACCAAAACCACCAAAACCTACCACAATGTCTCCTGATTTCGGAATTGAAGAAATTACAGATGAAAGTGACGGTGAGAAAACTCCCATCGTAGGCTACAAGAGACGGGGTACCCAGCCTAACATCGAATCTGAAATTAACGCGAAGGGTTTGGGGATAAATACCACTCAAGGTATCATAGGAGAATCCACCAATATCGAAGATAGAACAGATATGATAGACTCTTCCATTCAGGAAATTGAAGATTTGTTGGATTCCCAATTGTCTTTTGGAGGTAGCGAGTCTGTTGATAATTCATTCCAATTCAAACAATCAGAAATTGATCTTAACGATACTCTGATGGAAGGTAGCGACGACTTGAATGAAACCGAAGAATTGTTTGTGAATAGGCAGCGGTCGGTGAAGCCATCTAATTTATCCCAAACTGTACCAACCGACCCGGGTCATTCAATGGAAGAGGATGAGAGTATGTTCACACAAAATGAAACTGCTCAGATAGAATCTGAGTTGAAAATAAGAAAAAAGGAAGCCTTGGTTCCAGTTGAGAAAGATTCAGAGCTTGAAGAAATTTTGGAAGAAGTCAACTGGTCTATTTTGGATACTTCAGATTCATTAGTAAAAAAGCTTAGCAAAGAGCTTAACAATGTCAAGCAGAAGAATGTTAAAGAACTTATAGGACTTGACTTCAGCAAGAATGAAGCAAGTAACGATATGATTGTCTCGATCGGTGAAATTGAGAATTTCACTCAAATTTTCAAAAAGATGGAGGTAGATTTCAAATTCTTAGCTAGCGACATCAATCAAATTGAGAACGATTCGCAAGGTCTCCAGGTCAAATCTATCAACAAGAAAATTCTTTTCAAAGATCTCAAAGGTATTCTTGATAAGGTGAGCATTAATCAAGATGATTTGAGAGCAATTGAGGATTTTAAAGATTTCGAGCGCTTGAATAAGCTCGAGAGCTTGGAGAAAAGATTATTGAAATTGTATGATGCACTTGGTACTATCAGAAACGACGAAGACAATGATTTGAGCTCAATGAGGGCCTTGATTCAATACAGGGCTACTTATGAAAAGGTTGCGACTCGATTTATTAAGCATTTTAATAATTTCTCGTGCATTCAGTTTAAGACAATTGTCGGACAGCTCAGTGAAAACTTAACAGTTTTCAGACCAAGTGCACTTCTCAGAGAGTTGAATAACCTCTTGATATATTCCAGTATAACTTATTTTGTCAAAGACGTGGATCTGGTCAATTTCCAACAATTGAATGATTACTTTAGTCAACAATTGGAGGAGTTCTTGGAAAATTTGATAAGGAATAAGATCAAGGGAATCACATTCACTACAGCAGCTCCAATTCAATCTGATCCATCTACCCCGGTTGAACTCAAGAAATCAAGAACATTAAGATTATCTAGAAAGATTAGTAAGTTGGGCCACAGTGGAAGTAACGACGACACTGAGCAGATTCAACAACACTTGGATAATCTCAAGAAATACAAAACTCAAAATTCTAACGAGATTGAGGATCCAAAGGTGATCATGGAGATTATTGAAGAAACTAAGGATTTGATTGTTAATGTACAGTTCTTCGTGGCAGCATATTTCCATTATGATAAATCTAATACATTGGATTTCAACGAATTTGTTCAAGCTCATCCATACAGAGAGAGAAGAGAGTTTTTGGATGAAATGCCAAGCACTCAGATCGAAAGATTATCGAAAGACCAGACTTTCTCGACTAATGAGTTGATTGCACATATGACATCTATCTTTGGAAATTTTATTAATGTCATTTTGAAGAAGATCAACCCTGTCGAGCTCAACTTGCCAATTATATTGATATACTTGGAAACTGCTTTCAATGAGTACACAAATGTACCTAACCTGGAATACCTCACATTTAATTTCTTGAAGAAGATGATTGATAAGTTCAGGAACGGATGGAACAAATTCATTAGAAGTCAAATTGAGAATATTAATAACTCAATGGTTATGGCCAAGGGTGGAATTTTACCAGCAATCAAAAACGTCAATCAATTATTACTAATTATTGAATCTTCATTGGAGAACAATCACAATTTGGCTGACACTCTGGTTCGCTCGATGCTCGATTCATCTTATGCGGATATCGCTGCGTCACTTGTGGACTTGTTTACGAAGGATGATCCATTACTTAAGAATCACGAGTTTGATGACAAGGAAAGAGAATACCGTAACATCAACATCTTGCAAAACATTTACTACATTTTACAACAATTGGAGGCTTTTAGTACAGTGAATTTGAAGGTATTTAAGCTGAGACTTCAGGAAATTTTTGACAAGGTGGAAAAGACATACTTCCAAAGAATTTTAACGAAGAGCATTGGCAAATTGATTGAGTTCATTACTAATTATGAAGCCTTGGAAAAGATGAATAATGGTAAACCTAAGAAGTACAACAAAAAGTTCATCAAATCCCTCTTGAGTGGATACAATCATAAGGATTTGACACTAAAAGTGGAAGATATCGAAAAGAAATTGGAGAAACATTTCATAATCGGCAAGGATATGTTTGAAAAGGATTTGTTAGATAGATTGTGGAAGGATACGGAGGAGGAGTTTGTGGACTATTTCAAGCGCTTGGAGAGAATATTAAGATCAGGATTTGAAGATGTCGATGGAGGCGTGAGCAGTATGGAAGTCCGGCAAATCTTCAGATCTGTTCATTAAGATCTTACTCACAAATCGTGTATATTATAATATATATGCTAAGAACTTGACTGTTTTGGTATCCCATGTAATTTCGGGAAATTTTAGTGCCAGACTTTAATGCTTATAATAGCGATAGTCAAAATCACATACGTCAGCCCAAAGTGGAACATGCCACGAGTTGAATTTTAATAGTATCCTCCTTCTGTTTGATTTTCACTGCTTGTGCTAGAATTACCCAATGGATTATATGCAGTTACCTTGCTCGTAGGTATCAGAGTTCCCAAGGGCCATTTCGAATCGTTATGCACTTCACTCCAGTCGACCACCTTATCAAACTTTAAATTATCGTTTTCTTTGGTGAATTTCAAGTGCAATGCAATCAATTGATCAAACAAATAAGTCAAATCATTCAAGATTATTCCTGACTTATCGTTAAAAACACTCTTATCAAAATTTAGTGTAGAGACGGAATTTAAACTCTTCAATACACTCTCATTCTTCATAATAAGATATTTCGATTTCAACTTGGATAACTTTTTCGTATCATTTACCTCCACCTTTTTGGACTGCAAATTCAACAAACTAAAGTTGAGCAATCCAATTGCGTGGCCAAGCTTGTCTTGCTGGTAATTTTCAATGGCAAGGAAAAGGCCAGCATATGCATTGGAGTATTTTTCAACCACTTCCAAATATTCTTGCCAATTGGATGTGTCAATTTCCGATACTGTTGTATCAAGTTCCTTTAACAATACTTTCGAGGCCGCAAGTTCATTCACAATAAATATAGCCACTCTTGAGAGCATACCGTTGTTTTTTGTAGAAATCGAGTTACTCATGTCAAAAGAAAGGCGATTTATCCATGAGGATTTGGATAGGATAGACATTTGTATGCAAATTTCGCTTATTTTGATAATGAATAAAAACACCAATGGTGAAATTGAGCCCAGATCACAGCTAATGGCAATTTCAGATACGTACTTGCCAAATGCACTGAATGAGATGGCTTTTCTGTAGAAAGCAGCTACTTGTTTCCACTTCTTTGTTGTATCGTCATTATCTTTGGAGGAATCGATAAGCTCGTTTGTGAGTTCTGACCCAATCTTGATATAGATGAATGAAAGAGACACTAGGACCGTTTCTACTTCGTTTGCCAAAGTCCATGATAGTTCTTTAGACTCATCTCTTGCAAATTTCTTCATCAATTTCGCTCTAAAACGAGTGCTACGCCCAACACCTTTCCAGGGTATGTCTTTGGTGGCCATTTCGATGGTTGTAAAGGAACGGATCAACTCGCCTTGGTCTTCCCGTTGAGTTCTTTCCACTCCGAAGCGAAAAATGTCTTCGAGATACAGTTCAAGATTCACGGCATATCTGATCGAATCATTGTAGTTGCCAATTGAGTCCGTGACCACTGACGAACGCTTTGTAGTAAGCTCGGATAAGCTGGTGCGGATTTTGGTGGCTAACGGAAGCGGTGGCGTATTGGGTAGGACGATCATGGCTCAGGAAGTTGTTGGAAGGACTGGTTACGATGTTGCTTCAGGCACAATTGCAAGGTTGAACAGCTAACCGGAACTAGGTGGTTATTCCGGAGTGCCAAGTCTGGGGTGGAAAGTGAGCTTGGTCATCGATTACGTAATAATCAACCACCAGGCGTGGAGTATGCGGAGGTGGGACGGAAACATGCTCACTTTTGTGGCGTGGAAGCGTTACTGTGGGAGCTCCCCCAGTGGCCCACCCAAACCCTCGACCTAAAGTGAACACACCTTCTGACTCTACACTCTCCCTCCGGCTCCATCCGACACGACCAAGCGTTCCCCACTATATAGTGTGCTGACGTAAGTGACCCCTTCTGTCTATATCACCCACTTTTTGGCCCGTGCGCATGCGATGAAGTGCACTCGGAGTGATCCATCGAGACAGATCACCTACTCTGAGCATCACCCCAAGGCGCCCACGGAAAAGTGCATAGATTGAAGACAGCCATCAGTCGTACACTACGCCCATTGGAGCTGCCAGAACTGCCATTAACCACCACCATCACCACTTCGTTGTTGTCCGCCACTTCGCACCATCTTTTGGACACATCCTCGTTCGCTATTCGTCTCCAACATGAAAACTGAAGTCTCGACCAAGTACGGTATAGTCATAGACTCGGGGTCTTCGGGTTCACGGATCCAGATCTACAAATGGGAGGATCCAGCGGCCTTGAAGGCGTCCCAAGATTCCAAGCTTCTCAAATCACCTCCAAAAATAGTCCAAGAAAGAGACTGGACCCTCAAAACTACTCCCGGCATTTCGACGTTTAACACTCCTGCAAAGGTCTCCAAGATATGGTCCGACCACTACTCCAAGTTGATTGAGTTTGCTCAGGGAATCATTCCTGCGTCCCAGCACGGCGACACCCCCATTTTCATCTTGTCCACTGCTGGTATGAGATTGTTGTCTCCAGATAAGCAGACTGCCATTCTCAAAGAAACTTGTGCCGTCATAAGACAAAACACCAACTTCTACCTCCCAAACTGTGGCGACTACATCCAGATCATAGATGGTAAAACAGAAGGAATGTATGGATGGCTAGGCTTGAATTACCTCATGGGTCAATTTGACGAGTACGATCTGTCTGCAGAAAAGCATGAATCCATTGGTTTCATGGACATGGGTGGTGCTTCTAGTCAAATTGCCTTTGTGCCTTCTTCCAAAGAGGAATTGGAGAAGCATAACGAAGACTTATCCTTAGTCACCTTGAGAAACATCAATGGTGATACTCAAAAGTGGAATGTATTTGTGGAAACTTGGTTGGGGTTCGGGGCCAACGAGGCACGTAATCGTTTCTTAAAAAGTCTTATTAGTTTGGCGTCCTATGAGAATGATAACGCTAAAGACATCAATGACCCCTGTTTACCAAAGGGTGCTTCCTTCGAATACACCTACATGGATAAGAAGTATAATATCAAGGGTCTTGGAAACTATGAAATGTGTCTTAAGAACACATATCCATTGCTCATGAAAAATATTCCGTGTGAAAGTGAACCTTGTCTCTTTAACGGGGTTCATGGTCCCAAAATGAATTTTGACGCAGACAAGTTTGTCGGAATCTCTGAATATTGGTACACCGCCAATGACATTTTCCAAAGCGGAGGTGAGTACAATTATCACAAGTTCAACGAGAAAGTCAAAGAATATTGTGAGAGTGATTGGTCCCAGATTTTAGAGAATTCAAAGGAGGGAAAATATTCGGGTTTGGATCCTAACACGTTTCTCAGAGATGCCTGTTTTAAAGCCAACTGGGTGTTGAATGTTTTGCACGAAGGTTTTGAACTCCCAAGATTAGGATTAGAAGTCCCCGACAACGGTGCAACCCCAGATGATGTTCTCAATGAACATGTCCCTTTCAAGTCAACAGACTCTGTGAATGGTGAAGAATTGTCTTGGACTTTAGGGAAGATTTTGTTATTCGCGTCCTCGCAGATTGATGCCGAAGGTTCGTCGGGTGACTCCCTTGAAGTTGGGATATTTCCAAGTGAAATCTCAGGTAAACCATTCATACCTGGAGGTGGCTCCCTTAAGAATTATAGTAGTGATGATGACAGTGACAATGAAGGAAACTCATCATCATTTGGGATACTTTCAGTTCTATTATTCTTCATTTTATTATTGGCTCTTTACCAGCTTAGATCCATTAACTGGGACAAGTACAACTACAAATTCAAAAGGCTTACTGCACCAGTAAGAAATTTTGCTTTTGCAGTGGGATCTAGAATCCCTATTGTTGATAAATTCGCTCACAAGTATGAGGAAATTAATTTGCAGAATGACGTGAATATTAATCTCGAAGAAGGTCTCATGTCTTCATTATCTACAAGTCCCAAATTGCAGCAAACTTCAGTGTTGAGGACAAGGCTGAACATCAACTTGAATGATGGAGATGGAGACTCGGAATATTTGCAACTGCCTCCAATTCCAAGGAGCTTTAGTAGCTTAAATACTCCAAATGGGTTTACTAATTTCAACAAACCTTTCGTGGTTCCAAAGAGAAATGCATCATTCTATCACTCGGAAAATACGAGTAGAGAGAGTTTCAGGAAAAGTTGAGTGATTGTTTTTGAAAAGCTTCAAAATTGTCCTGGCAGATAATAAGCTTACTGACACTGTATTCTATACATTGACCAAACTTCACTTCATAAACAGAATCGCATTATTACATATTTGGGCTTATTTGTTAGAATAAACACCAGAGACTATAGACCGGGTTCCGATTGTAAGATAAGTAATCTGTAAACGGATGATACAAAAAGTATTTTAGTTGGATGCAAAATACCACCTTTTTTAATTGTGCACTTAGGTTCTTGCAACCGAGACAAGTTTTCTTCCTATTAAGGTGTGGTTCTTCAGTTGGCGGCTAACGAAATGTTGGTCAAATGTTTTCTCCTTTTGAAAGAAATTCCTGAAATGAAGAGAGAGTTCAAAATCATGGCTAAATTGAAAGCAAGGGTAGTAGTGAGTAGGCTTCCGATTGTTGGGAAGATCGTCAAGAACAGCTCTAGAAATAAGAAAACAGAAACAACCATTTTCAAAGATGGAGGCTGCCTAGAATTCATCCCAGAAGAGCACGATGTGTCGGGATGGCAAGTAGCTGATTAGTTCACATTTTGAATCCGATAATATGGTTATAGATGGGGTAACAATATATTAATTCCGAATGATTCTCGAATGCATTCTAGGTAATTTCAAATTTTTTGCAAGATTCTATAAAAAGTACACGAAATATTATCCGAAGTTTAACCTCCGTGAAGCGCATTTGAGTACACATAGTTTAGTATTAATACACTATGTAAACTTTCGCTTTCATCTTCGTATCAGTGTTTCGGTGCGCTGTAGCGTTATGTTACTTCTAACACTTACTTTTGCGATTACATTAGTTAAATGAGAATTACAAGATTCATTCAATAAGATAATTATTTCGTCTGACTTGATCCCTACTGACAAACTTCCGATATCATTTCTGTTGCTAGCCTTTTCAGATCAATTGGACTAGAACGGGAAAGTTACACAAAACAATTTTAAGACCATATGAGTTTCTTCAAAACAATATCTTCACAAATGAAAGATGTTGGTCTTTCAAACTATCCCCTTTGCAGAATCTATAATAAATCTTAACTGTTTCTATACTTCGTGCGCAATCTCGTTCTTATCTTGTGACATAGCTTATATACGAATATTTGTGATAATTCTGACTTGATAATTTTTCAAAAGTCGTTGTACTCAATTTTAAACAAGCCTACTTTGAAGGTACCATTGGCAATCACTTGGTTGAGTTGCTTAGCAATAATCTCTACCTCTAGACAGTCCTGGCTGACTTTTAGATAACGTCGCATATATCTGATTTGGTGGGGCGCGAGCTCATCCCATCGCACTCATGTGCACTCTTGAAAACCTCTTCAAAATCAAAATTATTCACACACAACTCAAGTCATCACAGCATAATGAGAGTCAAGAAGCCTACCTCCAAGAGGACTACCACCCGTATGAGGGAAGGTATCAAGAAGAAATCCCTTGCCCACCAAAGAAAAACCAGAAAGTTGGCCAAGAAGGATGTCACTTGGAAGTCCAGAAACAAGAAGGATCCTGGTATCCCAGCCAGTTTCCCTTACAAGGAAAAGATTATCCACGAATTGGAAGAGGGACGTCGTGTGGACAAGGAGAAGAGGGAAGAGCAACGTTTGATCCGTCAAAGGGAGAAAGAAGCCGCCATAGCACGTGGTGAAGAAGTAGAAGACCTCATGGATCAAGATGAAGAAGAAGGTGAAGGTGGAATGGCTGCTTTGTTACAGTCCGCACAGAGAGCTGCCAAGGACTTTGACGGTGAGGCCGATGACGATGACATGGTAGACTCTGACGACGAAGTCGTTGAGTACGAACTTAGTGAAGATGAAGAGGACCAAGGCAAATCTGAGTTAGACAAATCCCGTAGGGCTTACGACAAGATCTTCAAGACTGTTGTCGATTCTGCAGATGTCATTTTATACGTTTTGGACGCCAGAGACCCAGAAGCTACCAGATCCAGAAAGGTCGAACAAGCTGTTTTGCAAAACCCTGGAAAGAGATTGATTTTACTTTTGAACAAGGTCGATTTGATCCCAACTAATGCTTTGAACCAATGGCTTGATTTCTTAAAGTCTTCCTTCCCAACAATTCCAATCAAAGCATCTCCAGGATCTGCTAATTCTACCTCTTTCAACAAGAACTTGACTTCTGCTATCACCGCATCTTCATTATTGCAAGCATTGAAGAGTTACGCAGCTAAGTCCAACCTTAAAAGATCTATAATTGTTGGTGTTATCGGATATCCTAATGTTGGTAAGTCTTCCATTATAAATGCCTTGACTAACAGACACGGAAACAGCTCAAAGGCTTGTCCTGTGGGTAACCAAGCTGGTGTCACCACTTCTATGAGAGAAGTCAAGATTGACAACAAGTTGAAGATCTTGGATTCCCCAGGTATAGTCTTCCCTGACGAAGTTGTCAACTCCAAGAAGGTATCAAAGGTCCAACAGGAAGCTAAATTGGCATTATTATCAGCATTACCACCTAAGCAAATCATAGACCCACTTCCAGCCGTGAAGATGCTCTTGAAGAAATTATCTAAGGACACCGAAATGGCAGATGGCTTGAAGGAGTACTACCAATTACCTCCAGTTCCATCTACTGACCTTGATGAATTCAGTAAGCATTTCTTGATCCACGTTGCCAGAACCAGAGGAAGATTAGGCAGACATGGTATTCCAAACTTGGAGTCTGCTGCTATGGCCGTTTTGAACGACTGGAGAGACGGTAGAATCATCGGTTGGACTTTACCAAAGGCATCCAAGGCTACTGCTGAAAGTGCTGAGGATTTGGATGCACCAAAGAGCTCCATGAGAGGTGAAAAGGAGCCACCAAAGGTCGAGCAGACTACTGTTGTCACCGAATGGGCAAAGGAATTTGACTTAGATGCTTTGTTCGCCACTATTGGAAACTAATCGAGCGATGAGTGTTACCAATACTAGTAGCTCAGAGCTGATGTATAGTAATAAAGATTAACTGAAGGAACCCTTTTACGAGCGTAGCTACAAATCTAGATTCCGCCATATGAAGCAGCTCTCCTAGAATTGAACAATTGGTATTTAGTAAGATCATATATTCATATTAACATCACTGGGCCATATCATGGAAATTAGTGGAGCTAACCATCCAATGCAAAGCCTACATCCACACCCTTGAATTCTTCAGCCAATTTGACTAGCTTTTCCTTCAACATCTGCAAGTTTTCGGTTTCAGGTTCAAACCTGGGGAGCCATTCGGCTACGCCATGCTGTAAAATTCCCTTTGCACGGGACTTGCCGTATCCTACGTGGCCATAAGAACCATGGAGGGTGATTCTTTTGCTGGACGAGTCGTACTCGCCTCTGTGAAGGATATTGTTGTTGTAGAAAACGATATCACCAGGTTTCAAATCCACAGTGATTTGGCCTGAGATGTGCTCCTTACGGTCCCCGTTTATGGTCTTTTCACGCTCCTCGGCTGTCCTGACTCTGTTGTGGGACTTAGGAATCACAATCAAGCACTTGTCCTCGGTGAGGGCCAAGTTGAATTGGGCACCAGCCGCTGAAGCACCAATATCAGCCAACTGTTCAGCCTCTTCGGCCTCGGTGACCTCAGGCTTAATGGTGTCTCTGTGCCAGTCCAAGCCAAAGTTGGTCAAGGGGTTGATGAGCATGTTCATCAACTCCATCGACAAGCCGTCCTTCGAAATCTGAAGAATGTCACCAGCAACGTCCAAGATCTTGTCACTGGAATACACTTCGTGGAAGGGCAACGCGAGCTTGCCCAAGTCAGGGTGCAATAAGCCACTGACGCCCCAGATGTCGGGACTGAAGTTCTTGGGCCATGGTGGGAACTGCTTGCCGCGAGTTCTGACATGAGGCCAGTCACCGTCTCTGGCCAACTGGACCACTGCCTCGGATGCTTCGAGGTACTGGGCGACTTCTTGGGGACTGAGAAACCCGCGGATCACTGTGAATCCATTCTCTGCAATTTGGTCGTGGTGGTAGTGTGGAATCTGTGCTGGCATGACTAGTTGGCTGATGGAGTCTCCAGAATGGTGGGCTTATATATTCTCCACAAATGGCATGCAACATGATCCAGAATGCAACATGCGCGGCTCATTTAGATAACCAACCCTATGTAACGTTACGGAACAGCTGGAGGTGTGGGGTGCAAACAGGGCCGGGAATAAGATGGGTGCCCAGAAGCTTGCCATATGTTACACTGGAGCCGAGGTTACAGTTTGGTACAGACTTTGGGTCCTGTTTCATCGTGCCATCGCTGACGTTTAACACTACTCCACATTTCGTATATCTGCAGGGTAGTGCATAAACGCACGTTCCCTTGGGCCCTGCGGTGATGACAGGACCAGACAAGGCGATGGAAAGGCACTGGGTGTAATGGGCGTGACGTATTGAGTACACTGGTGGGTAGTCTCCACCAATTTATCTCGAGAAGCCACAACAGCGAAGTGGACAATTCGATACCAGAGTATGTAGAAGAATCAGGTGGAGAATTTACCAGACCAGAGTAGTGAGAATAGTCTCGAATAAGACGAGAAATACAAGGATCTCAACGGAGACAAGGCTTTCCCTAAATACTACTTTATGCTTTGATTATTAAGTGTCTTTTACTTATTATGTACTTCAATAACAGTTTTTGCAATCTTACTATAAGTGAAGTTAGTTCGAGTCTGATGAATGTGTAAATTACTATAGTGGAGAAAAGCCAACTTAGTGTACCAAGGCTTGTTGTAGTTCCTCGGGTAGCCCACCGCTGTGGCAATGACCTATTGTGAAAAGTCTACATCTAGGTGATATTACATATATTGCATCATTACTAGCTCTTCTATCATTTTGGCTACTCTTGGAGCTTGCTCTTCAACCGGTCGATCTCTCCGAGCAAGTCTCTGATGTAGCTAGAGGCTAACTCGACTGTGGTGGCCTTCGATGGAATAGAAACTTCCTCATGGTATGACTTGGGGACGAGTGTCCCTAACTCCTGCACGGCCATGTTCATTCTGTTTCTTCTACCTTGTTCGGCCAACTTGTGGGATGCTTTTTTGGTGACAGGCTTGTTTTTGCCTTGACCAGTGCCATCTTCGGAGGTGCCTTTTTGGGCACGTACTCCTGGAGAGGTATCGAGGCTGGACGAGGAAGATGTTCGGCTCAAGGACGCCTTGTTGTTTCTAATGGACGACGAGCGACTGACCTTGCCGGAGCCCGGTTTTTTATCGAGATCGAAGTCCGCATCAGGATCAAGATCATCGTCATCGGTCTGACTCTGTTCTGCCAATCTTCCCATGGTGAAGCCCATCAACGGAGCCAGTGCCCCGTTATTGGGGGTATTGGCAATGCCCACCTTCTTGGTCAGAGGCGGCAACATTGGCGTCGAGCTGTTGCTATCCATGGTGGAGTCTGGCAATCTTTCAAACGAAGTAGGTTTGTAGTTGGTGGAAGGTCTGGTCCCCTTCAACGACGGAGAGCCATGTCTGCCATTGGTCAAGCCGTTCGAACTTCCGGAGGACGGGTTGGCTTGAAGGATGGGTGTACCATGCGGGGTTCTCCGCTTGTGATATGTAGAAGATGTGGCAGTGGCTGTTTGGTACTGGGAGGGCTCTTCGATGGTGGGGCCAAAGGCGGAAGAAGAGGTTCTTCTTCTGTCGGAGGAGGAGGACGGCTGGGCATTTAATGCAGGAGATGTCAACGGCTCGAACGAGGTCTGGACCGGAGGTTGGCTGAACGACGCCTTGTTGACGTTGACCTGCGTATCTAAGGGGGTGACAGCGGGTGACACCAACGGGGTGAACACCGCGTCAGGACGGACGTGCAGATGGGGTGCAGATGCAGAGGATGACAGACCTGTGTTTGACGCAGGATCGATGGATTTGGTATGCTTGTGGAAGAAGTGCTGGTTGTTGTATGACTTGTCGTTCTGGCTGGGGAGAATTGGCGAAGCAAACCGTTTGGTGTCGGTGCCGGTATCCGCTTGTCTAGCCTTGTTTGCCGCCAACATGCTGGGGGTACGCGCTGGTGGAAGTGCCGACGGCGGGTATGCCGACTGGGGCTGGGAGGGCCCAGCGTCGAAGTCGAGGTCTTCGGGAATTATGAAGTTCATGTTTTCCAAGCCAAACTCGTAGAAATGGGGTGGTGGAGGTGCGCCCAGTGGGGGGTTCGACGCCGAAGGAGTGTGTGACGCTGCACGGTAGGCACTGGGTGTGTTGCCCGCAGGGGTGCCACTGGCGCTTTTAGGGTGCAGTTCGGGACGCGAGTTGGGGGTGTTGTCGTGGGACAGGTCTTGTGGGTGGTGGTGGTGGTGATGATGATGGTGGTGGTGATGGGTGTAGCCAGCAGGGTCGGTGGCGCTCGGGGTGGCAGACGCCGAGCCCGGGGCAGTGGGCTGGCCGTTGGACTCGTCGTAGAGGTTGGTTTCAAGCTGCTGGAGGAACATGTGCTCGGTATCTGTGAAGTTGGTGGGAGTGTCGTGGAGAAGCGACGCTGAGGGAGCGCTGGGAGTCGAGTTTTCGTGCAATTGGTGTTGGTGCTGTTGCTGTTGCTGGTGTTGTTGGTGCTGGAGCTGTTGCTGGTGCAACAGTTGGTCCAAGTCGGAGTAGTACGGCGACTTCCCAGGCGTGGAGCCAGCAGGAGTGTTGGGGGAGAACGTGTTGTTCCACGGTAACGACGATTCCATGGTCAACGGAGGCGATTTGGGTGGTGAAATTTGGAGGCCTGGATGGGTTGGTGGGGAGCAGTCCGGATTTGGGGTGGTCGAGGCAGCAGAGCAGGCACGCTGAAGGTAGCTGGGCGAGGCTGGCTAGCAGAGGGTTGAGGCTGGAGAACGGGATGTGTCTGCGGACGGTGGTCGGGATATGGATGGGCTGGATCAATAGTGGTGGTGGGTTGGACTCCCTTGGTGGCCTGCATGGGGACCGGAGGTGCGGCGATGTTATCGCCACGTGGGGTGGTGGAGGCACGTTGGAGTAGTGGCGGCAGAGCGACAATTCCGGGCCTGTCGTCTGAGACATAACCGTTGGTGTTGATGCAGGAAGACCGTTGGGGTGTCAGATCTACAGATGGCACCCCGGGTGGGTGCGTTCGAAGGTTTGGGCACCCCGTCAACTGTCACCCCACGATACAGGTGTCATTTCTAGTTACATTTAGGCTCCTTGGCACTGGCCGATAGGAAGCTGATAGCGGAAATACGAATATCCCCGGCAGCTCCGCGTATAGCCGGAAACAGCTCCAGGCCGTCAGGGCTGCACATGCACTGACATCAACCGAACCAGGTGGTTTGGCGGAGGCGATGGAGTCAGAAAACACCTTTGCTTCACCACTGTTGAAACCACCCACCCTCGCCGTCCATTAATCCCATCCGCAGACTGGAACCAGGCCCAAATTGTGGTTCCACAGGTGTAAAAACTAGCCATGGAGGTGAAAATTTCGTCTTAACAATAGGCGAATTGGTCTGTCAGCGCGGCCCGCCAGTGGGGCCATTACCGACCTGCCGGTTAGGAACTCTCCCAGTGTTGCCGGGGCTATTGATGGCTGGCAAGAACGGCTTAATACGCCGAGAAGGTAAGTCTTTGGAGAGTAGCGAAATGAGTAGTAAGTGACAAGTTGGCTAAATACTAGCCCTACAGTTCTCTCAAATGAGTAACAAGCGAGAAAGGGATCTGAGAGAGCGTTCCTCCCAGATAGTACGGGTTATTTCAAATCAGCGGGGAGAACAACCAACGAGTAGATCGTATTGAATATTCCAAATTAGCGAGAATGAAGTGAGAACGGCGAACAGGCAGATCGTACTGAATATACCAGTGAATTGTAAGTGAAAAAGGACCCATTGACGAAACATTCTTACTACTCCCCTTGGTTCCTCATACTACTAGCTACGTTGTCCTAATGGTCTATGCATTGTTATATACATTATACCTCAACAGGTATGGTATCAATCAAATCCTTCTTTTCCTTGGACTTGCTCTTGATCACTGTGTTACTGATACTCTTCTCTTTCTTGATCTTCTCACCTCTCACGAGCTTTTCCATTTCGTCACGCGTTAATGTTTCGTACTCCAAGAGCCCTTCGGCCAACCGCTTCAACTCTAAGTCCTTTTGTTTCAAGAGCTTACGGGTCCGGTTTTCACTCTCGATCAAAAAGTCCCGGACCTCGTTGTCGGCCATGTTTCGTATTTCTTGGGACCACGACTCCCAGTTGTCGCTCAATCTCACCGGGCCAATCTTGTGACTCATCCCGTAAGAGGTCACCATGGCTCTAGCAACACTGGTAGCGTTGGCCAAGTCGCTAGAACATCCACTAGTGACGTTCTCTATACCATTGATCATCTCCTCCGCTATCTTGCCTCCCATACAAACATCAAGACGAGCAAAACACTCTTTACGACTCATGTCCACCTTGTCCATTTCTGGCAATTGGAACGTAACACCCAATGCACGACCACGAGGCAAGATGGTGGCTTTGTACAAGGGTGTTGCTCCAGCACTGTACATTGCCATGATGGCATGTCCAGCTTCGTGGTAGGCAGTATTGATGCGCGATTCTTCTGTGATGACCATCTTCTTTTTGGCAGCACCCATCAAAATCTTATCTTTGGCCCACTCAAAGTGGCCCATATCCACAGCTGGTGCTGACAATTGGGAAGCATGAACGGCAGCTTGATTGACTAAGTTCATTAATTCTGCACCACTTAATCCTGGAGTACCTCTAGCCAAAATTGAAGGGTCCACATCTTCGGCGGTTTCAACGTTTTGCATGTGGTGCTTCAAGATATCAACACGGCCTCTTACATCTGGCAATTCCACAATGACTTCTTTGTCGAAACGGCCCGGACGTGTCAAGGCTTTATCTAAGGATTCGGGGAAGTTGGTAGCACCAATAATAATGATACCTTCAGTTTGAGAAAATCCATCGAGTTCAACTAACAATTGGTTAAGGGTCTGCTTAGCATAAGCTTGATCTTTTGGATTTCTCTTTCCTCCAATAGCATCTAACTCATCAATAAAAATAATAGCAGGTGACTTTTCCCTAGCTTGTGTAAATAATTCTCTGATCCTTTTTGCACCCACACCAACGTATAATTCATCAAACTCGGATCCAGACATAAAGAAAAATGGAACACCTGCTTCGCCCGCAGTTGCTCTGGCCAACAAAGTCTTACCGGTACCGGGAGGACCGGTTAACAAAACACCTTTTGGTAATTTACCACCCAACCCTGTGAACTTGGATGGGTCTTTCAAAAAATCGACAATTTCTTCCAACTCGGCACGCGCCTCATCACACCCTTGAACATCATTGAATCTGACGGTAGAATGGGAAACATCAACGGACTTATCACTGACTTCGCTGTTCTTGAAAATGGTACCATTTTCGGCCAAGTAGTTAAAAGCATTCGTTGCTCCGTAGGTGACCAAGGCAACAGGAATCAACCACTTCAACCACTTGGAGAGCATGGTCCATATAGATTCAGATACAATAACGTGAACTGGTTCGTATCTGGAACCAAAGCCATGAGGTAAGCCGCCACTTGCTGGCTGGCCCACTGCAGGAGCGCCCGATAACACAGCAGTGTTGGCAATCTGCTCGGCTCTGCCCTTCTTGCCTAACTTGTTAAGGGCGTCCACATACAAGCTGGTACAGTCTGGGGATTGTGCGATACCAGGGGTCTCGTACCTCTGAACAACGATGTGGGGGTAGTTGTTGGCAAGCAACATCCGGTAAAAGTCGGCTTGCACTGCAGGGTTGTTCAAGTCATTGTTGGCTGCCTGCTCTTGTGTTTGGAGCATGTTGATGGTGGCGTTCGATACCTGTCTGGTATGGGTGGTGATCATTCTTGGAACAGGAGGTAAGCGTGCTCTCGGAAGGATGTGAATGGCTCGCACGGCAGCCGGACCGTGAAATCCAGTCCTGGCTGCTGTCGATGCTAATAGTGACGTCCTTGAACCTAACATCGGTAGGGTAAAGAGAGTTGTGAGTGTAGCTTCGATTGGAGTCATTCAAGGTGAGCCACTTTGGTGCGAAAATTGCGACATTGTTGGAAGATTCTGGAAAACGGCAATTGGGAAACTGGAGCAAGAGTACCCGGAGAAACCTTGTTCCAGAGCCTTTGATAGGGTTAGATGCGCTGCTATGGCCATGGTGTTACTACAACCAGCACTGCTGGCACTACAGGATCAGTGCAATCCAACATTGCTGGCATCTTGTGGGTGTGCGTACAATGTCGCGTGATTGTTGGGCTTGGTGGCAAGTCGCATGTCGCGCGGGCTCTCCAACAAGTAGAGCAATCCACGTGACCACAGATCCCTGATCCCGCGACATAAACATAAACAATCATCATCTCATCCACCAACCCCATGAGTTCCCAAGTGTTGCCAAAGAAACGAGCCCTACAGCCCGATGGCGCGAGGTCGTCGTCTGGTGCTGATCGCCGTATGGTCTCTAACCGCGTCCTTTCGAAGCGAGCACCCCAAAATCCCGGCGGCAATCGCGTGCTATCAAACCGAGTGATCTCCAATAACAGACATGTCAGTCGAGGTCTAGTGGATAATAGCGACCTCAACGACTCGTTCTCCGAAGAAAATGCAATCCATTTCAACGAAAACAAGCACACAATCTTGTCCAACTTCGAGGAGTGGATCAAGCTTTCCACAGACAACAAGATCACTTCCAAGAACTCGTGGCAGTTTGCGTTGATCGATTACTTTCACGATATGAACGTGATAAAAGACGGGGAAAACATCAACTTCCAGAGAGCTTCAGCCACGCTCGATGGCTGTGTCAAGATCTATCTGAGCAGAGTCGAGTCCGCAGCCACCGAAACCGGTAAGTTACTTAGTGGGCTCGCTAAAAAGCACGATTCGGAGGTCCTGGTACCTCAAGAAGATGGCAACGAAGAAGAGAATAGTGACAATGAAGATGCCGAGGACGAAGGAAAGAGAAAGAGGAAGTACAACCGTGTGGTCGAGTCCACGTTGGTAGAGTTTGAGGCCATTCAGATCAAAAAATTAGATCAGGAATTATCGATCGATCCATTGTTCAAGAAGGCACTTGCCGAGTTTGATGAAGGTGGTGCGAAAAGTTTATTATTGAACACACTCAACATCGATGCATCTGGAAGGGTCATTTTTGATGCCACATCAAATCCTATGAAAGATTCCTCCAAAGCATCAGAATCGGATGATGAAGCAGATGAGGAAGAAGAAGGAAGTAGCCAAGATAAAGAGATTGATATTTCAGCTCTTGAAAAGTTCGTATTCAAAGACAATGACTTTGAGTCCCTCACTATCTGTCCCTCCTTGAATGAGTTTAATGCTGCCATAGAAAATGTGTCAAAAGCCAAGAGTATCCTAAACAATTTCAACACCAAAATTTTGGCTCAGGAAGAGCAGGATAATAGAGAAGCTCCTGATATAGCCAACGATTATGGGTTTGGGGATTTTGATGCAGGTACCGATAATGAAGAGCAAGGTGATGATCCAGCTGGAGATTTTGGTAATGACTATAATGATTTTAACGATAATGATAACAATGATGAAAATGATTTGAACGATCCGATCAATAATTTCAACCAAAGTACTGTTCAAAAGTTATTCAACAGTACAGATCAATATATTCAAACTACTACGAAAACAGAAGTTTTGGACCGTGATCTCATGGCATACTTTGATGAAAAGCTTAATGCAAATTGGAGGGGTCCCGAACATTGGAAAGTATCTGCATTAAAGAAGTCCAAGAACTTAGAAGTGCAAGATGGCGCTCAGGATGCAACTAAAGCAGTAGCTCAACCATCATCCGAAACTAAAAAGAAAAAGAAGGAACAGGTTATTATAGACTTCTTTGATGATGAAGATAATGAGGACCTTTTATTTGAACCCCCAAAAATAGCAAGCTCGATTCTTTTGAAACGAAATGATGGCAGCAAACAGGATAATACGTTACCTGATGACATCAAGTACAACTCTTCAAGATTGACAAACTTATTCACAAAGCCTCAAGTCCACATATTGTATTTCCCAAACAAGGAATCCAAACAATCCAACACAGCGGCTCTTACTGATGAGAATTTCTTCGCAGAACAGTATCAAAAGCATGAGGAAGAGGAGCAAGAGAGATTAGCTGCATCCTTCCATCAAGCAGAATATGAAGATTTCAATAATGATTTCGGTGGGGACGACGATTTCCAGGGAATTGATTTCAATGATGCATTACAAGGAACTGATTCAAATCCAATTGATGATGACAAGAATGTGATTTTAAATGGTGGCTCTCAGGTTTTGGGTAGAAAGCGTCCGGACAACATTAATTTCTCGAGGGTTGCTAAGAGGGTTGACGTGAAGTTATTGAAAGATAATTTATGGAAAACTATAAAGAAGGAGGAGGAGGAGGTTGCTCTTGAAAAAGAAGATACGCCAAAACCAGAGGAATCTATGAAGGAAGTTGTAAGTACGAAGACATTTGGTAACGTTGTGACTTCTATCGCTGGTTTATATGGTAACGAGCAAAGGAAGGACTTATCTACAAGTTTTTGTTTTATTTGCTTGCTTCATTTAGCAAATGAACATGGGTTACTGATCACAAGTAACGAGCAGCACAATGATCTTCAAATTGCTGGGTTCTGAGGATGTAATCTCGATTGCAGCTTGGATTTTTCCTACTTTGAGCATCTTCCACATATCTTAGCCTGTACGATTAGAAATGACGAAATACTACATAGAGACCAATATATCGCATCTATTAATTATGTACACTACTTTCTTCCTCTTCCTCTTCCACCTTCTCTACCCCCTCTTCCACCTCTTCCACCTCTTCCACCTCTTCCACCTCTCAGGCTGCCATTGATTCTATCAATATCAGCCTGGGCAATGACGATACCGTTTCTGGTTGCTCTACCAACACCGTTGATTTTCAAACCCCTGTCTCTGATTCTCTTTTCTACCTTCTTTCCTGTACCAATTCTGTCACTGGCCAAGGTAGAACCCTTTCCGATGTTCAAGTCTCTTAATTCACCCTTCTTGACCTTGGATAACACTATGCCTGCATTCTTAGCCTCTTCCTCGAACTGAGCGATTTTTTGTTGCCTGGACTTAATCATGCCCTTTCTAGCATGCATAGGCATCGATTCCAACTTCTTGGGTAATCCACCAGTGGAGGAGTTGAGGGCAGCAATCGACCGGATACGAGAGTCCAACGCTCTTCTTCTCGCCTTACCAGTGGGGTCCTCGTAGTCTATAGTCTGCAAGGTGACGTCTGCTCCGGAGTATTCGAGTTGGCTGGCCAATATGTGAGATTCTTTGAGCAATCTTTGTAACTTGACATCATTTTCCAAGTTGTCATCATCTTCCTTAGCAGCCTGGGCCTGTTGCTTCTTTGTTATCTTTGATAACACACGCTCCTTTTCTTCGATTTCTGCCAAGGTGGGTGCTCTTCCAAGTCTTGCTAATTTGCGTTCCTTCTTGGTGGTGATAGGAGGGGGACTTCCCGATCCCAGGTTGAGTCTCACGACCTTGGGCTTGACCACAGGCTCTGGTGCCTCATCAAAGCCCTCGAAGTCGGACTCAACGTCCTCTGAGTCCGAGTGTGCATCTGATTCACTCGAGTCTAGCTCTATGTCATCGCTATCATTGGACCCACTTTCTTCACTTTCTTCGCTTTCAGGCACGTTCTTGGACTTGTCATCGTATCCCAAGGATTCCAAGGAGCCGAACTGGGCCTCGAAGTTTCGTCTTTGGGCCTCTAAAGCCTTCAAGTACTCATCGTCAGCCATTATGGTGTGGTGCATCTCATCTCGAATGTTTTTGATTAGTGTCGCGAGTCTCGCGATGCTCAGTGTGGGGCAGCCACAAGTCGTCAGAAGCTGCTTGTAGGTCGTTAAAATGGCAACAGCTATGACAACAGCAGCTACAGCAACGTTTTACAGGGCGTGGTTGTGGTGGTGCATTTGTAGGTAGGTTTGAAGAAGCCCCACGACCACCACACAAGTATCGAACCTTCAACACAGTGAATATATACCAACGAATGTCTTGAAACCAGGAAGAAAACTCTAATTTGAATACAAAACGGACACAATCACCTTTTGATTGAAGAGTGGTCCCTTTAATGGTAAGCACTTGCTACCGAATTCAAGGGTAATTCAACCGGTAAAGGCTAACAGTAGCTAATTAAATAAATTAATTCCAAAGCTTGACTCAGTATTTGATCGAAGCCACATTACCATCGAGTCATTAGCGATTCCTCTGCAGTTTCTACTCTTGTATCTTTCCCATAATTGTGCTGGCATGACATGACACAGCCGTCTGCCAGTGCTGTGATCCCATACTTCGCACTCCGCTATCTGACTCATTAATCGCGAAACAACCGCAACTACGGACACCACACACCAACTACAATGACAAAGTTTCGGGGCTGTATCGACATACACTCCGGCCAGGTAAAGCAAATTGTGGGGGGAACTTTGACGGGAGACGACTTGACCCACGACGCCTCGACCAAGGAGAACTTCGTCAGCACCAAGCCGTCTTCGTTCTACGCTCAACTCTACAAAGATAACCAGGTCAATGGGTGCCATGTGATTAAACTTGGAACCAATCCTGTCAATGACGAGGCAGCTAAACTTGCCTGTTTGACATGGCCAGGCCACCTCCAAGTGGGAGGCGGCATCACCGATGAAAATGCCCTTGAGTGGTTGGATCACCACAAGGCGTCTCACGTCATTCTTACCAGTTGGTTGTTCAGCGACAACAAGGGCCAAAAGGAGCTCGACTGGCAGAAATTGAAATCAGTGTCCCAATTGGTGGGCAAGCACAGGCTTATCGTGGACTTGAGCTGCAGAACCGTCGTTAGTGATGGTACGACTGACTGGGTTGTGGCCATGAACAAATGGCAAACTTTGACCCAAAATAAGTTGTCGAAGGAATTCTTGCTTCAGGTAAGCGAGTACTGTGACGAGTTCTTGATCCATGCTGCCGACGTCGAAGGGTTGTGTAACGGTATTGATGAGCACTTGGTGCAAAAACTCGGAGATTGGTGTCCTTCTGGTTTTGAAGGAAAAATCGTGTACGCTGGAGGCGCCAGACTGGTAGGGGATTTGGACAAGGTGCAGCAGCTTAGCAACGGAAAAGTCGATTTGACTTACGGTAGCAGCTTGGACATCTTTGGAGGAGACTTGGTGAAGTTCGATGAAGTGGTTGCGTGGAACAAAAGGAGCTAATTTTTAGAAGATAAAAGCTAAACATCCAAATTATAGAGAATAGATAGTGTTAGCCACAGGAGGGTTTAGAGATGGCGAATGAAAATTCACTTCACACACGAAGAGAACCTCAAGACTTATAATAGTATGAGGCCTCCAAATAAGAGCCGTAGATGAGTAGATGGTGGGTACTAGTCGGTTTTTTACGTGGCTGTATACTCTTTGGCGCTTGATTTTGCTGTTTTGATTCGTTTATGTTACAGGACATTACATACTATTGAAGGATACCGAAACCTCTAGATCAATCGACTCATTCGTCCATAGCAATCCCTCTCTAATTATACAAAACCCATGCTATTTTTTTGGGCATGTTGCTAGCTCCACTAGCTTATGGAACTTAATTCCAATTAGATCCTCCACCGAATCCACCTTCATCGCCATAAGGAGTACCATCCCCATTTGGAGAATCGCCACCATAATCCGTTCTACCATAGGTGGTGAAACCACCAGCATTGGCATTGCTTCCTTCGACGCTGTGCTTGTTCAATTCCACGGAAATACCTGCCAACTTTAATTGTAAAGTTTCAATACCTCTGATGACAACCTCGTTTGGTGGTAAATTTCCCACACTTTCAAGGTCAAAGTAGTAATTCGATGGCTTTGCCTTGTAATCAAAACGGGCATCTGGATCTGGCATTTCTTCCCATTCGCAGTTTGCCGACTTGGGCCATTCTTCGTTGGCGTCTATTTCGTACCAGTAATCGGTGTGCTTCAACTTGTTCCATGGATCGTACTCGAAACCGACGGCTGCACATGGTGACCATTTGGCGTGTTCCTTTGCAATACCCTTCTTGGCAATACATGTAATTCTGAGTTCTTGATGCTTTCTGAGCTTACAGATCAATGGACCCCTGCGGTTGGCATCTCTTATTACTGGATCCCCGAGCCTGGAACCGTTGTGAAATTTGGCTAAATCTGACGAGTAGACGTTCATGGTGGAGTCGGTATCGCATTTGGCGGTTAACTCAAGCTTGACGGAACACTTTGGGCAGTAGTTATCACAGGTACAGTCTCTGGAGTATGACAAGCTCTCGATGCCTTCACTTATCAATGGGATGAGTCCCAATCTGTGTGACAAGAATTCGTCTGCTAAAACGGATGTATTGACTTCGATTTCCACCAAGTCGATAGCCAAAGTGGGCACCTCGGCAAGCATGGTTCTTCTGATGGAGTTTGCCACCGACAAATCCACATCTTTCAAGATGAAATTCACGTGGTCTCTGTCAGTCTCTCTGATAGTGACGGCTGGTCCGTCGCCCTTATCTATTTCCATGGTGTTGATGATGAATGTTGTGGTGAGTTAAATTTTCAACGATATGTAATCGGGTAACCTGTAAGATTTCTGCGACCAACGTGTAAAAGAATGGTGGCGAAACAACTATACGATACAGATTGTGCTTTGGAACGATGGATCAGTAGGTAATATTGAGTTCTTGTCGTTGGCATACCCTGGTTATCTGCATTGCTGCTTGACACCCTTTAAATTAGAAAAGTTGGTCCCATCATCATGGCACCTACCTAACATGCAAAAACTCAATGTGCAATTCGGGGCATCATTCGAACAAGGCCAACTCCACATATCCCCGATATACATCCATACTTCAACTACACAACTATGGACTTCAAGATACCAGACTTGCGGTTTGAGCAGACCTTCATCAAGCAATTGAACTCGTACGCAGGCAGAGACACGCAAGACGTTGCCACCCTCAGCGAAGAAGAACTCAAACTCGTGAATAGTGATCTCGATAAGAAGGAGATAGAAGCCAGAGATTCGCTCACGCCACTCGAGCCTATTACCCCCTCGATAGTGATATATGCTATTATCAAGGACCAGATACTCATGCCGTTGCTCCAGGGCTTTTTGTGGAGTGGATTTTTGTTATCGGTCAGTCCGATTCTTGCAGGGGTGGTTGCCCATGGTCAACGAACAGGCACTTGGGTGGCCAATCTCGTGGGATTGAATAGATTGAATCGCAGAGTGCGGTAGGGTGGACGACTTTAGGCATTCCTGGGAGGGCGGAGCTTTCCACCTTTAGTTAGTGCTACAGCAGAGTTTCTCTCCAAATCAGCCAGCTTTCTAATTCAAATCAGACACAGAGCTGCTCAAATCAAACCAGATACGAGGCCAGGAAGACCAACCTGCAGCAAACCAGAGAGATCCTGCCTAAGTCTGGATTAATAAATCAACTAAGAAATAGGTATAACCTGATGGGATACGGAAGAAACGAACTAATATAATGTACATATGCGCTAGGACGACAGTATAAGTAGCGGTGAAATCACCACTCCCTACAGTAATACCAGGCGTATCCTCAACCACCCGAGACTAGGTTACACCTTGTAGTCCTTAAGCCACACCTTGGGAGTACTGGTAGGGAGAAACCAAGGTCGGCGATTCGGCAAATGCTTCATCGCTGCATACCATCTACTGTAGATGGAAGTGACATGTGATGTCTTCCATTGGGCATGCTCTACTCAAATAAACATCCATGCTACTGGGTTTAAGCAGAGTCCAGCTTCTGCTGGGGCTTGAGCACTGCGACCTGCACGCTGCCCGTATTGTCCTCACCGTCTCCAGAGAGCCATGCGTGTCACCAACAGAACAATACCACTGCAAAACGCTGGCCATTGCCGGGAACCGGTCCACGGTCTCTGTGTCCGCCCCACCAACATCCTCGTCAGCTATGGCTGCTATCCAATGGTGCTATACCCTTGTGGTGGTCCCCCTGGCCATAAATACCCTGCGCAAGCCCCATTCACTCGTCAGCCCAGACAGCCCCACTAGCAGCGTGTCGCCTAACCGCGCGTGCATCGCGCGGTGCCAGCCCCGTAATCCCCGTACTGCTCGCTAGTCGCTCGCGCACCGCCTCCCTGGCTGGTACTAGGTCTCGCTGGTGTCCCACATCCTTCGCAGGTTGACGTGACACCCTCACAAATTCCTAACCTGGAATTCACTAGGGCAATCATAAATTTCAAAACAGACCTTACCTCCACCCATTCCATTCCACCAGCCTACGCTACCATGTTCAATAGACGTAGAAGTAGGCTTGAGCCGGCATACACTGGAGTCAACCACACTGCGCCGGCTTCCAGCCAGCCCAGCAGCAACGCCTTGGCCGCTGCATTGACCATTGGCGAGGCCATGAAGCTGGGGGCCCATCAGCCCACCAAGACGGTCCAGCGCTCCAATTCCATGCAATATATCATCAAACCGGCAGCAAACCAGCCTACCCGCTCAACCAGCTTGTTGAAGCGGTCTCCCTCGTTGTCGTCAGCCGCTCCAGCAGGCCAGAAGCAACAGTTTAGAGGGTTCTCTAGCTCGTCCATCACTTCTTCCACGTCACGCTCCTCGGTAGCATCGCCTCCGCCCGCCAGAGCGAGAACTCCCCAGAAGACCCACCAGAAAATTGTGTACGACATTGACGACAGCATCGACGACTCGTACTTGGATGATATTACCGAGGAGGCCAACCAGCGTTACTTCAACAACCACGACAACATGAAGGACTTGAGATTATCGCACCAACCTCTGTCTCCTCCAGCCCCTAAAAGCGCCCCAAAGAAAATGGTCAAGAAGTACATCCCCACCCCCAACGGGATCAAGATTATTGAGGTCCCTGAAGAAAACTTGAACAAGGAGATCTCAAGAAACAACTCGATTAGATCGGGCTCAAATATCCCAAGGACTGGCTCCTTGAGGGCACCACCCAAGAAGACCATTCGTACCAGCTCATTGAACTCATTATCAGGAAAGAAACCTTCTTCAAGGTTGTCTAGTTTGGTCAACTCTCCCAACATGACTTCCATGACTGAAAACGTAGAGTTGGAAGATTCTTTGGGCCAAATTGATAGTTCTCGTGAGCACGAATTGAAATTACAAGCTTTAGAGAAGCAAATCCAACATGAGAAGGATTTGGCTAGAGATTTAGAAATCAAAAAGCTCGAGTTTGAAAAATTGAAGTTGGCTAGATTGGAAAACGAGAAGAAGATGCTTCTTTTAGAGGAAGAAGCGGAACGTGCCTCAAATCCAAATGACGCACTTGAAAATGGTCTGGTTAAGGTCACCTCCGACAAGACTGGTGGTGAGGCTGTTACTTCTACTATTACAAGGGAAACATTTGAAACTCCTTCTGATAATTCGGAATCCAAGGATCAGATTTCGAAGCCATTACTTGCTTCTGTTGACGATCACGAATTATCAGACGATGAAGGCGTGGCGGGTGTTTCCATAGATGGATCGCATGTTGTTGTTGACGAGCTTGAGAAGAAAAAAATTGAGACTACTGGGGTTCCAGAAACTCCTTCGGATCATCTTCAAAAAGGTTCAACTCCAGAGTATGGTGATTCTTCTGAATATGATACTGATAGAGAAGCTAAAGACTTGGCCACTGGATCTACCAGTGAGATTGGTATAATTAACCGATATGGAGACTTTAACACTAATGAACTCTCAAACCGTGACAGTATTATCGAGCATCCCCTGGCAATTTCAACTGATGATGAAGATGATACTGAGTCTAACAGGTTGGCAAAGCAATTAAGACCAACTTTTGATGTGGTTCCAGAAATTATTGAAGATGCACAAGAAGATGCCCTTGTCTCACAATTAGATGCACTTCAGGTCCCCCCACCCATCAATGGCGGCAGTTCAGGCTCATCGCTCCACTCAGTTAGCACTTTTGAATCTAAGTCATCTTTAAAGAAACCTATAAAGTCTGCCATGAAGAATTCAAACTCATTCTCCAACATTTCGACTACATCATCGAAGGCCAACGCAAATGCGGCTCGTGATGCTTATCTCTCGTTGACGACTGCCGAGAATACTAAATTAAACTCTAAATTGTCCTCATCTCAATTGAATGATTTGAAACAGAATCACACTTTCATTCCCCTTTCTGATTCAAGTGCAAATGGGAATAACAGAATGTCCCAGACATTGAGAAAGCAACCTTCGCAAAAGTCACAAGGTGGTTTAGCTGGAAGATCATTGAGACCACAATCCATGAGTGCTGATCCAAGAATTACACAGCAGCAGAATAATAATGGAGGAATGAGTGGAAGATCTTTGAGAAATTCTATGTATACCCCTCATGTTGCACCAATGGCACCTCATCCCGCATTACAGGAAAATTACCAATCTCCCTCAAAACTCAAAGCAGCTGAATTGTATGCAAAGGCAAATGCAAGACCAAAATCAGTATTCAAGCCAATTAAGAGAACGTCGTCTTTCAGCAAAGAGGCGGAGCACCAACCACAACAGCCTCAAAGACAAAGAACGACAATGAGGGACTCGCAGCCAACTGTCAACCCACAACAGCATAGAATTCAATCACAACAACCATCTAAGACTCCACAACCAGCACCACCGGCTCCTGCAAATAATGGATTTCAAAAAGATAATTTCAGATCAAGATTTTATGATTCTGATGAAGGTGAAACGCACGATTCTCGTAGAAATGGTGGTTTCTCTTCTAGATTTAATGACTCTGATGATGAGGGAACTCAGGTTTCAGGCAGTGTTTCGTCTCCTGTATCGCATCATGCGGACGGTAGTGCGACCTTAAGAGAGAGTACTAAGCCATCCAAGTCTGCTGGAAAAGAAAAGAAGAAGTTCGGTAAGTTGAGAAAGTTATTTGGTCGGTCTAATTAGTCTATTCATTTTCGAAAGTTCTGGACTGGGAATCAGATTTACTTCCAGATTGGCTTCAGGCATTAATAATTTGATTGAAATCAATAGTGATATTTGACTTTCAATCCATCAGGAATCTGGGAAGTGTCCAAGTCCTTCCTAACCATACAATCTACAGGTTCTCGTTGATCAAACTATCGTTTCATTAAGGCACATCGGTAAAAGCTTGTATTTAAGAATGTATTTTATTTACTTTATGCTTGTAGTTTCTGGAAATGAAAAATATGCTTCTTTACAGAACTTGATGGCTGTTAAGTTGCAGCACATGACTATGTTCAAGTACTTTGACTAGAGTCAATATCTACTTATAAACTCATGAATTGTCGAACTCGATTAAGTTCTTGATTTCCCCCTTCTCATCTTTCCTTTCACTATCTGGGACATTCCCATTTTCCTGGTGCAATCTTTTCAAATCTCTATTAGCACCTGATCCAGGATGAACTGGGTCAGTCAATACCTGAGCTTCTGCACCAAGTAACAAGTCCTTATCAGCTTCATTGATAGAAATTACACCAAAATCATCGTCCCTTTCTTCCTCTTCTTCATGGACCTTGGATTTAGAAGATTTCATAGAGGAATTGTCCTCATTGTTGTGCAACACATTGTTGGCTGCAACATCCACACGGTCTCTCACAACTCTTGCCACTTTTCTACCATCAGCCAATAATCCATCAAACATACTTCTAAGGTTCCTGATTGAGTCAAATTTAGAGTCCAATGGTTTATCAAGATGAATGGATTTTCTAAAAGTTTTACTAAAGAACAATTCATAAGTTTCATCGGCTAACACAACCATTCTGAAGGTAGGAAGATTCACGAAGACTGGTGTATTTGGATTCAATGCAGCATTGTGTGAGATTTTGTTGTCCATAACTAAATCCTGAATCAAAATCTCTTCCTCAACTGGTTGTGCATACTCAAATGCTCTTTGAATAAAGGTACTAGCACCTGATAAGTATCTTTCAATTTGTTGATGTTCAAACTTCAGTCTGTCAATAATAATTTCTCCTTCAAAATCTGGGTTCTTCTTTTGCTCGTTTAGTGCAGTTTGCGAGATTAGTCCATCTGTAATTCTATCAAAAAGAATACCATCCTTCCATGGTGATGTTATACACAATAAGTCCTCTGAAACTTGCAATATGCCCTCTCTATCAATTCTGCCTAATTTCCTCACATCGTACAATTCAAAGAAATTAGAGATTGATGTCATCAAGTCTTTCTCCACCAATTTGTTAAGTCCAATCACCAAATCAGACAATGAGATGAAGCCTGCTCCCTCCACATCCCAATTATCGAATAGTCTTCTCAAGAAATCATCTGTGGTGACACCCGCACCTTGATGGTCTCTATTATCTATCCAATCACAAATATCATTCATGAATCTTTTAAATGCTTTAAAATCCATAAGAGAAGACCCACTTCCTAATGTAACATTGTAAGACTCCACAAATGCGTAAAATCGATCATAAATAATGCTTAATGTAGCTTGGTCTATATTGGCCAATTTAGGTAAGTTTCTTATCTCTGTTCTCTTCACGAACGAAGAAATGTTTTGGAAGATTGAATCTCTATATTTCAATCTGTGTTTGTTAATCATTTCATCATTAATGATAGAAAATTCTTTGAAGGCAGTCACCAAGAGTTCTTGGAACTTTGTGATATTTCTGAACTTGGGATTTGGAGAATTAGGATGTGCTGATTGGTCAAGAGTATTAAAGTATTCCTTTATAATTGAAATAAAGGTTCCATCATCGTTGGTTTTCAACAATTCCTCTCCATTTACCTTTAAGATTGCCAACCCAACCTGAAATAACGTCTTGGCACCTTGTAAGAAAAAGATATCAATGATCCTAAATGCAAAAACCAATGGCATTGAGGTCAAGTATAATGATAAAAACCAAGGTAAAGAAACAACTGACAACTGAATATCATTTTTCTCGACATGCTCCCATATCATTGGTAAAGTTGATTGGACCAACGATTCAAAAACTCTCTGATCCAAGAGGGTTCCGTACATAGTTTTTGAGTAATACCCGGGAACAATCTTATCGCACAATAAGTTAAGGGTCCAAAATGCTTGTTCTTCGGACATGTAAATCAACAAAGCTGCAACCACAATGTTCATGGCTTGACAGTAGCCAATTTCCGGGTTCTTCCACGAAAAAGCGGTGAGCACTCTCCTAAGCCTTTCGATACCAATTGGAGATTGATATCCCGAATATTCCGGTAATGACCTATTCAAATCCTTCTCGATCTCTTCAATAGCAATCGATTTCTTATGCATATTTTGTGATAACAACTTCTCGTATTCAGTTTGATCAGCTAATCTTAAATACATAGATCCACAGCATAGTTCCCAAATTTCTCCTCTCAATCTATTTGGGAGACCAACCCTGACAAGCTTGTAGAACATAGGGGTTTTGATCAATGATAAGTTCCTACCATCCACACGAAACAAATCAAACCACAATTTCATTTTTGATTTGTCTTTCGAATCTTTGGCATTTCCTGGAAATTTGAATTCCAAGCCAAGTCCACCATTCGGAGGGCTGTCGATTTTTTCATTGCTAATTTGATTCTTGGCCAACAAATACTCCGAATAGCAAGTCTTGAGGAAAATTTGGAACTTATTGATGTTACTCAAATTCTTCTTCAAAATGACTTTCAAGGTTTGAGCAAATTTCTCACTGTCTGACCTTAAACCTATCAAGTAAAGCGTGACGCTTATCTGACTATGAGTGGTAATTGTTAATGCAAAGCCATAGTCCCGAGAGGGTAATCGTTCCACCTTCTTGACACTCAGTAAATGAATAGTGAAACAGCAATTCCTATGATCAAACAGGTCTCTGAATACTAAGAAGTGTTGGGTTGCATACACTCTACCTTGTGGAAATGGAATGTTCTTATATGCATCTTTATTATGACTGGATTTGACACCAACTTCAGCGGCTGATTCTGACAATATAGTCTCACCGTCTGGCAAATTATACTCTTTGCAGAAGAGCTCATCCTTGGTCAATTTCACTTCCTCCTTCTTATCTAGAACTTGAGTAATAGTAGCCACTGCTTTGTCCCTAAGAGACTCAAAGAAGGACATCGTAAACAGGCGTGCTGGGAGATTCCAGGGTCGAGATTGCTCAATTGACTAATAGGAGAGTAATAAATGGACTAGCAGGTAGTAAAGAGACTAAGAAACAGATGAATGTTTGTAGAAGTCAGTGGTTTTGTATCCGCCAACTCCTGGGAGATCACGTTCACAGTCTCACGTGATCTCAACTATTCCCGTCCAGGGTACCTTTAACAATCTTACTAGGCAGACAAATGACCGATACGTACATCATGAGCCCAGTGACCTAATATTCGGGAGTATCCTGATACTTTAGTCACTGGAGTGTGAACTTGGTTGATCTTGATTATTACAGTATAGAATAAGTTGGGCCGAGCAGGCCGAGAAAAATGCTATCTTACGCCTACATTGAATTGTACTTTGCTTAGAAGGAGACCTGCCACTACAATGCCTTCAGGGTGAATAGGCATCAATTATGAGTAAATTTGAGCACACTAGCATATTTAGATAACTAGAGGAGGGTATTACTCATTTCTGAGCTTTGGGGCTACTATCTGGGACCACTTCTGTGACCATAAGCCAAGAGAATAATTAAGCCTTGTTTTTCAACTGTGAAACCTGTAGCAATTTGGGGGGCAATTTCACCCAGTTTGTGACTTCAAATCTATGAGCTTGCTTACAAAAGTAGTTCTTCTCGATCCCTAGCAATTGTGGGAAGATATTGGAAAATTGAGGCATGATTGGATGCGAAATAAATGAAAACTTACAATACTTTTCACCTTTCTGAGCTTAAGCTATTGCTTCATTTGAGATTCCTTTGATTGAATAAACAGAACTCCCATTTTTTTCCACAACACTGCTTTAAATTGACAGAGTAAAGAAATCCTGGCTATTATTCGTAGCATTAAATCAAAATAATCGTACATATAATATATAGTTGCAATGGCCATTGCCTAGTAATACAACATAACAAATCGGATACTACCGATTCAATAAATAAAGACAGTGAGTGAAAACTCACAATTATTACTCCTCCACCTTCTCCAAATAACTTTCGATCAAATGTGGACTTTCCAACTTCCCATTATGATGTCGAGAATGCGCATGATGAGGATGTGGATGTGGATGTGGATGATCTCCTTCGGTGGTCTTCGCAGCATCTCTAGACCTACCTTCCTTTTGCAAGTCCTGCAACGTCATGAAGGATGCATAATCTGCAATTTGCTTCAATGGCTCGGCAATCTTATCCCTCTTCTTCTGCTTGAACTTGTTACTTAAAATCTTGCCGGTGTGTTGGAGAATTATCTTTATGAGATCTTTCTTCACCCGAAGCGCAAACTCCTCCCCTGACCACATTTTGTTCTTATACTTCAAGCTTGGAATATTCAAAGTTAATTCATGCACATTGAGAAACTTCAAATGGAGTGGGGCCTTGAAGCTCACATGAAGCATAAACTTCTCCACCTCGATATTCACGATAGATAAGTATCTAGCAGATCTGTTTATGATGATGGATATATCATCAGCGTCACTATCATTTTCGTGATTATCATTGCTTGATGTCATGCTTCGTTTCTTCAGCTCGTTGCTATTCTCTGACGGCTTCTTCGACTTATCTGAATCCAGTTCAGATAACTTACTCGACAAAGTGGTAGAATTAGGAGTAGAAGAGAAAGAATCTGATTCCACGAGCGATGACTTTTCGCTATCACTCGAAGAGTTCAAAGACCGCTTCATCAATTGTCGGAACGGGTTCTTTTTGCTCGTTTGCTTCACTTGATTAACCTCCCCTTGTACGTGGTCTTTGATAATCTGTTCTGCGCCCTCGCTGTCTTGATTAGGAAATAAGAATTCAAAAAGACTCTTAGCTGTAGCATAATCTAACGCCACATTCAAAGGCTCGATGCTCAATTTGGCATTTTGCATGATAGGGATACCACCAATTGCATTTAACATTTCCCATTGCATAGTGATTATTGGATTCTGTTTAGCACATTCTTTCTTAGCAGCACTACCTGTTCCAATCCGTTCGATATCGTGATCGGATAAATGAGGTCTTAAAAGCTCGGGGTAATAGCAATTTTCCTGTAAATTAAAACCCTGTATCATGGAAATGGTAACTTGGTTCTTATTCGATCCGTCGAATGAATCCGATCTTTTAAAATTGGCCCTGGCAAGTGCAAAATCAATAAACGGTTCTCTGTTCTTATCCAAGATATGCCAAATCAATTGATCTGCGGAGATTGACCAAAATCTAGAGTCCTGTTTATGGGCTTTTGTTTTTGAACTTCTCAATCCAAGACCTCTCATCAATATATTCAATTCAATGATGGCTTTTTCATAATCCATGCGCAATGCAGCTGTCTCATCCTTCTCTGTGGTGCTCAATTGGTTCATATATGTATCCAACTGCAATAATATAATATGGTACTCTCTGATAGTAGTTTGGAGTTCTTTTATCTTCTTATCAAGCCCTTCAAAATCGGAGGAATCCGACAACGAAACAATCTTATCCAACCTATTAAGCAATTGGTCCCTGTGCGTTTTACTATGCACCAACAAGTTGGTTATTACATAGAAGACAGTGCTGTATTGCTCTGATGTCGTGTTAATAACAAACTTGGCCAAGTGAACCTTTATCTCATTGCTTTGGGGTGGAATTGACTTGTAATCGCTGAACAAGTAATTTGGCTTCTTGTACAACATGGCTAAAGTATTCTTCTCTGCAATTAGTTGATTATTTGCCCATGAGCTATCGTAGCAAACCTCGGATTCCACCCAAGGGGGCCAGTTCACATCAGAATTCAAATGTCCATTTCCATAGTGGATTTGAGGGTGTGCAATAGTGCTCTCATCCTTTTTGAAGACAAAAATGTGACTATCATTGAACAACACCCCATACCTTGATTCAATTGTGCCTGATAGTTGATTACTCTCACTTATTATACGATCTAGACCTTTGGTTGTCACATCCACAATTCTCATCTCTAAGTCTTTTGAAGTAATTAAACAACATGAATCTGGATCTTTTTCACTAACCAATTGAATTTGAGGATGTATCAACTTAATCAAGTACTTATTGACTATTTCTTCTTCATCCTCATTTGCAACTTCGCTCAATTCGTCAGTAAAGTTTTCAATGATATCTTCGGAAGTTCTGGAGTAAGAGCTATTGAAAATATCATCGAGAGTTTCCCTTTCATCTTCATCTAAGCTATCATTGATAACACTTTCAACCAAATCCACTGCTTTCTTACTCATGAAATATCCTATGGATTTACGATCATTAACATTCTGAATGTAAGTCATGAACTTATCACGAAGTGAATTGTCCCACTTGACTTGTAGGTTATGAACGATGAAACGATTGTGGAAATTATTTGCAGAACTCTCTCTTGCCTCTTCCATCTGGTATGTAGTTGTATGACTGGAATACATTGATAAAGCTCTTGTTGGCCTTCTGGAAAGCGTTCCTGAATAAATGGAAGAATCACACAGGATATCCCTTCCTGCAAACTTCTCCCACACAGATTGCACAACATCCAACCTATCTTCATTCAACTTAATTTCCTTTTTAACTCTGGAAATATCTGTTGCGCTAAAGGCATCACCCTTCATGTTTCCTAACAATTGTTTGGATTTCTTCAATTCACCCTTTATCGTCTTGATCCTATCAGCTAATAGAGATGCTTGCGAATCATCAGGATTTGTTGGTTTAATATTGTACATGTAAATGTCCTCCTTGCCAAATGGATAAGGTCCATCGTCATGGAAAGTAAATTCACGAAAGTAACTGAACTTAGGTGAGTAACAGAACGGAATGACCTCGACCTTCGGGTTCTCTGATAAGGGCTCACTAAATTCTAATTCGACAAAATCATCTGAGTCTACCCAAGATAAATCATCATCATATTGATTCACATTATCAGACCAATCGAAAGCATTGGAATCTTCGTCGTCATTTGCATCGGCGTTTGAGGTGGGCTTATGATCGCCCATCATCATCCTAACCAATGGCTCCTTCACACTCTTATTGTTATAAGTAGCCCGGATTATTCTAAGGTCCGCATCATCAACATTCACTTCACCTTGATTCATTTTAAGATGCATTATTTGATTCCGAATATTCAACTGCTCATTGATATAAGTCACAAATTCCTTTCTTTGGTGCAAATCGATTGTACATCTCTTGAACTGTCCTTTTAGACCAGTAAACATTAATCTCTCTGCACCATTGAGCTTCTTCTCACTAGAATGGAGGTAGGTATGAGAAATGGTCAAAGGCTGGAAAATAAGTAAGTATTTGATTGTAAAGAGATGAGGTCCCAATTTTACTGATGACTTCTTTACCGGTGAATTATTAAACAACTTGCCTTGTCTGATAGGTAAGGATATACTGTGATTGAGCGTTGTCCACCAATAGAAGAAGTAGTTGAATACAACAGGTGTCAAGTACCCTGAGTTCATCTCAGAAGATCCGCTTGAAGATTCCGATATAACTGACAACGCCATGTGTACATAATCGGAACGGAAATCAGTGTATGAATCTTCGTGTGAATCGAAACAAGGATTCGTAATCTTTATATCCCAATGGTTTTTGAACTCAGATATTCTTTCCTCTTGATCACATAATTTGGTCGAATTGTTTTTGTTCCTTTCAAATATCATACCCAAAATCCAAACCACCCTGTCTGAAGACGCCAACTTGACAACAGTTTTCAAATATTTCTCAGAATTCCTACCATCGTACTCAAAACCTTCAGTTCCTCCCGTAGTGAAAAGATTCCATGTTTTCTTTTCCAGCATAGAGTAATTGGGCACAGCCAATGTAAACGTATCACTCTCTAATCTAATCAAGTCCTTGGAGTTTCCGTGTGCATTGATTTTTAATGCAACGTTATCTTTCCATGAGAACACGAAACCTGCTGCTCTACCAACCACGTCATATGGATCAGTTGAACTCTTCATATGAAAGTTCAATTCATTTTTCACGTTGAAAACAGCAGAACCGTGACATAACAATGCAATCTTGTCCCACCATCCTATAGGGCTATCATCAACTTCTGGTTTCGTGAAGTTGTCGAAAGCGGCAGAAATTGCCAGGAAAGCTGGCTGGTATGATTTGCACCAATTAATCATACATGATCTTGAAGTCACCAAATTACAAATTAGCTCTGCCGTGAACTTGACTGGTGTTAAAGTTCTGGGAACATATGTTGAGTAGAAGTTCTCATCAAAATTTCCAGATGGTGCAGCTGGTGAAAAAGGCACGAATATGTACCTCATTTCTTCCCTACTGGTAACCAATTTCTCATTAATAACCACATTACCCAGAAGATCAATTGTAGGTTTAGAAGGATCACCACTTTCAGGGAATGATACAAGAGGAATGGGATAATCTTTCACAATCATGTACAATGAAGAACTTCTTAAACGGATGAACATAGGAACCAAAATGGTGTATATTAATTTTGGTTGGTTTTTACCATGATCATGAAGAAATTGGTGGATATCTGGTATTTCAGTCCTTTCAAGTAACAAGTCCAAGTCTTTGAACACACCTCCCAAAAGAGGAGGACCTGAAGAATATGCCAATATGTCGAACTTATCTGCAATCAGTGGCTGAATATCATCATCTCCCCAAACATTTTTGCTCTTGACTTTCCAGTCACGATTCTTCACAGCAGTAAACAATTTATACTTTTTAATCCAAGAATCGGAAAATTCTCTGAACAATTGCTGACGGGCTGTTTCGATCTTTTGCGCAGCCTCTTTGTGAGTTAATGAATACTTTAAATTCGATGAACGACTAGAACGCTCCTGTGCAAGCTTTGACTTTTTAAGAAGGTTTTCTCTGAAGAATTTAGAGTGGAATGACCGTCCTGATAGGTTACTCGTTTGACTCCTCTGGTTCTCCACAGATGGAACTCTTGACGAGGATGGTGAACGGTGTGTAGTCTCTATTGCACTCCCATTTGTCTTCGATTTGGAAAGAAACGACGTTGAACACTTGGGTCTAGCAGATCTCTTGCCATCATGTGAGCCATCTCTCTCATTGTGGTTGTGAAGCAGTCTTTCTGGACTAGCATCTGTTAATTCGATCAATTCCTCCAAATCGGGTTCTGCTAATTCTAATAATTCTTTTTCCTTTTCTTCAAAGACTTTCATTTTTTGAAGCCTACTTCTTTGCTCAACCAAGCCAAGCTGATAGATATAACCAAGTTGAGTTTCAAAAGGATCATTTTCCAACGAGATACCAAATGTTTTAGTCTTGACGGAAACTCGGGGAAGGATAATTGCAGGTTTCTCTGACGGCATAATCCGAGTAAAATCGGTCTCATTAACACTTAATTTCTTAAAATTAGTCTCAATTTGCTTCAAAGCTTTGGCAAGTGTTAAAATATTGTCAATAACTGTGTAGAACAAAAATTGATGTGGAATATTCAATCTGACTGATCTGGAAGTAACCTCAAAAGTTGACTCGCTAATTTCTTTTTGAAGATTAAACTCAATATTTGGTTCGCTAATAATCAACAATCTTGCCCAAAGCTTGGTGGCAGGATGAATGACGTATAGCCTGATATACCTGATACTCATCGACCTATTGGAAAAGCACTTGGAGAGATGTAAGTTATCGACTTCGAGCATTATGTCAACATTATTTGGCAACCTTAAAACTATTGATATTGCGTTAAGAATCAAATCTAATTTAATTCTTTTCCTTGGTGCAGTATCAAGCTTCTTCTTTGCTTCATTAGAACACTCCTTCTTCACCGTAGGTTCGAAGTACTCCATTAAAGTTTTTGCATAAATTACGCACCAAAAGAAGAACATGTCAAGCCTACCGTCAATCTCAGGAAAAACCAAAAAGAGTTTATTCTTATCCTTGTTAATTTTATCCTTGCAATGGTTTGTCAACATTAAGTCCTTAAAATTCAAGACCTTCTTGATCTTCTTAGTATCTTCAAGAGGACCTTCATCACCAGATATATCTGAGAAGTTGGTGTTGAGACTCGAAACATCATCATCAGACAGTTGGTCTTTAATGTTGCTAATATCATCAAAATCTGCAATATACTCCTCCACACAATCACTGATTGTATACAAAGTAATCGACTTGATGTTGAAGGAAACTTCTTCCCTCACCTTTTTGTAGATCAAATGCAAATTGTTCATCCTCAAGCAGACACCTCTCTTGAAGTCTCCCAAATTAAGCCCTTCCTCAGTTTGATAAGCTGGTAACCCATCTTTGCAAAGAATATCAGCTTCGATGGCAGAAATTCTCATTTGAACATGGGAGAAAAATGATGGTAGAATTTCGAATAAATGATAATATGATTCAGGAGACTCATAATCAATCGGCGCCAGATCAATTGGATCCATTTCCTCAAGTGATTTAACCTTATTATTGTACCTCACATTTTCCCTATTTCTTATTCTTCTCACAAGATGAAAGATTGCATCATTCACAGATTGTATCTTCACAACTCCAGTGGCAAAGTTAACTCCAAAAGTATGCTCCTTTATATTATACACACCTAAAATGCTCAATTTGTTCACATGAATCAGATTACCCATAACTTTGGTTCTGACATTTTTCAATCTGAATAACGATGATAACTTGTGTTTCTTCCGCTTGCTCAAGCTGGCAAAGTTTTTGGTAGAATATGTATTCAAAAGTGCCAGGACTGTGTGTGTCCAGACCAAGTTATCTTTGGAATTTCTAATATACTTGTCATTGGGTGTAAATCCAAGGGGGGGATAGTGGAAATTAATTTGGAAATCCAATACAAGCAACCGAACTGACAACATTCTCAATTTTTGTAGTAACAATACGAGATCATACTTCTTGGTCTCTGTTTTCTCACTTATGGAAGTACTGGACTTTTGGACTGCATTGTCAACTTTGCTTTCCATAGTTTCTTTCTTGTGACTTTCACTTGGTTCTTCTGCAATTTTGTTGAGGATACCCTCTAACTGGTCGTAGTATATATCGAAATGAGGATTGGTCAAATTCAATGCAGTATCCCAATCTATGAATTCTTCAGTGCTCCCCAAATCACCGATTCTGAACGCATTGAGTACGCTGAGGAAGCTTACTGGATCCAAAACTGTCTTAAATGAACCCGACGGTAAATTCATGCACTTACTCTCGCCATCAAGAATTTTAAAGGCAGTAAGGAAAAGACTCAAGCTCAACTTTTCAGGAGCATCATCGGGCCTTTCTTTACTTAAGTTGGCCACAAAGTTTGATGCCTGAAGATTTAAGTCATAATACTTGAAATCGAACTCCTCTAACGAAAAAGTTGCTGACGTGAATAATGGAAGAATTTTCTTTAAAGAATTTTGGATTCTATCCAAGGGAAGTTTGGTGTGATCTGTAGATGCTTCTTGCGATTTTATTTCTTTGTTGCGACTCCTCTCGAGCAACATCTTGTCGAGTGGCAAGTACAACTTACCGACAGATGAGGATACTCGAATATTTTCAAGCGCAAGGGTGACCCTATGGGGATTTTCTCTTGTGCATGAAGTTACCAAGTTACTTGATACTCCAAACTCAACGTTTCTGAAGACTTTGTGCTGTTCTTTTTCTCCATCCATTTCATGTAACTGTCCATTATGTAAACTGAAGCTGAATCTCGCGTCACCGTCTTTGGTGACTGCCGTTTCGACCTTACAGTCATCGGTGTATAGGGCCAAAAGCTCGTGAGTAGCTTGGTGGTAGACGGAACACCGGAACACATGGATGTAGACCTTGTTGGTGATCTGGTACTTGACGCAAAAGTCAATCAACCATTTCGGAAGGGTGAACGGCTTTCTTGGCCCGTGTGTCGTCTTGCTTGCATTCTTTTCATCCTTTCCACTCGAATCTGGGGATGACGCATCGCCTCCATGTTCCTTGCATCGCAACGTTACATCATATATCTCAAGCCTGAACAACTTGAAAACACTGTCTTTGCCACGGATCAAGTTCAACCTCAAACGCACCCTTCCGATGTGGAGTGTGGTCTTCTTCAAGGTAACAGAAATGTGGCCCAAGGAAAACCAGCCAAGGAACTTGACGCTGACCTTGGGAATGGCATTGAGCAGTAGGAGGACTAGAAGATATGCTGCTATCAGGTATGATAGCAACGAGTAAATCATAACTGGCTCCAGCTCAAGTGCAAATGGGATGTGGTGCTGCTGAACTGTAGGTGGCTGATAAGACTAAGATGGGGACAATGTCATGTGCCCAGACCAGGTCCAGGGACTTTTTTCCGACTGTTCCGGGGGTAGAGAGAGGCGAATAATATCACAATTGTGGCCACGGAGGCTCGGGAGAGAGTATGGAGAGCAGCCAGAGGTAGTAATGTGCCTGGAAAGGTGTACTAGTCGTTCCGTAGCTGCCGGCTGGCTCCACAGGCCGGCAGATCTGGGTCGTTCGTGAAGGCACATGTCACGTGATCGTTTCATGTAGGAAGTTATCAGCACTGAGGGCTATTGTTTTCCTGTTGTCTGCAATGTACCAGGTCGGACCTGTTGAGCGCAGAGTGGGTTTGGGTGGCTGTAACTTCCCCATCCACTATCAGAAATTCTCGGTCTTGGAGCAGCGACACTCCGTAAATTTTTTGTGCACCACAGCAAGCGAATGCCAAGACCCGCACCGTTGATAACGGCGAACGAATTCTTCACTGCTTTATCAGTTCGGGGTTGGTGCTCAATGCTGAGTTGGCCGAGGGATGCCAAAACAAAGTGAAATATCTGTAGTCAAAATCACTAAGTCATAACTGGTACCCAGCTATAATGGCTGTAATGGTAGACTCCCCACTAGGAGGCACCGGATAGTTCCTGTGGCAAAATGCCAGCTTTATAGCTGAAGACATGAGGACAGGACTCCGCTGCAACCGCAGAATGAGCAGGTATCATTACCACTTCAACTCTTACAAGACTCAGCAGAATAGACCAGAAGTATCCTTGTTTCATCTACTTCCCCTGGATAATATTTGAAATCCAGGGACTAATAATTTGTCTAGTTTTCCAATTTTTTCGCAATTTTTTACTAAAGGGTGCACTAAGGTTGTCAAAAACGAATAAGCCTCAACAAGTTTACATGCTAAGTTATAGACTCCGGAAGCCCAGCTTCCACCGTCAATTCTATGCATACACTAGATTACCACATATTGTAAAGCGGGTACTTGTTCATAGCAGGTTACTAATTGTAGTAAACGATATGTCGAGCATTCCATCTACGAAAGCAGGGATGGATTCAATAAGGGCTGTGTTGGGGCGCTAAAGATGCTCAGCATGGTCTGGTGCTTCGGAATACTGGAATGCTTACTTTCACACCACTCCACTCAGCTCCCATCACCGCTATTTCCCCAATATGGTTCAATATTTGTTTCCTCTTTTTGATAATTCCCGACATCAGTAAATCAGGAACGATGCCGCTTCGAAACTTGGAACCGCTCTAGGCTCGGACCACCCAACTTCTCGAACACGTAGATGCGTCTTTGTGGGCTTCCACCTGGACCACTGGTACACTTTTTGGAGGAGAGAATTTATTGTCATTTTTGGAAAATCTCTGGAAAGGGGAATGTTAGCGTGTTTTTGGCAACTGAACAATCCCTGCAAGCAGTGTTGACGCCCCGATGCTGGTTAGCGAAGGCCCCTCCTATGAATCGGGTAAGCCTCAATCTAAATCCCTTTTGTTTCACTATACTGAGTTGGGAAAAGACCTGGATATAGCTGATTCTAAAAATGTACCTGAGGACAGATAATGCCCAATCTAGAAGTACGGCATATAGCCATGTGCAGGAAGGGCAGCAGGACGAGTGGGACGAGTTGGCCAATGTAGTTTGTATCGCTTCCAAGGGAGCTAGAACTTCGAGAAAATTGACTCCGGGAGGAACTGATGAAGATTAATGGCGTAGTTTAGGCGTGGATAATGGCCCTTCCTCTCTATAGCATCTCGTATTCTTTGTAGGAATAGTGCCTTACTCACCAGCCCACAAAAATTTCCTGATTGAGACATGGAACTAAAGTCGCACAAAGGCACCTAGTGGATTTACCACTCTCAACTATACTGCCTGTTTGGGCAATTCCGTTGCAACAGGTGCAAAATCCTGCACTCATTACATATCTGGATTAGGAAGTTTCGTAGTGTTGGAAGCTGGACTCCACCTGGTACCTAGTTGAAACTTTACCTATTCGGGCCATCTAGTGTCTAGCCGGCATTGCCAGCGTTGGCGAATCCAGCTATATAATACGGGGGTGATCCCAGCTAGGATTTTCTTTTCTCATCAACCAATCGTCCACTATCGTTTGCAATGAAGTTATCTACCACTTCCGCCGCCGCCATCCTCGCCTGCCTTGCTACTTCTCTCGCCTCCCCAACCGTTGTTAAGGTTGCCGGTGCTGAGTTGACCCCAAGACACGTTGCTACCATCAACAACGCTATTGCCAGCTTAAACGAATACACCGTCAAGAGAGACCTCACCGTCTCCGCCGAGGAGCTCGCCAAGAGAGACTACCCAATTGTCACTCAGGTCTTGACCGCCATTAACTCTACCGGTTTGGCTCCTGGTATCATTCAATACTTCATTGACGATCCTCAATTGAGTCAAATCGCCACCAACGTTATTGTTGATGCCGTTAAGTCTGGTCTCGTTGACCTTCCAACCTTGTTGAAGGCCTTGAACGACTCCGGTTTGGCTGTTCAAGTTATCAAGGACCTTATCAGTGACTGTCAATTCTACGCTGAAATCTACAAGCTTGTCCTTCAACAAATTGGTAACTTAGGTGAACTTATCTCCTCGATCTTGAAGGGTTTGAACCCATTCAACAAGAGAGAAATGGAAGAGTACGAACAACTCATGGCCATGTCTAAGAGATCTTACGAGACTCACGAACAATTTGCCAAGAGAGCTTCCTCTGCTGCTCCAGCTCCAACTTCTGGTTTCAACGAACAAGAAATCCTTACCAACTTGATGGACTCCTTGAAGAAGTCTGGTTTGGCTTCTCAAGTTGTCAAGCAATTGGTTACCGATGACAAGTTCTACACCTGGGGTGCTTCCTTGATTGAAAACTTGTTCAAGTCCAACGCTATCACCATCCCACAACTTATCGATGCCCTTGCTCAATCTGGTTTGATTCCAAGCTTGATCAAGAACTTCTTGAACCTTGGTACCTTCAAGACCGTCATTGTTAACGCTTTGGCTGCTGCTACCGGTAACTGTAAGGGTAACACTTTGACCACCGTCAAGCCATCCACCACCATCCCAATTTCTTCTTCCACCCTTCCACCAGCTACTACCAACCCATCTGGTACCCCAACCTCCATCTGTAAGAAGAGAAAGAGAAGATCTTACTAAATCAGTCAGGGTAACATCTGATTTCATTCTGCCAAAAATCAGATCATTTTGCTCCACTTATACCTTGAACTCCTCAGTTGTTCACACCTAGTTCGCCGCAGGACGGGTTTAGCGTGCTAGAACATGAGTTGAGCTCTATCGTCATACCTTGTGACATACTTTTTTGGAGTGTCACTATTCGTGTTCAAACTTTTCGGTACAATTACGCAATAATTGTTCATCGGAGCAAGATGGTCTATTATATATATGCTGTAAAATAAAAGTAATAATGTTAATCTTCCGTAATATTCGTAGTGAATGTTCCTCCACTAGTGAATTCTGGAGTGAAATTACACAAAGCAAGAGTGCTGAAATAACACATATATAATTTGAGCAAAGAACTACGGAATGGTATGATATGGTGTTTAATGATTTAGCCATCCCCATCTCTCGACGTGTGGTTCCAACTTGCTAGTTTGCAATTCATATCGCCGCTACCGAAGATATCGCCAAGTATCAAACCCACTGACGAACCACGAGTCACGTGACTAATATCTCCACCGTACGCGATTTATCAACAAATACGCGACGCTTCCATCCTCATCACCAAGATGCCTGGGTACGTCTATCACGTCTGTAACATTGCTCCAGTTCCATACTAACATTCCAGAGAAACCATCACCTTACAAGTTGGCCAGTGTGGTAACCAAGTGGCGTTACAGTACTGGAATCAATTGGCTGCAGAGCATGGAATTCAAGCTGATGGTCTGCCATTAGCATATCCAGATGATCCCTCCTCGCGGTTCCAATCCGGTAACACAGACCATGTGGCTAGTCAGGGTCAGTCTCGCGAGGACCGTCCCGAGCTTTTCTTCACATTATCGGACTCTAATAAATATACTCCCAAGGCAGTGTTGGTGGATCTCGAGCCTTCAGTTATCCATAAAGCTACCAACGCCCTCCCAATGTTCAATCCTCGAAACGTGCACTTGAGTGAACATGGATCTGGTGCAGCCAACAACTGGCAACAGGGATACTCGTATGGCTTACAATACCAGGAAGAATTATTGAATTTAATTGATCGAGAGGTCGATAAATGTGAAAATGTATCCAATTTCCAGCTTTTTCATAGTGTGGCCGGTGGTACTGGTGCCGGAGTGGGTTCCTTGTTACTCGAGTTGTTGAGTGACCGTTTTGGGAGTAAGAAGTTGATCAACACATTCCTGATTTTTCCATCGAACGAGAAAACCTCCGACGTCGTTGTACAACCTTACAATACTGTCTTGACATTGAAACGATTGATCGACTATGCAGATAGCACTTTTGTGTTCCATAATGATGCCTTGAACAGCATCGAGAATTTGCTTTTCAACACTGGCGGCTCAAGAAACTCAATTGATGGCCAAGCAGCTTTTGAGGGCGCAAACAAGATCATAGCCTATGTTGCGGCCACAATATCCAACCCATTGAGATTTCCTAATTACATGCACACATCGCATGAGTCGATTTATTCCACGTTGGTTCCTACACCAGATTTGAAATTCTTGACAACTTCAGTGGCCCCTTTCACATCACAAGTATCGAGGCAAAGCTACACCAACGAATATGAAATTATCCTTGAGCTTTTGAATGATCGCTACAAATTAAATAGGGTGACCGAGCCTATCAAGTATATTTCCGTGTTGAACTACCTAATTGGAAACAACCTCAATCAAGAGGAGATACGAAAGGGCACAACCAAGGTCCAACAAAGACTCAATTTCGTGCCCTGGACTCCGTCTTCGGTGCAATGTGTGAATGGCAGAAAGTCTTTATTCGGTAACAACTCAGCCACCAAAGGGCTCACGGGCATCCAAATCTCCAACAACACCTCGATTGTGGGGGTTTTTACCAAAATATTGAAGCAGTACGACCTTTTAGCCAAGAGAGAGGCCTACATCAATTCCTACACCGAGTCCAACGACGCACAGGAACGAGCCAGAGTTATGGGTCTTTTCAACGAGTGCCGCGAGAGCGTGGCACTGGTCGTGGAAGAGTACAAGGCGTGCCAAAGCGTCAATTACTTGGAGGATGATATCTTAGATGAAGATGAAGTGATGTAGCATAAATCGCGGTCCTGCAGATATGTCGCCACAGTTTTGGAGCTACCACGAGATAAGATCGCCCATCAATCGGCGACTGAGATGAGAACATCACTGCTATTTCAGATTGGTGTTGCAGCTTCCTTTTCAAGCCTTGAGGAGAAAGCCCCCAGTCACAGCTTCTGTTCTCCTAAACATGGTCTTAGTTCTTGATCCTCGTCCACAATTGAACAGTGGTTAAGCCTTGGTTGATTACGCATCATTCCTACACAATATGGCTCGCGAATTCGGAGCCGCTCCACACTAATTTTTCCACAATAGTGCCTTCTCGGGATATTGATTATTAAGCTTAGAACATAAATAAGCCTAATCTCCCCGGAAACTAGCAACTCTAAATAACCGTTGATTGACGAACATAATGGCCAATTACATTTCCAAGCATTCTTTGGCCAGACTGGTCGGCCACTTTACCCAGAACGATCTCTCGGGAGCCCCTGAAGGCTTCAAACCTCACCCCAAACCAGTTTACTTAAGTTTTGGAGTTCCGAACAGCGGCTTTTTCCCAATTGAGTCTATTCATGCCACGGTGAAGGATTACCCATTTGAACAGAACGCGGGAAGCTCGTCAGTGGCCAACTCCAATGGCACCACCAATGGCACCACCAATGGCGATCACAAGAGCCTGAAGGAGACGAACGAGAGCTTCATCACTACTCCTGCCCACACCGATGATCCCAAGTTGATTGATATCGCTCGTGGATTGCAGTATTCCGAGGTCAATGGTCTTACTCCGCTTTTGAACTTCACCAGGGAGTTTATCACCAGGACACACAAACCTGGGTATGAAGATTGGTCGACTATTCTCACTAGTGGGGCTTCAGATGGGTTGCTGAAAGCTGCTGACGTTCTTTTGGATCCAGAAGATGTCATCTTGATTGAGGAAGTCACCTTTTCTCCCTTCCTTTCCAGTGTGAAGCACTTTGGAGGAATTTCAGTTCCAGTGAAATTGAATATCCACAATGGTAGTGATGGAATTGATTTGGAATACTTGCTGGACTTGTTGGAGAACTGGGAAACCTTGAAGCCTAACTTGAGAAGACCAAAGGCTTTGTATACAATTGCAACCGGCCAAAATCCAACCGCTTTGACACAAACTTTGGGTTTCAGAAAGAAGGTGTATGCTTTGGCTGAAAAGTATGACTTTGCTATTATTGAAGATGATCCTTATGGATACTTGACCTTGAAGCCGTATGAAAAGCCAGCAAAGGAAGCAGATTTGCAGAATCTTCCTACTGTGGAAGACTACCTTAAGAACGAATTAACCCCATCTTACGTTACCCTTGATACTAGTGGTAGGGTCATTCGGGTGGAAACGTTCTCGAAACTCTTTGCTCCAGGGCTTCGTTTGGGTTTTATTGTTGCACATAAGAATGTCATCGACGCCATTTCTAAGTATGCTACGTTGGTAACGAGATCACCATCGGGCGCAGCACAAATTGTTGTCAACAATACCATCCAATTGAAGTTCGGGGGTCTTGAGGGATGGTTGGAATGGATCGTCAAGATGAAGGCCACCTATTCACACAGAAAGAATGTGTTGCTCCAGAGTATTTATGAATCGGAGGCGTTCGAGAAGAAATATGTCGATGTCATTGATTCAAAGGCAGGTATGTTTGCCGTGGCCAAGGTGAACTTCCCAGAGGGTACCGACGTCCCTGCCAAGATTAGGTTGTTACACTTCAAGTTCATCAACTACGGTGTGAATGTGGTTCCAGTTGTCAGTATGACCGTTGACAAGGAATTCAGTAAGGACAAGGCCAACTTCTTTAGATTGTCGTTTGCACCAGCCAGTAACGACGAAGAACTTGCCGAAGGAGGTAGACGTTTAGCGAGTGCTATTTACGACTTCTTCGAAAAAGGATTAGAATATTAGTATGACGAGCTCAGGACTTCCGGACTGCGAGCAGTCTGAATGCACGACTCAAATCAGTTACTGTAGTGCCAAATCCACGGAGATAGTAATGGCTGCACCATCCCTTCACGGGAGTAGATTAATGCTGATGGCACTGGAAAATAAAATCCCAAATAAACATCAAAATATAATGCACTGCCGCAATAGTTATCATTTTATCCTGTATTATGAGCGCAAAAACATCAAGGGTTGCAAGACCTGAATGTGCTTTGGACCATACCACACCAGCATGGGTTCCCCAGCAATGTGGCCACATCGATAGTCCTGCACGATAAGCCCTACCTCCCTCAATGTTAGAAAGCACCTTCCGATAGCGTCCGGGCCAGTTGTCAAGCAGGGTGTCACTCCAGGATTAACGTACTGCACACAGCCGGGTTCATATGATTTCACACACAGTCCTTAAATGTAACCAAAGTTATCCTCACGGACCGCAAACTCGAATTACGAACTAACTGGATCGTATTCCCTAATAAGACCTCCGCCCTACAACAGCACCATAAATGTCATTCAACTTCGCAAGCTTTGCCAAGGACTTGAAGTCTCTCGGTGGCAAGTTCACCGATGAATTCAATAACGAGATCTTGCCCATGGCGCAAAGAACCTCTAGAATCGTACAAGAAAAGATCGGCAAAGTCAACATCGAAGACATTTCCCAATTGCCCAGCGAGTACACCGACTTGGCCACCAGATGCAACAACATCGAGAGCTTGTACAAGAATGTGTTGAAGATCACCACCAACTACGAGAACGAGGGCTACGACTATCCAACGAACGTTCAAGAATCGTTCACAGAGTTCGGCAAGAATATAACCACCAGAGTCTCCAACTTATCCAAAGCCACTACCACTGCCGAAGCCCAGGCCGCCATCATCAACCCCACCACTGGCGAGTTTCAGCCTCCCAAGACTTTCTACCACGCTTTGGCCAGAGCCACCGACGGCTCGGTATTGACCTCTTCTGAAGACCAGAATGACCCATTGATCAAGTCTTTGGATTTGTACTCCTCGAACTTAAACAAGATTGCCAACGCGAGATTGGGCCAGGACCAATTGATCAAGGCCAAGTTCAACAAGCCATTGAATACCACTTTACGCCAGTTGATCAGCCAAAGCAACAAGATTCAGAAGAAGGTGGAGCAAAAGAGAATTGACTACGATTTGGCTAGATTGAACTTAACCAAATGCACAAACCCATCCAAGGAACCACAATTGAGAGTCGTCATGGAGAATGCCGAGGATGAATTTGCTAACACCGTTGAAGATGCCATTAATATTATGCAGAACGTTTTAGAAAACGCTAAGCCATTGGAAGAGTTCCTTGAGTTGATCAAGGCACAATTGGCTTATCATAAGTTAGCTACCGAGTTGTTAGGTGGTATGGTGGGACAATTCGAAGAGTTAATCGAGGATAACTCCAGATCCAATGGGGCTAGCAGCAGCCGTGAATCTGGGGATTTCGATATTTAAGTAAATAGTATATACATGTTTATTGAGATAGTTTGAGGAATGTGTTCCTTCAAATTAAAGGTATGCTCTATGGCAATTAATACACTAGCGTTAATCTACATGAGGACAGTCTATACGACTTTTGGTTACACACTTCTATAAATACTTTTTAGATGACCATAGCATCGTTGTAATCTAGTTTGCACCAAGCTTGATTGATTCTAATCTCAAATCAACAGCGCTGTCATGTTCTTCAAAAGCGTAATTTCCTTCCAAAAGCTTTGCATGAATTGATTGCAATGCCCTGATGGTATCCTTTGCATTTATGACTGCTGAAATGTTGATTTCATTAGCACCTTGAGAAATCATTTCTATATTTATTCTTTCATCGGCCAACACCTTAAACATATTTCCAGCAATACCAATGAAATTCACCATCTGCTTTCCAACTAAAGATACAATAGTCATATCTCTGGTAATATCGACAGTGCCGATTTTGTTCAATTCCTTCAAAGCATGCTTCAATAATTGCTCTTGTTCCGACTGTATAGACAACGCCATGGAAACATGAACTTCAGAAGTAGAAATCAAATCTACCACTAACTTGTAGTTGTCTAAAGTGGTAAATATATGGGCCAAAAAGCCATGGGACAAAGTCTTTTTGTTGGAATGTACATTAACTACCACAATATCCTGCTTTGCAGTAATTGCAGTTGCGGATCTCTTCTTGTGGGTAGCAATGTATCTGGGTGACAAAGTTTCGTAGGCAGCAGGAGGGTGTGGTGGAGTTTGTTCGCCTCTTCTGCCAACGTTATCTGGGTAAATGATTGTACCCTTGCCTTTAGGATTTTCCACGTTCTTGATTCTGATTGGAATTTTGGCCTTGATGACTTGTTCCATCGTGAAAGGATGGATAACCTCCGAACCATAGTAGGTCAACTCAGCAGCTTCTTCAGGGGTGACACTGTCCAACAATCTAGCGTTAGGTACCTTTCTTGGATCAGCAGTGAAAATACCATCCACTTCCTTCCACACTTGAAGTTCGTCTGCCTGGGTGCCGACTGCCACCAAAGCAGCACACAAATCAGTGTATCCTCTGCCAACACCGTTTAAGAGTCCACCAGGGACTATACCAAAGTATCCGGTCAACACTGGGATCACCCCATCCTTCAATTCAGACACTCTTCTGCCCAATTCTGTACTCAAGAACTTGTAGAACAGTTCGTTGAAACCCTGACTGAAGTCGTAATCCAACGGTATCAAGTCGGACAAGTCGATGTACGCGGAGTCCAAACCATGGTCCTGCATCAATGCAGCCATGAAGAGACACGATAACTTTTCACCAATGGACATGACAGAGTCCAAGGTTCTTGGGCTGATCTCGCCGATGACCTGACTGGCCCTGAGGAGTTCTTGGGCCCGGAACAATTCCTTTTCAGTGTCTGCAATCAATTGAGCCTGGATGGTTTGGGACTGGATCTTGTCCTTGGCGTTTTGGACGTGGTCTTCCTGGATGGTGTCCAATATCGACTGGTAGTCTTTGTCTTCAAGAGCAAAGTCAGCAGCACGGATAAGCCTGGAGGTAGTTCCTTCGCTCTTTGTGTGGGACGATCTGGCAGAGCACACCACGGCGACCCTGTAATTCTCACTGAAAACCTTGACTATATCATCCACGATGTTTTCGGGAAACTTACCCACAGAGGTACCACCGAACTTCTGGACGAGCCAGCCTTTGGTGGAGCTTTTGAGATCAAGCACGGAGTTGTAGGACCTGGGGGCCGCTAATGGAGAACCAACCATGTTTTGCGGAGTGAACTGAGATCGAAACGGCTGCATATATAGTGTTGCATGAGTCAATGAAAAATTTGCCGGTATCGGCACGTGATGTGAGGCAACGGGCCGGAGTATGACTCGGTGGTCCCGGAATTGGGGGTGGTGGATCTGGAGAGGATAGATAAGTTCAGAGATGGCACTGCTGGGGATGGAAATGGCACAGCTAATTGGAATGGTTCAAGTGGATTAGCGGGTGTAAACCCTTACTTGACCACCAATAGGATCGTTGCAGGACCCGGTAGACAATAGGTTCCACTGGGACTGAAGATCCTAGGAATTCTCAGGAACGATAGTTGTGTCCAGTTGGTGGCAGCCCCATAGTTTGGGAGCTGGAGAGGTCAGTTCCTGGCATGAATTGGTATTTAGTAGAGTATCGGAGCTAGGGATTTTATAGACTATTCTAAGGAAGAATAGTCTGGAATACGTGCACCACCGCGCCGGAGATACTCTAAAACTCTGGGCGAGATCAGCAGTGGGACCGTTCCTTCTTAACTGGAAATCTTCCAAAGTGTCTGTGATGGCACCTACGCACACGTTAATGCTATATCAAGATCTATACCTGAAGAAGAGGAGGAGTTATAGCTATTTTTGCAGCTATATTATTATTCTTACCAGCAACTGTAAGATCTCTATTAGAGGAAATCATGGTGTATAATTTCTACTTCAGCTTAATTGTCTTCAACTATATTTTGGTAATCTAAGTCAGTTACAGGTAGTATTTTATTGAGTGGCTTTATGCCACTATATTTTTCTCTAGATATTAGAGCCTTCCATTTCTCCTATTTCTCTGTGTTGGTCCTCTTTTCTTAATTCCTTATGCGCAGTTGGTGGATCAATCTCGGCATACATTCAAAACCAGGGGGTTTTATCACTTTTATTAAATTAATGGAACCAACAATCGTTATATCCTTTCAAACAATCAGTCTATCGGAAACGTCGCCCTTATTTACGACGTAACTGCCCATTGATACAGGATAAGGTTGTAAATAAAAGTTGTGTGAAGCTATAATTCATGGGAGGCCCTGGCCCGAATCTGTAGACCATTTAAACCAGTCGACAACTCTCTGAACTGGCTAGGCCCTTAAGCAGATTTATCTCGCCAGCACCTCTAGTTTGTAGCCTACAACTCGCGATTTTTCACCTTCACCTCTGGTGGTGGGCCCACTCGCACTGGAGCAGATCTCAGCCGATTGTTCTCATCTCATCACTTTATCTCACCACAGCCATGTCCAAAAGAGCAGCCGAACCCACCAGCGGCGAGTCCAAGCGCCTCAACGACTCGTTCACCAAGGAGGACATTGCCTCGTTTTTTGGGCCTCAAGTGTGGTCATCGGAGTTCCAGTCCAAGCTCCAGAACGACATCAAGACCAGCCAGCCATTCAGATGGGGCACCATTCCCGAGTTGATGGACGACACCTTGCTCAGACAGGTCAGAAAGGAGGTGTTGAGTGAAATCGCCTTCACAAAGAAAGAAACCGACATCTACAAGGTGTTCCAGTCTGGAGACTTGGCTAACTTGTCTGGATTGGACTGGGACGACTTGTCGAGATTGCCCTCCCTCTACAAGCTCCGAGCTGCTATCTACTCCGAGCAGTTCAGAGACGTGGTGTCGACCATCACGGGATGTGGCAAGTTGAGTGGAGTCAAGACAGATATGTCCATCAACACCTACACAAAAGGTTGCCATTTGTTGACCCATGACGACGTGATTGGCTCCAGAAGAGTCAGCTTCATTCTCTACCTCCCCGACCCCGACAGATCCTGGAAGGCCCTGTACGGAGGTGCTCTCCGCTTGTTTCCAGCCATCGTGCCCAACGTGCCCAAAACCGACTACGAATGCAAACTCGTGCCACAATTCAACCAGATCGCCTTGTTCACAGTGCAGCCAGGTCTCTCGTTCCACGACGTGGAGGAGGTCAGAGCAGACAAGCAACGGTTGTCGATCCAAGGGTGGTTCCACATTCCACAACCAGGCGAGGAAGGATTCATTCCTGGAGAGCAGGAAGAGACTGAGGCTAGGTCCACCTTGCAACAATTGCAGAGCAAAGAATTACAGGAGTACGACTTCCCCAAGCCGTTCAGAACCGACATCCCTAGTGAAGAATTGAAGGCATACGAGCGGGAGTTCTCCGAGTTCTCTCAGGACGAGTTGGAGTATCTTGGGACGTACCTTAACCCTTCATTGCTCCAGAAGAACAACATCGACCAGATGAACAAGCTCTTCTTGGACGATTCTGTGGTCGAAATCCGAGAGTTTTTGAATGACGAGTATGCCACCATTCTTCGGGAGTTGGCCAGAAACACAGAATTGGACACCAAGGCGCCAGCAAATTCGCTGGAAATCGAACTGCCCTGGAAGTGTGCCATGCCACCCCACAAGCAGCGGTTCATGTACATAGACGGAAAAGCAGGCTTCGAGTACACCGAAAACGGGATCAAGAACTATAACAATGTGGGAGCCCAAGAGGGACCAAACTTCGGGTTGGTGGCGGGTACTGTGGCTCCGGAAAGTGTTGAGCACAAGCTCATCGGGTTGGCATCGTTCATACGGTCCATTGCGTTCAAGAAATGGCTCAAGTTGATCACCAGCTTGATTCTCACCAGCGAGCAGGTATTGGTCAGAAGATTCCGTCCTGGCCAGGACTTCATCTTAGCTACCACCACCGACAAGCAGCTTGCACGGAATGAGGACGAGTTGAATGTATTGCTTGAAGCCACCTTGAACCTTACACCTAGTGCCACCAATCCCAAGAACTGGGAATCGGGAGAGTTTGGGGGCTACGAGTTGTGCATGGCGTTGAACGGAGGCAACGACGAGGACTTTGAAGAGGACGACGATCCTGCCATCTACAAGGCCAACGACCCCAACGACGACAGCGTGTTGTTCACCAGCCAGTGCAAGTGGAACTCGCTCACGTTAATGTTGCGAGACCCCTCGGTGTTGAAGTTTGTCAAGTACGTGAGTGTCAATGCCAAGGGGTCGCGGTGGGACATCAGCTGCCAGTGGAACGTTAAGGGAGGCGACGACGACGATGACGAGTAATTAAATAGAGCCTTGGGATATTAGAGAGGTTGATTAAAAATTATTGAAGCATTTAGTAATATTGTTAACGAAAATGGAGATACTCTTGAAGTCTTTGGTAGTGTAAATATAGTATATATCAAGAGTAGTTTTACATTGACATACAACCTGAGTAATTATGGATACGTACCCCGTGAGAAAGATATAGACAAGATCTACAATGAGCGAGTAGATAAAACACCAAATATTGCCAGAACTAGTCAAGTTCAGAACGGAGAAATTGCTTGAGAGGTTCAATTAGCTTGATAATGCAAGAGAAATATCCCAAGTATAGCAGAAGAGTATTGACCAGAATCTGAGAGTAAATATTGACCTGATACAACTGAAGAGTATTAATAGATAACAGATAACATCTAAGAGCAGTACATCGAGGGTTTGACCCAAGTTTATTGGATATAATCTGACAGTCGAAATACTCTGCGATATGCATATTTCCTGCGAATTATGGATACCCTGTGAGATCGATCCTTAGAGTGTTTCCGGCTATTCTGAACTCCAATCGATTGTCACGTGCGCAGCCCAACAACCACTCCAGGCTGTGACTCTAGGCAGAGACTCCACACCACAAGCCGCAACAACGGCCACGAACGGCGCAGCGTGCTCCCAATCCTTCCTTCGTTGCATGTGCAAAGATCTGGCTAGTGTGATTTTTGTCAATTATATTCAATCGCACATGAGCATCCCAAGACAATTCAGGTAGAAAATGGAGTGCCCCAAAAGGAGTACGCCAAAGAACATCCAGATATTGCCCTGCTGGAGAGTTCTGGCACACCCATACAGTACCACCAGCCACATAGCTTCCCCCACGGACCGGCCTGCCCAAACAGAACCAATCTGTGTGGGGGATGTGGCCCGCACTGGCCTCGGTGGCCTGAGGATAGGTTAGCCATTTCCAGTAATCGCCTGCGGCGACCCAACGCGCATCGTATAAAAACCCAAAATTGATCCACTTCATCCTCATCATCCACCATGGCCGAAACGGAACCAAACCCCCTCGTGATCTTCGCCACCATCGCCGCCGTGATCGCGTCGTTCGTGGCCCTCTACTATGTCCAGCAGAATAAGAAGAAGACCCCTGTGTTGAAACCCGACCAATTCCAGAAGTTTCCCTTAATTGAAAAAACTCGTGTTTCTCACAACACCGCCGTCTACCGGTTCGGATTGCCCAAATCCACCGACAGATTGGGCTTGCCTATCGGCCAGCACATCTCCATTGGTGCCACCATCGGCGATAAGGAGATCGTCAGATCGTACACCCCCATTTCCACCGACGATGAGTTGGGATACTTCGACTTGTTGATCAAGACCTACGAGAACGGGAACATCTCCAGACACGTGGAGTCCAAGAAGGTGGGCGAAACTGTGGAGTTCAGAGGCCCCAAGGGCTTTTTCACTTACGTCCCCAACATGGTCGAGAGCTTTGGAATGATTGCCGGTGGTACCGGAATCGCCCCCATGTACCAGATCATCAGTGCCATCTTGAGAAACCCTGAGGACCGCACTAAGATCCACTTGGTCTACGCCAACGTCACCGACAACGACATCTTGTTGAGAGCCGAGTTGGACAAGTGGGCCAAGGAGCACCCAGCCCAGTTCAAGATCCACTACGTGTTAAACGAGGCTCCAGAGAACTGGCAGGGGTCGGTGGGCTTTGTCACTCCTGAGATCATCGACGAGCACTTGCCAAAGCACACCGAAAACACCACCATGTTGTTGTGTGGTCCTCCACCCATGATCAGTGCCATGAAGAAGGCTGCTGTATCCTTGGGCTACCCCAAGGCCAAGCCTGTTTCCAAGCTTGGCGACCAGGTGTTTGTCTTCTAGACGTCTGTTTAGACATAGTAGTATACAAGTAATTGACCAGCTGTAGTGGTAGTGACACGTGATTCGATAAGGGATTGGAGGTGAATTCCGAACTCGAACTAGGTTCTGAATCGGCTCCAAGGACGGAGAATCGGAGCTTGAGTCGACATCACTGCCATCTCTTTATGGGACTTGTGTGCAGGTATCTTTGGGGATTTATCGTCAAACTAAGTAATATTCAGTGTACTGAAGGCACTTGTTTGAGCCAATAACTAGCTGTTAACATAGTAGTATCACTAATGGTAAATAATCTAATAAACATCCATAATTATACGGCGATATACTGGGTGAGGAAAATCTAATCTAATCTAATCTAATAATTTTTTGTCACATATGAACTGACTTTCTCGCGGACTAGTTCGGTAAACATTCAACTTTAGCTGTCTTCCAACTGCTGAAAATCCCTTGACCTACGATTGCAAGTTCCATTGAAGTTGGTTGTTTCCGGTCCTGCAGATGTCAATTTGACATATGCTCATTCTCCCAGCCACTTATCGTCACGTGTTATCTTCCCCGTGACCGGTTCCGTGACCTCCGATAAAGTCACAACACAATTGCTGCCACTGTCTATCCACCACCATGAAGCTTTCTCTGTGGCTCTTGCTAGTGCCGACAGCATTGGCTGTCGCTCGCTTCGACACCACTAAAGACAACTACATCATGAGCGCTATCCTGAACCAGCGCATGGAGCTCGAGATCCAGGCGCTAATGAGAGCACCTCCCGCCAACTTCAGGGACTTGCCGCCCATCATCCACATGCCCACCAAGGAGGAAAAGACGTTGGAGGATGGTGTGTTGCCCCATTATGTCATTGATTACGCTCCCCTCGTACACTTGTACTCGGAGGAGGCATACCTCCCATACGACATCAAGAAGTTTGTCAGCCATTTCCATGCTGAATACGACAATGGTACGGTGGTGCCTGGTGGCGAAGGGTCGTTGAACTTGACCAGATTGGCCAACTTGCCCAAGGTGCCCAATATCTACTTGACAGCAAACTCAGACTTCGACTCGGATCCAGAGTGGATTACTGGATACAAGAACAAGCCTGACTTGATCAACGGTGAAATCAAGGATGCACCTGCTACATTAATCATGGTCGACAAGGGAAATGGGTGGGTCGACGCCTTCTGGTTCTATTTCTACTCGTTCAACTTGGGACCCTTTGTCATGGAGCACGGACCCTACGGCAACCATGTGGGTGACTGGGAGCACTCGCTAGTCAGATTCTACAAGGGCACGCCTGTGATTGTTTGGATGTCGGCACACGGTGGGGGAGGAGCATACTACTACCACAATTTGGAAAAGTACTCTTTGGAACCGTTGCACCCGGTGATTTTCAGCGCCCGTGGGACCCACGCCAATTATGTGTCGGTAGGACAACACCCCCATGACTTGCCCTACGCCATTCTTTCCGACTTTACGGACAGGGGCCCATTGTGGAACCCCACCAAGAACTACTTGGGCTATACCTATGACGGTGAGTTCGTGTACCCGGTGGAAAACAACTCCAATGCCAAGCACGTGGGCCGGGAGCTCGAGTACGATAATTGGCTTTCGTTCCCAGGCCACTGGGGAGACAAGCAGATCCCCGACTCCGATCCTAGACAGAGAAACCTGTTCATCGGTGGATACAAGTATATTGATGGCCCCACGGGGCCATTGACCAAGAACTTGTTGCGGCTCCAGACGTGCGAGCGCAACAAATGGTGGAACTTCTGGAAGGGCTGCAACGTTCGCGAGAATATCAAATGGGGCATCGGGGTGGAAAGCGAGGGCTACAACTGTGGCACTGTGTTCACCCGTGTACGCCCCGCGTGGTTGAGGAAAATGCTCCAGAAAGTTACCTGGGGTGGTGGCTTTTGCTTTATAGTGGATATACTCTATGGTTAGACTAGGAATGATAGTATCCGGGGGGTACCCTGGATACTAGGAATAATATTAATATACAGTATGGTAAGGTTAGAATGAATGTGGTGTAGCTCTGGAAATATGTCAGTATGGTTATGGATATAATACATGGGTAGCTAGTAGCTCAGCTTGTAACTGAAACTTTTACTTGGAGAACGAAAGTGGAGTAGTACTCTATGAAGTAGTCAGACATTAATTAGATCTCGGATACACCAAACTGTTGACTCAGCACTAGTAGCTCCAGGAATAATCAAGCGCAGCTTTGCTGGCAGCTTCTTGAAACCGCAAGTTACAGCCTAGTGACAAATTCACCGCATACTTCAGACCCACCAAAAACTTATTTTATCATTGACAATAATTCAAGGACAGAATTAAGAGGGAACACACTCACAAATAGACAAATGTAATATACTCACTAAAATCTACAAAAAGACTCTTAGGGTATGGTGGAACTCACCAGCAACCGCAACCATGGCATCCTTCACCTCTTTACCACTCTATCATTCGCCCACTAATGTTACAGTCACCTCCACCTGTCAACTCTCGCCCAATTACCGCACCTAAAATTATTGACAGCGTGGGGGAGGGGCACCGCGACAGGGTCCTCCTACCCCTTCTGCCCCCGCCATCCAGTCAACCTTTGCAGCTGGACCCCAGCAGACCTCCACCACGCTTACTTTTAATAGCAACACGTTCTTGTTGAATCGTGCCCTCCAGCCCCGATATTACCGCTGCCTTCACCGTTGCCGATGGCCCTACCGGCCCTAACTGGTCGCGCCAAGCCTCGTTTCTTTTTGCAGCACTCATAGAGGTGGAAAAACATGAGATGACTCAACTTCAGCGTCAACTTCATAGAACTTCTTCATTCACGATGGACTTGAAAGAATACTCCGCCGATACCCACACCAGCTCGGAGATACCGTCGTCGGCGTCGTCGCCCGACGGGGCTAGCGGACCAGCCACCAGTAGTGGAAAATGGCAGAACTTCAAAGACTCGTTCAAGCCTGCCATAGAGTCAGAAAAGTTGTCTTCCAAACTCGATACCTCCCACCTCGGCGACCCCGAGGCCCAGATCACTGAGATCCAGAAGATCAACCTCAACTCGTCTTCTTCCAACTTGCACCGTAAGTTGGAAAACCGTCATTTGCAGATGATTGCCATCGCCAGTTCAATTGGCCTGGGGTTGTTGATTGGTACCGGTTCTGCTCTTAGCACTGGTGGCCCAGGTGCCATCTTGATCGCGTGGGCCTTGACAGGGCTTGCCATCTTGTGCACCATCCAAGCCATGGCCGAGTTGGCCGTAACGTTCCCCATCAGTGGTTCCTTTAACGTGTATGCCAGCAGGTTCATCGATCCCAGTGTGGGCTTTGCAGTGGCTTGGAACTACTTCTTCCAGTTCTTGGTGCTATTACCGTTGGAGTTGGTGGCAGGCTCCATTACCGTGCAATACTGGACCACCAGTATCAATCCTGACGTGTGGGTGTTGATTTTCTACATCATCGTCGCATCCATCAACTTCTTCGGCGTCAGGGCGTACGGAGAGGCTGAGTTCATCTTCTCTATCATGAAGGTTCTAGCCGTGATTGGGTTCATCATTGTCAGTATTGTGTTGGTAGCTGGTGGAGGTCCCAACGGTCAGCACAGAGGATCAGAGTACTGGCACAACCCCGGGGCATTTGCCAACGGCTTCAAAGGTGTGGTTTCAGTATTTGTCACTGCTGCGTTCAGTTTTGGAGGTACCGAGCTCGTGGGACTTACCGCAGCCGAGGCAAACCAGCCAAGAAAGTCTCTTCCAAAGGCCACTAAGCAAGTTTTCTGGAGAATCTTGATGTTCTACATGGTTTCCTTGACCCTCATCACCTTCCTTGTTCCACACACCTCGCAACAGTTGATGGGAACTTCTTCTGTTGACGTCAAGGCTTCCCCATTTGTCATTGCCATTACGAGCGGAGGCATTAAGGGCTTGCCTTCGGTGATGAATGCAGTCATCTTAATTTCAGCCATCTCGGTGGGCTCTTCTTCGGTGTATGCAACCTCGAGAACGTTGACATCTTTGGCCGAGCAGGGATTGGCTCCTAAAATCTGTGGCTACATTGACAGGGCCGGTAGGCCCTTGGTAGCTATTATCATTACCAACGTGTTTGGTCTAATCAGTTTTATCGCTGCCAGTGGTAAGCAAAGTGAAATCTTCTCGTGGTTGATGTCCATCTCTGCGTTGAGTTCGATTTTCACATGGCTCTCCATCTGTGTTGCCCACATTCGTTTCAGAAGAGGGTTGGCTGTCCAGGGAAGAGGCACCGACGAGCTTGCATTCACATCCCAGACTGGGGTCATCGGATCCTATTTCGGAGCTCTCTTGAACACCTTGGTGATTATTGCTCAATTCTGGATTGCCTTGTTCCCGCTTGGTGAGTCCCCCAATGCCAGTTCATTCTTCAACAGCTACCTTGGGTTTGTGGTGCTTATCGTGTTCTACGTGGGCCACAAGTTGTGGAGACGCAACTGGATATTGTTCATCCGGGCCGATCAGATCGACGTGGATTCAGGAAGAAGAGAAACCGATATCGAGGCCTTGAAGGAGGAATTGGCTGAGGAAAGAGCCATCTTGCGTGCTAAACCATTATATTATAGAGTATACCAGTATTGGTGTTAATAGACAAACTTACTAGTCAAGCGTTTCCTAGCTTCCCGTAGCAATCACACGTCATCTCTGGCTATCTACACCCGAGCAGTAAGAGTCATGGCTCCAGCCAGTATTTCTTTTCATTGAAAACCCCCATTTTCTGTACTGCCCTACTCCATTATTTGTGCTCATAGTGGTCGCACTAAAAACCAAAATATCGGAGTCCCAAACGCTACCTCCAAAACCCAAACCATCACCTCCCTTCAATGTCGACCCACCACCCGACATTTGGCCGTTCTTCAGGCATTGGGAGCGTGTTCAAATCACTTACAAAATCGCTCAAGTCGTCACCCAACGTTCCTGTACAAATCAATCCACTAGTGGTGGGAGGTGGAGAAGATCTCCAGAAACTCATCCAGCAATTGCAGTCGGAATCGCTAGCAGTACGAGCCAGTGCTGCATCCAAGCTCATAGACTGTATCAGCAAGTATGCCATCTCGTCCATCCCCGAGGTATGGTATTTGGTGAGGGATCTCTGTGATATCCGCATCTCTCCCAACTATCGTGCTGTGGCCGTGAAACTCATGGTCCAGTGTATCATCCATGCTGATAGCTCTGTGGGAACAAGACTCATGTTCTTCAAGGATATCATCAATTTCTGTCTGTTTTCCAAGCCAGACCCTGAATACTTGACATTCCTCCTGGCCATGAATGTCCTCACCAAAGACGGCAAAGACATCCAGGATTTCTGCATTTACGACGACTCGAAGAACCTTAACATATTCATAGAATCCACGCTAAACTGTGCTTATATCGTCAACGACAAATCACACGAGAAACTAGTAAAGACTCTCCAGTTCATCCATGACTGCTTGCATCACAGCTACGAAATCCTCGACGACACTCTCAAAATGGAAATAATGGTCAGAATGCTCGAAATAGGCTCGCATACAGGCAATATCACCTTGTTGACCCTTGTTGTTGAGATAATGAGTACAGTCGTTGCTTCGGGGTCTATCAGTCTGGACTGGTTTGATGATTTGATAAGGTTCAACTGCTCCATCTATGCCTTGAATTTGGACCCAGGTTTATCCTTAACAATCTGGAGAGTATTTGATAATCTAATGGTCACAGACAGTTTCCAAGCCACCGTATTCAGTTTGTGTGAATGTGTTCAGAGCGCAGACTTGTACAAGTATCGGTCCAAAAATACTTTGGAAATGAACTTATCCACTCCATCGCTAAATGCGTGCATAGGTGCTATGGAAGTGATTAGCAAACTTCAAATCCTATGTGCTTCACAAGATAGCTCACGTATAGAGCCTTGTCATAATCAAATCCTCAAATCCACCAGAAATGCAATACTGTATAAAACTCCATTGATTAATAGTGCATATTTGAGGTTGTTTGATAGAATTCTTTCAAAAGATTCTTACCTCGAAATTTTCGGAATTAACTTTAATGGTTCATTCGACAAGGTCTTGCCATTTCAGTTATGGTACTCAGTCTCGAACTCCGTCTATGACGTGCTAAACGGGCTTCTCTCAAACTCGGAGCAAGATAACAGATACATACAATCTATTTGCCTTTCACTTCAATCCCTCTATGAAAACCACGAATTAAGCTCGCCAAAAGAGAAGCTAGTCAACTTCTTCATGAGCCATTACGAGCTGATTGCACAGGAAAACATTTTATTCATATTGAATTACTACAAAGAGGAAAAGCTTTGCTCTTTGTTGTATCCTTTCTGGAAAGATAACTGCATAAAACTATTGAGGTGTTTCTACTATGAAACAAGAGAGCCTGAAACCAAAATACGTTGCTTGGAAGTGATTAAAGATGCTTTCAGCACCTCGTTAACTGTCTTCCTGAAAGATGATATTAACTATGAACTTCTTTTCGACATTTTCAAGAAGTCTATACACGAGAGTGACGAAATGCTCCTTGACTACTTATTTGACAACTTATTCGCGTTTCTTGCCGTGCAGTGTCCTCTGGGGGTATTCAAGCAATTGTGTGATTCTTTCCAAGTATTGTTCGTTTTGCCGTCCAGATCACCTGCTCTTGACACGGGATTGAATTTCACTTCTATTGGTTCATTTACGTCCTTGGGCCATTCTCAGAAATCTGATCTTTACACCTCTCTGACGACTCCAACGGATCGAAAAAAGGTGACCTTGTCATTTATTGAGAAGTTGGGTAGGGCATTTGCTAGGCTGTTCGTTATTTCCGCCAACAGCGATAGTCTAAAGGCCAAAGAGTCATACCAATTTATTATCATGTTGTGTAACTTTGCTCTCCGGACGGGGCATATTGACTTAATTCTTATACTATGCAAATGCTTGATACGGATTAGGGTGACTGAAGAAGGTTTTATTTATTTTTCGCAGCCACAAGAGATGATTGGACTTTCAACCTCTTTCAAGAGAAATCCTCAAGATCCATCATATCCCAGTGACTTGAGCCAAAACTATAAGTGGATTTATCCTGAATCTGTGTCATATCTTCCTGAGAGATACTTCAATAAACCAACACGAAACTTACAACTTCAGAACAAGGGACAAGCTGATGTGCACAGAGAAACCTACATACATGGGTACAATAATATTAGAGAATATGATGATGATACTGAAGCTGCTCCAGATAAACACGTCATTGATCTATCGCCCTGGTTAGATGCAATTCTTCAGATCATGGTAGAATTCGTTGATTGGGAAGTGTACTCATTTATTTGGGCCCACTTTTGTCCCCAATTATCAAATATCCGGATATTCATGCATTATGATGAACAGATTTTGAGGCTCAAAACTATTATATGTGAGCATCTTACTTTGAATTTACCGAAGCAAGTGGAGCTTCCCGCGAACCAGGTGACGAAGGCTGATTTACAAGTCGTTTTGGTAAGAACTCTCTCTGCATTGGTTGGGTACCACGACAAATTTACAAAATATGATGAAGATCAAATTATTAATTCGTTAATCTTTGGTTTGGGGTCCTGGGAAAAAACTGCTATTCCGTGCATAAGTATTTTGACTGTATGCTGCTACGAATTTCCGTTGTCTATCAAGAAGTTTCTCTCAGTGATCCTAACCAAATTGCAAACCAGAGTTACCAGTGCATTTGCTAGTGCTCATACGCTAGAGTTTTTGACTTCGTTGATTCATATTCCCAAGTTGACATCCAACTTCACTATTGATGAATACAAAAGGGTATTTGGCATAGCGTTCAAATACATTCAGTATGCCAAAGACTTGAAGAAAAGAAAGCCTGTGTCATCCAATAGCTCACATATCCAAAAGCACGGTGAGGATGCGCAGGTTGAGTCCACGCCCTCGACTCAATCCACCGAACTCACTCCGATTCTCGCTCAGTATGTGTTGATGGCGTCATTCAATGTTATATCGAGCTGGTTTCTCAAGATCAATATGAATGACAGAAAGTCGATTGCTCCGTTCCTTGTTAAAAACTTGGTACTGTGCAGTGATGGAGGTGAGGGCCTCGATGACCAGACGGTAGGTTTCTTGGATTTCCTTATCCGATTTACCCACAGTGATTTACCACTCAATATCATCACCCACAACCACAGCGTATCCAGCAAGGGCAAGGAGGAGACAAGCTTGAACCGGTGGATCGTAGGGAATACCATCATTGGCATTGAAATCGACAATTCCACTGGCAGCTCCAAACTCAGCATCCGGAGGCCCACGGGGTCGGTGATGCTTGATTTCAAGCTCCATCACCAGGAAAAGGCGATCGAGGGCAAGATCCACCCCAACTACTATCTTCTCCAGCTTTTTGACAACATCGATCCGAGCAACAACGTCAAGCCTATTCCCATCATCGAGGACTCCGTGGTGCTCCGAGCACTCAACGTGTTGGACCGGATTCCCACCGTTGATTTCCACAAGATAGGCATTGTGTACATTGGACGAGGCCAGAGCACGGAGGGCGAGGTTCTACAAAACCAGATCGGGTCCACCAGCTACGAGGAGTTCTTGGCCTCCATAGGGCTGTTAGCACGGCTCAAGCACGCCAACCGCAGAATTTATGTGGGGGGGTTGGACACCGAATGTGACTACGACGGCGAGTATACTCGCTACTGGCGCGACAAGACCACCCAGATCGTGTTCCATGTGATCACCATGATGCCACGCGGGGCCCAGGAGCAGCGCAAGAAGGCTCATATTGGCAACAATTACGTCAACATCTACTTCGACGAGTCGGAGCTCCCCTACAACTTCAATCTCGTGCGGTCGCAGTTCAATTTTTTGAACATCCGCATTTCGCACCACACAGTAGGGGAAGCTTCAGGCCACCAACGGTTCTACAAGGTGCAGACCTACCGACGGCTGGGGGTGCCTGGGGTGTTTGCCACTGCGCACTTCAAGCTCATTTCCCAGGAGAACCTCGCGGTGTTCATCCGCAACTTGGCGATTGTCGCCAATCAGTTTGCCTGCGTGTGGCACGCCAACGGTAGCGAGAGCATCTGGTCCCAACGGGTGCGGCAAATAAAAAAACTCCGCGACAATACCGTGGAGTCTCGCCAGGCGTTGGGCGAGCACGACGAGGCCATGATCAGTAAGCTTGCGGGGCTTATGAGTGACTCGGGCCCCTAGTGGCATACTGCTACTCCCTACCAAGATTCTGCCAAGTCCCCAGGGTCCAGCCAGCCGCTAATCACAATCCGACAGCGCTAATCTCATCTAGATCGGCGGTCGCCTACGCACCGGTTCGATTGTTCCGCAACCCTGACAGGGTTCGCAAACGCAAGCCCGCGCTCGGTGATGGCACGTGTGACTCCTCTGGCAGCAGCCACCATGATAACAACTGTGGTGCAGCAAAAGAAAAATTACTAATCGCATCATTTATAACCGCCCAGCTGCACAAAATCCACGGTAGTCTTCCTACTACTAACATAGGTGCAAGTATAGCTGCCCCAAGTTAGACATCAAACTCCCCCACCTCCACTCTGGGATTATGCAGGGACTCCCGTTCGTGAGCGAAGGCTCCTCCACCCACAAGGCTTTGGCATCAGTAACTTCCACCCTCTCCAGCCAGAGCCTGGCCCTCGCCACCCTCGCAGAACAGTACCGCTCCGACGTGTACTCCCAGCTCAACCTCATCCAGTCGCTCCAGATCTTGTACAACACCTCCCAGGTCAATAGGGGAAAGGTGGTGGTGTGCGGCATCGGCAAGTCCTACAAGATAGCCAGCAAGCTCGTGGCCACCATGAACTCGTTGTCGATCTTTTCCTCGGCTCTCCATCCCGCAGATGCCTTGCACGGCGACTTGGGGCTCATTGACGAGTCCAAGGACTGCTTGGTGCTCTTGACTGCCAGCGGAAATACCCCTGAGCTCTTGCAATTGTTGCCACACATCTCCCCCGAGGTACCAGTGGTGTTGCTCACCTGCAACAACGACTCGAAGCTCTCCAACCACCCGCAGGTCAACTCACTCCTCTACGCCGCCTTGCCTGCCCATCTCAACGAGGACTCCATCCACGGCTTGCCTGCGCCGACCGTCTCAGCAACATTGTCTTTGGTACTTGCGGACGCCACCATCTTGGCATTGCTGGAACTCATCGAAGAAGACACATCCAAGAGAAAGAAGCTCTTCTCCATTAAGCATCCTGGCGGTTCCATAGGCGCGGACTTGAGTCACTTGAACAATAATGTCGCCATGAGCAAGTCCGCCTCCACAAACAGCGACAAGAAATCGTTCTCATCGCACATCAGCACTGCATCACTTCTTAGTCTCGATCAAATAAGGAAAGAATTACACACAACCGGTGGTCCATCTCCGGGGAGCATCAAGTCGAGCTTGAGTTCATTGAACTCCTCCGATGATGAAGGCGAACTTTTTGCCGTCAAGGCTCCTGCTGCATTTTCCATTTCCGAGAGAGCGAAGGCAAATTCCGAATTATCGAGCTTGATCCTTGCTGCCGACAAAAGACAAGTCTTGAAGACTACATTGCTGGAAGTTAAGCTGTTGAATTCTAGCCAAAGCGAGCTCAAAATCTTACAATGGACCTCGTTGTACGAGTACATCATTTTTGACTCCAATGTCAAGAAAATGGGCATCAGAACTAGCGATATCAGACAATTGTACAAGACACTCCACGAACAACGATCCACTACTTTTGGCATGAACTCTGGGTTGTGGCCCAAGTTTAATTCGAGCCTCCTTAACGCATTTACAGAAGTTGTTCTTGTTTGATCAATGGGGTGTAGATTTTACGATTCAGACAGGACCAGAACATATGCTGCCTAATTGAATAGTGTCCCATTAGTTTATCTTGTATATATTTAATTCGAACGGTCAATCAGACGATACATTTCGGCTTTATGTTAGGGACACTTAGTAATAGGCCTGAGATTGATAAGACAATAATAATATGAAAGAATCTCATTCGAATATTGCGTAATCGGAAATGCACCTTGGTAGCAGACGCGGAACGGGGATTGATTGAGCACGCGGCACATAACCATAACTACTCTTATCGTTAATGAGCCAATACAACTACTATTTTAGGACCTATTGCCGAAGTACTCGGTTCCGTGGGATTAAATTCGCCACTTAAGGACTTGTTATTCACTTATATGTACATTGAATTTGATAAAAAACTATATAACTCGTTAACTATAGACAATAGAAGTAGACACCGTAAAGGAAAGACAAGTATTTACATAAATTAAACATTAAGGGCAACAAAAATAATAAATAACGAGCTTGATTGGGGTTTGAGGAAGAGGGATTGAAGTCTAATTATTCTCGGCTTCGATTAAAGCAGTCTCGGCAACAATAATCATCTTTTCAACAGAAGCAAGATGCTTGCCGTAAGTATTCTTGGAAGAAATTTGTTTCAAGTATTGCCTCAATTTGACCACCAATCTTCTCTTTTCATCACTCTTGGCGTCAAAACCTTCGACTAATTTCTGGATCACATAGTTTGCATACTGATCCTTCATCATCAAGGCCAATGGTGAGTCATCGCTCACCAACTCCACATTGAAATCTTCATTTCCAAGCATTACTTCATGCAAAATTCTTCTCCTTTGGTCTATAGTACCAAACTTGATACATTTTTCAATCACGTTAGAAGCAAATTTGTGTTTCGAGAAGGTTACAACGGAACCCAAAACAACCTTAAGAATTTCTTCCCGATCTCTCATTTTGCCTCTTTCTAAGATGTGCTGCATGACGTAGTTACCATATTGGTCCTGGATCAAATAAAAAATAAATCTGTTGAGTTCCTTCAAAATCTTCTCCTGGTCCTCAATATTAGAATAATCCAACAATCTCTGAATAACTCTGCAACCATAAGGATGAGTCGAGAGATGGTATATTTGATTATTCAAACTTTCCAATACAAACTTGATTCTATCAAAGGGAATTCTTTCGATAGATTTTTGAATCACATGATTACCATTTTGGTCCTTGGCACAAATCAAGATATGATCTCTAAGTTCTTCAATGATTTTGATTTGGCCGTCCAAAGTGATCTCTTCGATAGCTCTTTGAATCACACGGCAACCATACATCTGTAATGATAATTCATAGATATGTCCTAACATGTTCTCCAAAAGCACATTTCTCTGAGTATTACTACCATGTTCAAAATATTTTTGAATAACATAATTACCAAATACGTCAGTCATCAATTCATAGGAGATATCTCTAATTTCGTTAAAAATAACTTCCTTCTCTTCTTCACTGGCATCAGGTAATTTTTGTTGAATAAATCTGGACCCATGTTGATCTTTAGTAAATTCGATAGCGTGGCCATAAATGTCTTTTAAGTAATATTCTTTACCCTTCGAATTAGAACGAACCTCTTCCAACAATGGAGATCTGTAAATATGATTACCGCCCTTACCGCCATTTTCATTATGATTATTTCTAGATCCACCTTTTCTCTTTCCACCAGTACCAGTAGTTGGCGCAGGTGGTGGAGGTGGTGGCGGAGGTGGGTTTCCTGCAACTGGGGCGTCGAAGTGTTTGACGTTGCCATCCAAAGGTTGCTGAACTGGAGAATGAGGCATTCCCATTGGTGGTCCTTGCTGATACATCGGATAAGGACTGAATGGGTGGAACATGAATGAGGCAGGAGGGGCTTGACGATTCATCATACCAATTCCAGGAGTGTGTACATTTCTCGACCCTTCTTTTGGTCTCCCTTCCTCGTCAAGCTGAACGTCTTCATTTTTCTCAATAGCCTCATCCAGTTGCTTCTCTTCATCAATTCCAGAAACTCCATATCCCATCATTCCGTAGATGCTAGGATCAATGAACTGAGGAGGTGGGGATGGGATAATGAAGGCAGGAGGGCTGATTGGAGGGATGTTGTTGCTCTTGGGACCACGGTTGTAGTGATTAAATGGCTGCTGAGCTTGCTGGGGTGGTGGTGGTGGAGGGACTGGGACGCCACCAGGAAACGAGTTGTCGCCCAAATATCCATAAGAAAACGCAGGAGTGAACGATGCAGCAGTTGCAGGGTTCCAGAAGTTCTGGGGCGCGTTGGTTTGGTGGCTGATGCGAGAGCCCTTATGATCCGACTGGAGGGAGTCGGACGCGATTGACAAGGCCGCGCTGGCTTGGATTGGAGAGGTGTTGTTGTAGTGGTCGATTTTCTCGCTGATGGACTGGTGCCTTGAAGTTCTTGGAGCGGGCATGTTCAAGTTTTCATTCAAGGACCCACGGGGAGAACCCAACAGGTTGAAGTCCAATGGCTTGATGCCATCGTTGTTGAAGCTGGTTCTTCTAGAGCCGGGGTTGTCCAAGGAGATGTTGCTGAGGCCGTTGGACAACTCGATTTCGCGGGTGGCGTCAGCGACCGACGAGAACTTCTGCAAGAAGCTGTCCTGAGGTGGGTGCCTGCTGGCAATCCCGCCGCTGATAGAAGCGGTACCAAAGTTCAACCGGTTATTGTTGGAGGAGTTCTGGTTGACGTTGTAGTTGACGCTGGAAGCGCCACCCACAGGGGCTGTAATCGCAGACAACGAGCCACGTTTCAACCCGAACAAGTTGCCGTCGATGTCGCTGCCGTCGTTGAACGAGAACCGTCTTTCCGACGTAAGCTGCGAGGGGTTGTTTCCGAGGAGCTTGGCCACTTCGGGGTCGACCTGGTCCAAGACGCTTCTGTACTGGGCAGAGGACCCTGAGTTGCTCTGGATAGGCGAGCCTCCGTTGTTGGACCATATGGTTTCGGAAGGCATGGTGTCAGACAAACACTGGGGGATGCTGGATCAGTCTAATACTGGGGTGGTTATATTGGTGGTACGCGTTGGCGCCAGTGGAATGGCGTGGGTCAATCGAGCGTGCTCGAGTGGGCTGTGCTGGCGTGGAGGTGTGGAGGTGTGAACGCCACCGACCGTTGGCTTGTTGATAGCCTAGTGCTGGAGGTTGAGGGGCGAAAGTGGCAGCGAGTGGGCAGTCAGAATTGGTCCCAAACTGCAAATGTGTCGAGGAGTCACGAGTGAGACACTGCGGGTTCGTAGACGAGTGGTAGCTGGCAAGTGTCCGAGGAGTGGTGAGATGGATTACCAACGGCGTTGGAGACAGATTCCTTGAGTCGTGGTGGGCGCCGAAATTTTGGAGACGGTGGCACAAAAACATTAGGCAGAACAGACAGGATCGCCAGCGGAACCGCACAGGATCCACAGTTGCACCACCAGGCCGTTGTCACCGTGGCATGTCGAGACTCACCAAAGAAGCCTCCCAGCGGCTCGCCAACCTCCTCTATGCGTCCACGTCCACAGAGGTGGCCTCCAAGGTGCCCATCGTCACCAAGCACCTCTATGGTGACCTGAACACTCACATCAAATCGGCCCTCGATGGGCTCATGGAAAACGAGTGGAACCAGATCCCAACGGAAGCTGCCTTGGACCTCGTCCCGGCAAACGCCCCCAAATCAAACATCCTCCAGCTCAAGTGCAACTGCTCGTTCTTGACCAGAAATGACTTCCTCAACTTGTTTCCCATCAACAGAGAAAGACGCTTCTTGCTCCCCCAGGAGCTCCGCGAAGGGCTCAAGTTCCAGGTGGTCAAGAAGAGAGACCCGTTGACGTTGACATTCGAGAACGCCTACTACCTCATCTTCCCCAACCACCTCCAAGCGTGTATCTACTACATGGAGACCCAGCACAAGGCCGTCAACGGCCTCGCGATGGACTTCAAGTTTGAGGAATTGTCCAGAAACAAGTTGAAGTACATAATGTCGCCCTTCTTGGGCCCAGACGGACTTAACTTGCTCCAATCTATGAAACAATCAAACGCCTTGAACAAGCATACCATCCAAAACCCCTTCCATGAATTCCAGACCCCATCCCAGCATATTTCCACCGAAAGTATCCTCAAGTATGCCCCCTTGAAATCGGAAATACTATCGCAGCTACTCAAATTGGAAGTCGATCCCAAAAGTAAGGATGTGAACCCCAACTACGAATTGTTGACTCAATTGACCGACGCTTCCACAAGAGCAAATTCAGTGCTAGTACGAAACCTTCCGTTTGGGTTGTCGAAGCATACCATACCCAGGCTCTTGTGGGACTATGACTTAGTTCGCAAATCCCCCATAACCACTATTGTGAATAATCCTGTCAAGCAAACACATATTCAGTTGATACGATTTGAAAACAGTGCTAGCTCAGAAAGGTTTGTACGCAATTTCCACGGTAAGAAATGGGACACCATGCAGCACCATCAAGATGAAAAGAAATTTTATGAACCAATATTATGTGAAATAGTCGACTAAAACCGTCCCATGCAAATTTGGAGTTCTGCCGTTCGATCGAACAACCGGTAGCTGGTCTGGATCTTCAGTAAATTTAATGCATGTATTAACTTGTATATACCTTTTCCTGTACAATAAAATATAACTACAATTCTGTCTGAGATTGGATTTCAAATCAATGTAGGAACGGACAATGTGCTCACTGCTATTGTCAGTCACTCAGACAAGCTGTCTAGAGTCTTCCAGCTGTATCTCACCAACTCCCATTCACTCTTTTCCTCGCTAGTCTTATTTTCGACGAGGACATATCTCTCCCAGATTCTTTTGTTTTTCCATATTATGATTATGCTATCATTTCCCGACCATCCAAGTACTCCAACATCGGTGCCACCAGTTGGGGTATGTAATAATGAGCCGGAAGTATTGAAATCAGTGTGGTATTGATTGGTATTGATCGAACAGAATGACCAGGTAGAATTGAAATAATTAGGAACTGGAATAGGAATTGGCATGCTTTTCAATAAATGTCTTCTGTTCATTGGATAAGTATTTGACCGACCAAGACCACTTATGGATGATGCGGGAGAGGAGGACGAAGACGACACGTAGGTGGGGTCGGACAAATTGAAGATGTGAAGGGTGTTTTTATCGGATAAAACCGCTAATTTTGAGTCGTTGTGGGAGAATTTCATGGAAGTGATGATTGCACGATCCAAACCTCTTCTAAATTCGTACAACAAACCAGTGTTGTGAGTTGAGTGGACTCTTATGATGGTGCCGGTTTCGGAAGCCGATGCAATCAAGGTTCCTGAACGGTTCAAAGCCAAGCACCTGATTTTGGACTTGTGTGCTTTGATGATACTCACGAGGTTCTTCTCTTGGCCCTGGGGCGAAACGTCCACCAATTGGATCTGGCCCACCTGCCTGCCAGGAAATGCTAATGTTTGGTATTTGTTTGTGTCCTTAGATGATGCAGAAGTGACCGACAGCAAGGAAGGGGAGGAGCTGCCACTGAGATTGAGGGAGGAGGGGGACGTAGAGTTGACAGACAAGTCGGCCAAGCCAAGATCGTTGTCGATAGTTTCGTAGGTGGCGAACTTCTTTGGAGGGGCAGAAAACCCGTACACCAACACCTGGTTCTTGAGCACCACGATGATGCGGATGCGCGAGAGCAACACATTGAGCACGGGGCTGGTGAACTCGAGACTCAAGCTGTTCTTCCGCTTGAGATCATCCCAGATGATCAATTTGTTGTTGGCGAACTTGGGGGTTTTGCCACCGCCAACCAAGGCCAAGTAGTTGGTTCTGTGGAGCATGGTGATGTGGCCAATACCTGAGCCGTACGACGGTGCCTGTGGGGCCTGTGGGGGGGCGTTGAAGGTCCGCTTGACCCGCAAGTCGATGGGGTTGGTGTTGTAGACAAGGAAGCCGTTTTCGTGGCCGATGGCAAAGCATCCCTGGTCCTGGTTGAAGTTGATGCACAAGATCCTGGACTCTCGGGACGGTCTAGACAATGGGGTGTGAGTGTTCATGAATCATAGGACACGAGGAGGTGGGGACGGGACGAGGAGAGCGGCGTTTGTGGCGGGAGGGCAGGACACGCGACGAGTAGGGCAAGGGTACTTCCGGGAAGGCCACTGGTGTTGGGACGCCTGGTGTGGAACAAGATTCCGATCCTTGGTATGAGGAGAAAAATCACTACAATTCCTGGCGTTTCCCTTGGACTATATACGCAGTTAACAACAGCGATTGTTAGTCAGGGGTGGCTAGTCCGATTGGGGGCGGCACGACGGGGCCTGCGCGATTAGTGGTGGGGCCAGAGACGGGCGCCTGGAGGGTGGGAGGCGTCACTGGGCAGAGGCCTGGCAGCTACGGGGCAGGTGGGAGCAGTGGCAGAAGCTGCCACATGTGTATTGTGTTACGGGGGGGTGGAGGTGGTGGTGGTGGTGGCAGGGGCCGTTTGGGAACGGTGCGGGACGGTGTCATTGCGCAGGAATGGTGGAGAAACCGTGGTAGGACACCGCATGGAAGCATGTAAGTGAACGCGAATAGGGGGCTTCGCGGGCGCCTGTCAAAAGCGGCTTGGTTGGCCAACGGGGAGGCTTGGGGCGGATGTTGATGGGCGTTGGACGGTGGAGTAGTTGGTTGAGGTGTTTCCGCATTAGGCATATTGTAACGATCCTGGCGGATTTACGTCTGCACCACCGCGTATCCTAACCGGCACTAGACGAGCCTGCGCGAATCGGGGCTGCCGAGAACGGTGATGATCTGGGGCAGTAGTCACCATAAGTAACGATGATAGGATAAGGAAGAAGATCGAGTTTGATGGAAATCTCATAACTAATCAGTCATGTGGGTGCAATGAAGAGCTCACTAATCAGGTGATAATGATAGATCTAAGTTAGGGTATATCGAAGCCAGATCTAATCAAGGGGGTAATGAAGATCTAATCATGTAGGTGTGTAATGTGATGATTCATAACGGCCCCGCCACTAGTCACTCTCGATATCCATCACTTCGTCGTCGTCATCGCTGGACTCTTCGCCCTTAAGCAACGCATTGGCAGCCGCATGCACATCATCCACACTGTGCTCGTGTTCCGACAGGTGGGCCTTCGTCTTGTTGGTCAAAGGCGTCAAAAACTTGCTCTTCTTCGCAGACGGTTTCTTGTGTTGGAGCGTGGGCAAGTTGAGCTGGAAGATGCGATCGGAATGATTAGCAAACAGGTCGCTGCTAGTATTGGCTTCAAGAGTTCTTTTAAGCAAGTCCGAAGCAACTGGGTCCGATGGTGAGATCGCCAATGCATCGTGTAGTATATCAATTGCCCGGAAATAGTTACCCAACTTGAGATAGATAAGCCCCATGGCAGAGAGAATATTGCAATCGTTACGGTTGCTGATTTTGAGGACCTGGTTGAAACAGTCTAATGCCTTGTATGGTTGGCTTCCCCTGCGATACACATGGCCCAAGTTGGTGTGAATAGAAATCCAGGTCTTGGAGTCCGAGTTCAAATACTTAGCTGCGCCCAATGCCTCCTGCAAAAACAATTCAGCCTTCATGAGATTATTCTTGTGAAAATTAATAACACCTAATTCATTGAGTAACAATGGATCAGAGGAGCATATTTGGTAAGATGCAAGCAAATACTCTTCAGCTAGATTCAAATTGCTCATTTGCAAATGTTGCATACCCAAGAAAAGATTAGGCAAGTGAGTCCCAGGGAACAATCTGGCTGCAAATGCATAAGCACTAATCGCTTGTTCATGCTCCCCTTCTGCTGCGAATGTGTGAGCAAATCCAATCCATGCATGCCCAAAGTTTGGATTAAGCAAGGTAGCTTTGCTGAAGAACTTTCTAGCCTCAATTATTTTGTTGATGGACAAGTAGTATATTCCTATCGCTAGCCAAGTCATTGGATTGTTTGCATGATTCTCGGCTAATTGATGTGCCTTCAAGAAAAGCTTATTCTTTCCTCCCAATTCGTATAAACAACTCAAGTAATTGGGAATGACATCAAAATTAAATTGATCCATGCTCAAAATTTTCTCACAAACAACAAGGCATTCATCAAAACTGCATTGGATATAATAGTAGTCAGCTTTGCTCAACAAAATATCACAATTCTCGCCCAATTCGTACTCCTCTTTCAAAATAGTTTCAGCTTCGTTAAACTTAGCAATATTGAGGTATTTGCTTAATTTCGATGTGTATAGCAACTTGATCAACTCGTCATTATCGTCGGCATCTCTATAGTTAAGTGTAGTAATAAACTCCCATTCCTCACTGGGTGTCATTAAGTTGTTAGATATCAATTCGTTAAAAGCTTCAAAACACTTGACATCTACTAATACAGCTTCCTTATAGCATTCTTTAGCTTTTTCGAAATTATTCTGATTTGCGTAAATCAACCCTCTCAAGTAGCACATTGATGCCTCTAACTTGATACCTCCATCGGCATTTCTGACCTGGTAATTGTCATCCTTGCGGAATGGATTGGACTCGCCAACTAGATCAAGAGCGTCTTCCCATAATTCCAACTTCACTAGGCACAAACTAGCCAAATACCTACAGCTGACCGATTTCTCGAATTCCGGTTTGCTGGTGAGTAACAGCTTAGCACGAAGGTAGCTTCCGTTATTGATGTACACCTGTGCAAGCCAGAAGGCATCGTTGGGATCGTCAGTCAACGCCAACACTTTATCCCCAATAAACTCAGCAGTTTTGTAATGATGCTGCATTAACGCATCGTGTCTCCAGAGACGAAGTTTCTCTGCCTGGGTCAAGGGCTCCAGTACCGTTGATAATCGACTGTGCTGCTGCGGAGGCTCTGTGGATGCATTGGCTTCTCCGTTTACCCTTTCTAAATTGAAGAACAGAGAGTGGTTTGATCCCGGGGTGTCAAACAAGGTCGATGCAGGGTTGGGTGGAGTGATAAATAGGTCTTGGCGTCGGTTGTTGACCATCGGCGATATGAACAACGTGGAGTTGTGCTGTGAAGGGGTCTTCTGGTTGTGCACCATTATGCCAGGACACTCAACTGTGTTACTCTTGGATCGGGGTGGTGGTACAAAGGGTAAGTTGCAAGTAGATCACGCGACGGTTGAAGCACTTGACGAATGAAATGCAAAAACAGAAGTCTTAGGCGATGTCTGGGCCTTTGGCTGTAGAAAAATATGCAAATTGGACACTGGCGGGTGGACTCTACTTGTGTGCTGCCAACATGTCCTGGCGTACCCCAACCCACAACAGTGAGGATTGGTCAGCGCTTACATAATCGAGATAGTTACGTTGATGCTCATCGCCAAAAATTTAACATGGCAATACTGTTTCCATTAACAAGATGAGCAAATCGGACCAGAAAAAGGTCAAGGTTCAGGAACCTGTCCAGAAAGAGGTGAAGAATGAGGCACCAAAAAAGTCTGCCCTTTCAAAGAAGCCAGCTGCTACCAAGAAGGTACAGTTCAGAATCATGGTTGGTTCCTACGAACACAATCTTATGTGTTTATCTGTGATTCTAGGTGGAGCAAGCGAAGCTGTGTTCCAGAGAATCTTCCACTTCCAAGCACACGCTCTTTCCATCAAATCTATTGACATAGCCAAGCGTTACTTGGTGACTGGCTCCAATGACGAACATATCAAGATTTATGATTTACAGAAAAGAAAGGAGTTGGGTGACTTATTGGGCCACCAGGGTACTATCACAGCATTGAAGTTCTCCAACGAGGGAGTTATCGACCAAGATTCTACTGACAAGTCTGGTAAGTGGCTCTTGTCGGGATCCGAAGATGGTAAAATTATAATATGGAGAACCAAGGACTGGGAAATGTTCGGTACTTTGAAGGGTCACCAGGGGCAAGTCAATGATATAGCGATCCACCCATCAGGAAGAGTCGCAATCTCGGTGTCTGAGGATCAGACTATCCGTTTATGGAACTTGATGACCGTGAAGAAGGCGGCAGTCTTGAAGATTAAGGGAAGAGACCACTTGGGAGAGAAAGGAGAATTTGTGAGATGGTCCCTCGATGGTAACTACTTCATTGTCGGATTGTTGAACCAAATCTTAGTCTACAAGACCTCCACTGCCAAGATCGTGTTCAAGATGAAGTTTCCTTCTACCTTAATGAGCTTAAAGGTATTGAAGGTCAACAACAAGGAATACGTCGTTACCGGCCTTGGCAATGGTCTTATCCAATTTTACGATTATGAAGAACAGATTTTGAAGAGCACTTTAGAAGACGAAAAGGTCTGGGAGGCCAAGGCAGAGGTCGTGGAGCCAGAATTCCAATTAAGAGGGCATACCAACCGTATCAAGGACTTGAGCTACTACAACCATCCGATCGAAACCAACGGTACTCCATACCTTGTTTCTGTTGGTTCAGATAGCAGAATTGTCATCTGGGATCTTTCTGAGGGTGTTAAGGATCAAGTTGCTGTTTACGATACTGGTGAAAGATTGAACTGTGTTGTCACCTGCGCTGAAACTGTCGAAAAGTCCTCAACCATGAAGAGAAGATTCAACTCGCTTGAAGAAATGAATGGCGAGGAAGCAGGATTTAGTGAGTCGGAATACGAGACTGATGGCGAAGAAATCAAGAAGATCATGATGCCTAAAAAGAAAGGTAAGAAGAACAAGAACAAGAACAAGGTCCAGGTTACCTTGGAGTAGGCTAGCATATAGAGTAATAAAGTCTACAGAAACAAAAGGTAGGTCGAATTGTCTTACAGTAACAAGTGTAAATACATTGGAGAGCAGGTTGACATAAAACAACGAATTGCAACAATTGCGCAAGATACAGCTTTGTATCAGTAAGCATTTGATGAATTTGCCATCTTTGTGTGCATCTTAAGTTCATTAACAATTTTTGAAATTTAACAAATTTCAATCGAAATTAATAATTTTACGAAGCTCTCTTATCTTACGTTCATTAGTTAATATACAGTGTGAAATGAAATCAGTTTAATCTAGCGACGTGCTTGTCGAACAATTGCTTGGCTCTGACCCAGGTTGGAGCAGAGTCTCTGTTTGGCAAGTCCAACAAGGATGGAATCAAGTCACGAGAGAAGAACTCGGAGGCCTCTCTAGGCAACAAGGAAGGCAAGTGGTCAATCGAGCACACAGACAACTTTGGACCAGCAGTGGTCTTGACTGGGACAGTTGGGTCACTGAAAACAGTGGCAATGTCATACACTGGGATAGGGTTGTGTGGGTTGGTGGTGTCAGCAGAAACGTCCACGATAGTTCTCAACTTTCTCGATTCGCTATTCAAAGTCTCGTAGTTGATGAATGGAGGGATTGGTTGAGACAAGTAGATACAATTGATGAAAATGTCGCTGTCGACGATTTCTTGGAAAGGACCACCCTTGGCGGTTTCTTGCATGTCCCACTTCTGGATGTTCTCGTCTGGAATACCCACCTTCTTGAAGAAGTCGACGGCACCGGAACCGCATCTGCCCAAGGCACCAATAACCAAACCAGTTGGGTACTTACCACCGTTCTTTTGCACAGCAACCTCCAAGTCCTTCTTGATATCGGCAATCAAAGCCTCCTCGTTAGGGTAAGGAGTGACACCAGGCAAGTTCTCAGAGTCCGGGTGGGTTTGCTTGAAAGCCCAGTCGGCCACACCGATGGCAGCACCAGCAAAACCGGCATAGAAGCCAAAGGCAGCAACTCTTCTGCCCTGGTCGTTTTCCAAGAATTCCAAGTCGTACAAGGTACCGTTACCGGCTGGGAATCTCTTCAAGACATCCTGCCATCCGCCTTGGTCCTTGTAGCAATGAGCAAACTGGATGTGTTCGTGAACCAATGGGAAGGTCTCGTTTTCAGGCAATTCCTTCAAGCCAAAGATGATTCTGTCCTTGGGAGCATCTGGCCACGAGCCTTCAGGGACGATGGTGGCGCCGACCTTTTCGTATTCGGCAGAGTCAAAGATAGATTGCGAGCTTTCCTCGACGTAGACCTGGAAGCCAGCATCAAGCAATTGCTTGGTGGTGGTAGGAGTCAAGGCTGCTCTGGCCTCTGCGGGCTTGGTTTCGGCTCTTAAGTGTAAGATAACTGGGTTTGCCATTGTGGATAGTGATGTTGAGATGATGAACGAGATGACACGGTTTATATAGTGGGGTTATCGTCAGATGACTGATAACCGGGGCGTCGGTTTGTGTAATTTTTCACCATGACTCAGGCGCGGTTAAATTGCCACTTAGGGTGGGTTGCAACCGTGGGTGCAATAGAGGCCACTGCTGGTGGGGCTAGATAGGGAGGCGAGGGGGCGTAATGACATGAGGTGGTACACATTGCCGAAGGAAGTGCCGTGGCACTAGCTGGCGCTTAGGCAAAGGTTTAGCTATTTCCATTCTGGTCGCATGGCTATTTCTATGGTAGCGCGTGAAACAACGCCAACCGCGAACGCTATTGGCCAATATGGTGGTGGTGACTCAGGCACGGGAACGGATATTGCTGGCGCGATAAGCGACACTGTGCCACGTCTCGGTGACGTGGAGGCAGCCGCAAGTATGCGAGTTGGTAGTGGCGCTTACAGTGGAGGTTTTAGCAACCGAATACGTCATAGTTTCCACTGGTACTTGACGTATCGATAGTGGATAGGCGCTACTTGAATTAGTCACGGTGCTTTTGTCTTCTCATCCTGTTAATAATTTCAGTGGTAGAGCCGTAGGAGTAATTCAAGATTGGATTTCACTTCATGACATGTTCGCAATATTCTTCAGTGGCTGGGCTGTTGGAGTATTCTAGACGATAATTACCTTAATGGTATGTTCGCAATACTTCTACCTTGAAGATGAAATATGAACAGTAGTATGGAAAGATAGATAGCCACTTACTCTTTAGAGTAGTTACTAAGTTAGGGATTTTAGTGGCCATTTTCGTCCTTGCTCTTTTTAGACCAGCATGCTGATGAGATTGAGAAGCCAGACTTGTACCAAATATTTGCCCAGGAATGCAAGGATGTGACTCCATGATTCAGTATGACAACGTCCAATTCATTATAATGACAATGCGATATTCCTTATCTTGAATTTTAAATTTTGGGAAGGCCACTTAGAATTCATGGAATCTTCTGGCTTCGAAACTTCATTGTGACCTATTGTCTGAGTTCAATTCTCTTTTCTGAAACCAAAATTTAATTTGGCCTCATTTTTAGGATGTACTGATAAGTAGACAAATCTACCCAACTATACAAAATGACCTAAAAATAGGGTAAATTTTACTCAAGTTTAATTGAAGGTGTTATATCGAAGAAGGATGCTAGTTCTACTGATAATATTACAAGTACAGGGCTACCTACCTACCTAGAGCATTTTGTTAGGGAAACCACTCTCTTTTGTAATAGCTTTAGGAAACTCCACTTTGTGCCGTGCAACATCATGCCTTATCACCACTTCAAGCTGTTCAGGTGGAAGCTATTACCAGAGAATCCCACGAAAAATTGTATAAGTTGCTTCTTGCACATTTCACAGATTTATACTTTCGATATCGCTTAGATGTTTATTCTACTCCAGCATAATAGCCGTTGTTTTGTATCTGTCCTCTATCTACGCTGAATGTCCAACCCTTAATTGGACTGCTACCCAAACCCTAACAAGACAGTTATGCTGCCTTACACCACAAACACTTCCACCAACTTTCCGAAATCGAGACCATCTCCGCTGTTGATATCAAAAATCTTGATTCCGTCCAAGTTGAAGATACCCTTGGAGATACCGATCAACTTGATGTCAGTTTCAAAAACTGTACCTGAATCCAAGGGCCCTATCCTTATATCGTTGTTGAGTATAATAATGCCGTTGGTGGCGAGCTTGAGAGCATTGTAAGATGAGTAGAGCTGGAGTTTGTTGTAGATGATAATGTCATCGCTCTGTATCTCTCCTGATTGGCCATCTGAATTTAACAAATTCGAGGACGACACGTTGTTCGATGCCGAGTTTGTACTGTAAATGGGATTGAAGTTGATAGGATTCTGTACAATTAAGGATAAATTGAGCCTATTCGTGGAGTTATTGATGGCCTGGACCTTCCAGTTTATAATCTCTCCTAGCTTAATATCCAATTTTCCTTTGAATGTGAGCTTTAATCCCGATAAAGTAGAATTGCTAGTAGTGGTAAGATTGACAGTCACTGAGGAAGAAGACTGCCCCACAATCGAAGTGTTCATTTTTTTAGGATTCATCGAGTTGAACACCATCCCATTGGCCAATGACCCTGTTGAGTTTGCAGGCTTGGCGTTCAAACTATTCGGACTCTTTGACTTATATAGACTGTTCATCATGGCCGACTTCCGGGTTGATGTGCCTCCTCTTATAAACGGAGGCTGCTGTGGCAATGCTGTCTGTGATTGCATTTGTGAATAATTGTTTGAAGTCTTCAATGAGTTGTTTATGGGAGGAGCAATGATGCTAAAATCCAAGTATGGAGACCAGTTGGTGGTAATGACATTACTAAGGCCCTCAAATTGTTTTGTTGCCTTTTTGTAGCTTTGGACTTGCAAATTAAGTTTGATATTTATCGGTCTTGAGTGCTGGAAGTTGTTGCTATTGTTATCTAGGTTCTTGAGTTCCTTATCCAAAAATTCGTTGTTTAATAGCTTGTAAGTTAAGTTGATGGCGTCACCAAGCCGGAACTGTACCGGATACTCGTAGTCCTGGGTTTTGAACTCTTTGATGTCACCGAACTTGAAGTCCATGCTGAGGCTCAATATTTTGAAATGATATTGAAAATCGAGACCAGCCTCTGTCAGAATCTTAATAAGGTCGTCTGAAGACTCTATGTTCAATGTAGCCAACAAAATGTTATTTCTTCCAGCTGGCTTAGTAGACTTTAACTTGATCACAATCGACACGGATACGGGAATGCTTAGATGTGCCTTCAAGGTGTCTTTGGAGTTGGCGACCTTTGGAATCGGGGTGATGGGATTCTTGATGGCATATTCGATCAGAGCACTGTTATTGTTGCTCTTGGCGTCGTCTGATTCGATAAGCGAGCTTGAGAGCTCAAATTGCTTCGAATCGATTCCATTGGATGCAATTTGGTTGTTGAGCTCGGCGAACAAATTCTTAGGTTTTCCCGGCTGGTAATCTGGGAGAATGACCTCGGTGTGGGTGGGCTCACTCGGTATGGCTTCTATTTGTTGAGAATCCTCGTCCGCATGGAGGTAGCAGGTCAACATGATTCGAGGGTTGGGTGATTTCTTTCTGGGGTAGGTGACCGGGATTTCAAACCGCCAGACGATGTAGTAGTTGCCGTCGGTTTGGCCCTGGTAGACGATATCTGACTCGTTGAGAGTCAAGTCGAGGATGCTAAAGTTGGAGGAATGAAACCCTGCAGGCGAGTCGTGGTCCTCAGACGGTTCGTGGGTCGATTCGTCCTTGGAAAAGCTGTCGAGCTCCAGTGCCTCAGCCACGTCGGCGGGAACTATGGAAACATCGAGGTATGCTGTGGATCTCTTTGTTGTGGGTTCGAGCTGGTCTTGGTAGAGAATGTATCCATGGATGGTTTCATCGAAAAAGACAATGGGTCGCTGAGAAGACGACTTCAATTGGGCAACGAGAGCCTTCCCGGTGGGTGAGTGTTCTGAGGACGACGATTCCCGGGGTAGAACTATCGATATACTCATGAAGTAGCTGTAGTGGTAGAAGTTTGAGATCAGATCGTAGATACACTGTGCGGTAGCGCGGACGCGGCCATTGGGGGTGGTTTGGGGCGCCAGTGTGCCTCGTTAGGGGCTCGGCCTGGCAACGGCCAACAGGGCCAGAAACCGGGTGGTAGTAGTCGTTGGATTAATTCCTAGGACGGTGGTGTTCAGCTTTTCTACAAACAATATATATATATCTATGGTAGGTGAGGGCTACGTCTTACTTCTGATGAGACTATTTTGAAGCAATTTATGTGCACTCGAGGCGATTATTTAGGCTAATAATCAAATCAATACCTACATCCGTTATAACCCTTTACAATGTTAATTTAGACTCATCAGTATACTAATACAAAATCTAGAGAAAACCAAAGAGTCCGGTGATGCAATCATAACTGGCACCAAATTCTTTGTTAGAAATGATTTTTTTTCGATTAGTCTAGAGGATCAGATTTTGGTTACCAATCAGTAATTAATTGGCTAGAGATAAGAGGGCTAATAGTGTACTACTAACTAATCCTGGAGCTCTGAAGCAATTGGTACTTGATAATTCGCGTTAAAAGGGTACTATTGAATTACTTCTTTATAGCGGGCTTATTGGATTTATCAAACAATTGGTCCAGTAAATTCAGTTAGGTAATGCTATTGGTTACTTTATAAAGAACAGAATACCTGGGTACAGTTAATTCGGTTACAATAAGTGTACTATTATTACTCTATAATTGAACAATGCTTAAGTTAAACAGTTACTAATTAGTCATGATCAAACAGATGCTAGCATCTGCCATCGCGTTGAAGATTGGTCTATGGTCTAGTACCCAATGTATATGCCTCCTCCTCTCTGGTCCAATTCGTCCACAATGAACGACACGTACTCAGACTTTGGGTCCCACCCCAACTTGGCAGTACATTGTATGTTTTTGAGCATGGGCAACCGTTCCTCACTTAAAGCCACCGCTAGATCGATGGGGTCTAGCTTGGTGGACGTCCCCAACATACCACTGCTATCTATGTACAAGGTTCTGAGTGGCCGAGGGTATGAAAGCGGTGGAAGGTTCTCCTCGTCAAAAAACGAGCTGGAACAATAATCCACGGCAATTTCAAGCACCAATAAGTTGGGACAGAAACTGAAGACATAGTCAAGCGAGTTGTTTTTGATCCCAGGCATTGGGTACTGCACCTTGAGTGTCTTGAGGTTCCTTCCGTGCTTTATCAACATATCATGGAATCCAGCCTCCTTGATGGCTGGACAATGAGCAAACTCTAGCTGGGTGATGCTCTGGGGAAACTGAGTGTTCGTCAAGAACTCGTCGGAAATCCCTCCAGAAATCCGCAAATACGAAAGATTGGGAGGCCAGCTAATAGCGTCGATCTCCTTGATGTCAATGGAGGATCGGGGAAATGAAAGATGGGTAAGATGCTTTAGGGTGCTGATTGAGTTGAACAATTCCTGCAAATTCAAGGTTTCGGAAACCAACCGCAAGTCCAACACCTTCAAGTTCTTGCAATTCTTGAGTGCTAGCAAGGGGCCCAAGCCAAAACTGGTCTGGGGGGCCACGAAGAGCTCGAGGTTCTTTTTGGAGCGCTTCAACAACTTGGCCACAAAGGCATTTTTTCCTGATTGGATAATGTACGACAAGTCCAACTCCTGGACGTGGTTGCCAATGGTCTTGTTGTTGGACATGGTGTCCACGAACGCAAAGAAGTTGGTGGCCTTGAGGGTGGGTCTGCTGTAGATGTAAGGAAGCACCACGGTGTAGAAGAGCTTGGACAACCGCAAGAACTTGGGCTTGAGCTTGCCTTGGAGGTAAAGGATGTCCAAGATGTGCACGATGATCTCCAACGGCAACTTCATCATATGCTTCTCTTCGTTGCGTATTCTGATGATCTCCTCCTCTTTGGCCATGTAGTCGGGATTACCCTTGTTGATACAGCAGCTCAACACGTCGATCTTCTCGAACTGCGATCTGGGCCATACTTTGCCCCCGTACAGTTGTTCTCCACTGAGAACATACACCGAAGTGACATTCACTCTGCTCTTAAAGTACTCGGAATTGCCGTATACATCCAAGGGCTTGGCGTTCTCGGAGTCTTCATCGTAGGCCTCCTCTTCCTCGTCGCTGCTGTTCTGGTTTAGTTGCGATCCGTACACGTACCTCTTGTACGGAGCACGGACCTTCTTGGCTCTTCTCTTGTTCGCTATTTTGGCTTAGTAATGATGCGAGCGATGAGATGAGGTAACAAATAGTGGCCGAGTCTGGGTGGTGGAATCGCTGAGAGTCTGCCCTGGGATGGCCTGTATGCTTAAAGAAAGAACAGATTAGATTAGTGGGGATACATATGGGTTAGTTATCGATCGAGATGGTGCTATCATGCGAACATCCCCGGAGTGAGTATACACGAAAAAAAAGCTGCAGTATATTAAGATACGCATTTGGAATAACCAGAAAATCCCGATGGTTGGTGGCGATCGGCTGGTGCCACGATACGGTGCCGTATGGGCCTCGAGGGACGGTGTGCCTCGGGGTCCATGTCGAGGTGGTGTGTCCACTTGTGTAGAAGTTTGCCCTGGGACTTGAGACTGGTGCTGGTATCGAAATAGTCGTTGCCCACTGCTGGGTATTCTGAAGATGGTGAAAGCCGGAACTTTTTCATACCCTTATGCTGCCCCTGGGATAGGAGATGGGGGGTCTTCACCACACTGCTGCTCCTTGAGTGCACAGGAGTTGCTTTGATGCGGACAGGCACCACTTCGGCGGGGCTAAGCTTGGACTTAACCACTTGGGCTGGGTAGACCACGCAGAATCTGAAGAGAATTCTGGGGATAAATAGGTGGATATTTATCCAGAGCCTAGTGGCATTGATTGGAACCTGGACACTCATTAATATCATGAACCCCATTATCCTTAATACACCAGTCACGACCGCAGTGTGGGCATGTATGACAAAAAGACTTATGGAGTGGATATTGCGGAAAAGGTAGTGGTTGATAAGATTCCATACCACCAACTTATAGAGATTTGCCAGTTGTTGGAGTGCAGCCACATTGTGCTGCTGCGATCTGAGTAGCTGGTATTGTAACTCGTCGAGAACTAGCTTAGCTACCATCCATGGATGACGAACTATTTGGATAAATGTTATCCTTTCTCTCAAAGTGGCGGCAAAGTCACGAAGCTCCTTCACAATCAAAACACCTGAATTGACCTGCGAATCAATTGCTGACGGCAATTGAGATAAATCGATTTCCTCATCGTGGGAATCGCTATAGTCCAGTTCCCTTGCTAAAAGATTCAGCATCGATAAAGTGCTAGATACCCCATGAAGGGAATACTTCGAAGCGGGTGAGTTTTGGGGAGCAACATTCCTATGCTCAAAACTGGAATAACGCTTTCCACTTTCGGGAAAAGGGGATTGTAGACTTGATGGCTGGAAAGCACTGAATGTAGGACTAGCTATAGCACTACTTCTGGGGCTGGGTGTGGACGAATAATCCACTTCTGTAATTATGCCCAATGCCTGTATCTTCTGGTCCATTGAGTGTTTTCCGTTATTAGCCTCTGACTTTAAATTCAAAGGAAAAGGCTTCACAAAAACTCCCGAGTCTACTTTAGGGCTATTCTTTGTGTTTTGGACTAAACTGAGAATAGTTTTTTCAAGCTTGGAAAGATAATTCACGATAGTGGAGTATTCTTCTTCTTGAGAGCCCAATATCGTATCCATGGCTTGCCTCTGTTCCTCGGATTTCAGCTCAAGCGAGGCAAGTTTCTCTGCTAAGCGTTGCTGTTGCTGGAGAGTCAGCAAGTCGATGGGAAGCAACGCCGTATAAAACTTGTTCACCAAATATTTAACCGTAGAGCTATTATCGGATGAAGAGCTATTTTCCGGGAATTCTGCAGCGTGCTTGGAGTAGCTGGCAGTATTCTGCCAATCGGCCAAGGTGACAAGCCATCTGAATACCAGCCAGATTTGAAAGAGGATGATGTTGATATTGTTAAACACCAATTTCTTGCGCTTGTCATCCACAGTGATATGTTTTCTGGACCAGCCCATGAGGATTGAGGTTGAGAGCGGCACCAACAAGCATGCCACAAGAGCTAAGCACTCGTAGTAGACGACCTTGCGTAGGAGGACCACTTTGGAGGCGATTTCCGAGCCACTGGGCGAGTTTATCACCAGGGTGAGTTTTTGCTTCACCAGCCGAATGTGCCGAAGCCATTTCCAGGGCCACTCTACCGAAAACTTAATGGACCAGCCAATTAGGAGGATGAGGAGGAGGTTGGAAAACAAGTCGGCAAGATCCATGCCGCCCAAGCTGTTCCATGCCGCCTCGGGAACCATCACTGCCACCATGGCTGGAAAAAACACGCTCACCCATATGAAGTACTTGCCTGCTCTTCCCAGTTGGTTCGGCTCCGAAGGCTGCTCGCTGGCGAATGGCGACACTGCCAGCCGCACCTCGGCGTACAAGCACTCGATCGAGACATCCAGTGGCTCTTCACTGGTCTTGGAGCTGACTGGGGACGATGTGGGAGGTTGTGGTGGTTTGTATCCTTCTTTTACAATTTGCGGGTTAGCTGGGAGCGATGAGGGTGAGGGGTGGGAAAGACGCATTTTGAGACCGTTCGTGGAGGACTCGTTGGGGCTGCTGGCCAGGACGACTTTTTCCATGGGGATCGGACGGTTGTCCAGTGGAGGATAGGAATGTTGTGATGGAAGAAGTGGCAGCCATAACCGTGCACAAAATCAAAGATCTGGGGAGGTGCAGGGCACAGCGCGTATCGTACGGCACGTGACCAGGTGGGAGTGGTGGTGGGAGATACACTCATCAGAGACATAAATGGCAGGGGAATGCTTGTGACTGGAGTAGGGAGAGCGGTGGAGCTTGGAGGAAGGTGATGCAGGGTGACAGGATCAACACAAGGCGAGAACACGCCGTCTGCAAAGAAACCACCACTGCTCATCTAGCGGTGGCTCGCGATAAGATGGCTCACGTGCCGTGGTGGGGAGCCGTGTCACGTGATAACCCCATCCGTGCGGCGGCACCCGCGAAAAATTCTCCTCCCAGCCATGAAAATTTTCTCTTTCTTTCCCTACCACTCTTCTCCATCAACTCAGCACATCATGGTTTTAGTTCAAGACTTATTGCACCCATCCCCAGCTTCCGAAGCCCAACAGCACAAATTAAAGACTTTGGTCCAGTCCCCAAGATCCTACTTCATGGACGTCAAATGTCAAGGCTGTTTGAACATCACCACCGTGTTCTCCCATGCCCAAACCGCCGTCACCTGTGACGGCTGCTCCACCGTCTTGTGCACCCCTACTGGTGGTAAGGCCAAGTTGACCGAAGGTTGTGCCACCAGAAGAAAGTAATTCCTTTCCTGATTAATGATAGCATGATTGTTCGCTTCCATATAGGTCCTGCCACGGGCTGTTAACTCGGCAGTTTCTGGGCGGAAACTGGCCGGCTTAATGTATTATAGAATTCCTTTTGGGTCATTTATATATTCCTGGTTATAATATATACTCGGATTAGTGAGACGTAGACGGCTGTAGCTTGCAGTGCCAGCTGCCATGCTTCCAGAGTATGGTAGTAATGTTGTGACCACGTCAGAAACTCTAGCAGGCTGTTCCACCAGGCTGTTCCACCAGTTAAACCACCTTTCTGCCATTACCATTGCCTTCCCCCTGATGGGTCCGGCCCTCAGCGTGCACACGACCTGTCACCGCCACTAGCGCTCGTCAGTGCTCCTACCAGATTGGGTAAATTTCCCTTTGTATTTGCACTATATACATAGAGGAGTTATGCCCTCCCCTGTGGCCTATATACACTAGAGGGAACGTTACTCCCAATGCTGCCCTATATACACATTTGCGCCACATTGACGTAAAAACTTTCCTTTTGAGTCAGACAAATCCGTAATGCAAAATGACTCCGTGGTCCCAGACAGATCGCATACTTTTCTTACAGACATTGGCACCGAATTTGTACTATTAATTGCCATCCAAGGTGGTGGGATCGATGTCAAAATTGGCCCTTTTTCCTTGGGACCGGTACTTCTTAGACTGCTCCATTTCGGCAGCAATGGCATCGGAAACGGTATAGAGCTCGTCCTCAAATGCCTCCTCGGTGGTGCTGGTGATCTTCTTCCACTTCTTCTTTCTCTGCTCCTTCAAGAACGTTTTCTTCTGGGTCTTGGACAACACCTCCAACTTCTCCCTGACCTTGTCGGAGAGAGCATTCTTGACTTGCACACTCTTCTTGCCCAACGGCCACAAATCTCCTCGGTCGACCTTTCTAGCATCGTGATAAACCTGTTTACCCAAACTCTTTGGAACCTGCCAGTTTTCGACATTTCCCGAGGGGGCACACACGTTCAACTTGACATTGTTCTTGACCTTGGATGGGGTATCGAGGATTCTGGGCCATGTATTGATATCTGTCTCGTTTCTCAAGTCGTAGTTGTTGTAATCTCTGTCCTTGTCTATTTTTTTGATCGATGTTACATCATTCTTGCTTCTTTGGACAATAAGGTAAGAGAAGGATCCACTTTCAGTGTTTCTTCCTCCGGGTCTACCACTTCCCTCGAGTTTCTTCAAAGTACCCTTAGAAAGACCGTCTAACCCGAACCCATCTTCTGCAGTCTTGTCCCAGGCAGTTGCCAATCTTCTTCCCTTCTTCAACTCCATGGTGAACTTAGGTCTCTCTACAACCTTGTTGAAGGAGCAGAAGTTCAACCGATGTTTGTGTGAAGGAATCTTATAATACTTTGGATCGCCCAATTGCAATGGACACTTTCTGTGGTGTGGACAAGGTGCGATGACACTGATATGGTAATTCACACTTTCAGAACTTAAGCCTGAGTTTTGGGCATCCTCGAGCGAGATGACTTCGAAGTCTTCATTATCTTCAACTTCGAATTTCAATTCCTGCTCAGTTGGTTCACCAAACTTTTCGTTCAACTCATTCTCAAGTTCAAGGCCCTCTTGCAATTCCTCCAGCTCGTATTGTTCAAGAAGCTGTTTTTCGTATTCAAGATCTTCATCCGAGATCATTTGATCTTCCTTCTTCAACTTCTGTGGCTTGATCGATGATCCCTTAATGTAAGGTCTAGGGATTTTTCCAACCTCATTTTCGTAAGCTTCTGGTCTGATCATAATCTGTCTGGCTCTAGCAATCGTCTCGAAACCGAGAGCATTACCTCTTTCTATCAATACCAAGTGTCCCTCTGGACTCAACAATCTCAACAAGAGATGAATGTTGGTGTCGATATCTTTGGGGAAGTTAAATTCCCGGGTCAACAATGCTTGATTTACCATGATCAAATCATATTTCTTGGTCACGGGTAAACTATCTCTCAATCTTGTTCTTATCTGAATATTATTGGTTTTAATTGGTCCAACGTAATCATCCGTGGCATTGGGATCCTCTCCCTCTTCTTCTTCCTCCACTACCTCATTCTTTTCAACTTTAGACTCCTGTGCATGCACTTCTTCAGATACATCTTCGTCAGGAACCTCCACTTCTGAAAAGTTCTCGTTAAGTTGACGAGACAAAATGATCTTAGCTCTCTTTTTCATTTGGTGGTTTTTTCTACCAACCACATAGGCTTCTTTTTCTTCAGGGACCCACTCATCGCCCATTATTTCGTTCAACGCCACTATTCCCGTCGCGGGGCCGTAACCCACATCCAATATACGTTGGGGGTTGAACTTGTCAACACCAACCCTCTTTTGGAGCTCCAAAAGCACTTGGTGGGCATGCGAATAGTTTTGTAAAAATAATGCAGCTATGTGAGCATCGCAATCAAGGGCAGTATCTGGGGCCTTCTGTATTTGCTCCTTCAGAAGACTCTGATAAATGGTGGCTGCTCTCTCTCTCAACTTGTCTGGAAGGGCAGTGCTTAATATATTGTTTCCGATCACTTTAGCAATCTCGTAAGGTAAACGTGCCACACCCTTTTCAACTCTACCTTCTAAGGTCCAGTCGTGCAATCTAGCTTCTTCTGCGTTTCTTCCTTTGATAAACGAACCGTCTTCATTTCTGAATGTGGACATGGCTTCTATGTAGCCGGCATTTTGGGCACCATCTCTGGTGGGAGGAACTGATTTCTTGATGTGATGGGAGTGCTGATCTATCGCTTCTTCATCTCTAACCATTCTATTGGCCCTCACCAATTGTCCAAAGGACTCACTGTGTCTCCTTCTATCAAAAGGCAAAGGAGACCCGATGTCAGGGCCATTTGCCACCCTATCTTCCTTTATGAACTCAAAATCCTGGAGGTCCATCTTGTCCATGCGATGCATGGAGTGGTGGAAGGACCTCTGGAAGTCTGAAAAAGTGCCTGGTAGTCCTGAATTCACGCATAGTTTGAGTATAGATCGCCTCTGTGCCGAGGCACGGGCCTGTTGGCTGTAGAATCTGATCATTAATGGTACTTGTTGCAGCCTAACAGTGAAAATTCTGTGGTAATTTGGATGTACAGTATCATCGATTACGTAAATGCTGACTCAGCGAGGCCTGGTGCACATTGGCGAATGAAAATGGATACAACCCTATCAAGTACACCTTTACAATGTTTGCCAAACGTGCCATATCCGTGGGTGTTCCTTTGGCATTGGGTGCTGCCGTTTTTGCAGGCCAGCCAAAGTTACATAATGAATCAAAGAGAAGATTTTACGAAGATGAAACAGACGTCGTTCCTGTGCCAGGAACAGTGATACCAGCACCTGCATCAGAAATAGAGGCCTTGGGCTCCAGCAGAATCGTTAGCGGGGCTTCAGTACGTTCAGACAAGAATCTTGAACAGGCCTTCAAGAGCGCCAGGGAAACTGCACATGGAGTGTTGGTCCAAGCCCAAAACTATGTGGACCAGGGATACTCCAAATACAACAACACCGAGAGACAAGTGACCACCACTGTGAGTGCGCTTCACGACAAGCACGAGGATTTATTACCCAACTCCATCTACATCGTCGTGGCTGCATTGTCAGGAAATATTGCTGCACGTCAAAGAGGTATCTTGGCTAAGGCCGTCTTCCCAGTGGCATTGGGGCTTGCTTCTTTCAAATATTTCTTACCACAAACCTTTGCCAACACCACCAGCTTCTTGTGGAAGTTGGAGCAACAGAAGCTTCCCCACATCGCCGAACAACAAGAGTATGCCGTAATTAAGGCTGGCGACTTGGTGCAAAGCATCGAGAGCACAGCCCAAGCCGGAAAAAAGAGCTTTGAAGATAAAGCCCAGTCTTTGAAGAAATCTATTGCTGATGCAACCGGATTGAACATCGACGAGGAGGTTTCAAAGAAGTGAGCTACCGGTTCTGAAGGGAAAATACGATTTTAGAGTACGGGCGAAAAGTTCATGATTGGTATTTATCACGTAACAAAGCAATAAAAGCTTAGTACGCCGAATTGTAGTCGAGCATAAAAGCGCAGCAACCATCCACCCTATGATATAAGTGTTGTTTCAGGACTTGGTTAACGACTTGAGTTCTGTCGTGTTTTAAGGATAGTAAGAATGGTGTTGTTGTGGAATAACAGGTTCAACTGTTTAGCAGATATATCAATTTATAGTAATGCTTAAAAAGTTTTGGTATATTACTTGTGGAATCTGGGACAGAGTAGCGATAATTGTTACTTTGAACTTACAATTATTTTTGCACTTTTGCTAAAATTTTGTGAAAAGTGTTCACAAATAGCGTGGGTGCAAAATTAATCATATACAATATGTCGTAAGTACAAACACTATTGGAGATGCTCAGGCAGCCTCTATGATACATACACAGCCTATCCCCATCTGAACATCGTACTAGGGTATACTAACTAAAGACTGCCTTCCCACGACTATGACTTTAAAACCAGACCCTCTACTGCGCTACAGCGAGTGATGGAAAAGCTCTCAAGTATCAGTTTCACTCCTAGCCCGCTTTCAGGATTATCCGGGAGTGCACCAAATCATGGCAAGGAGCCAGAAGCTGTTGTGCAAAGCGTGCTGGCACAACACTTGAATAATAAAATCGGAAAGATCATAAAACTTGAAACGAGACTAATAGGATTGCAGCGTGAACTAAGTGACGATTTGGCTTCTTGGGGCACAACTGTGAGAAAACCAGGATGTCAGCTAATGGTCAGGGAACTTAGCGGACTATACTTGGACCAGACGATGTTCAAACAGTCGGTTGTGGACAAGCTAGAAAACATCAAATTGAGTCTTCACTCCGTGAATGAGAGAGAGAAGAAGCACAAGGACCTTTTATACACACGAACCAAGCTAACAAAGCAGGTCAAGGATAGTGAGCTTCGTTTTGGCAAGAATTCTTCCCACAGTACCTTGTTGAGTGAGAAACTCGAGGAAAACACCATGAACCTCGAAGTTCTCAATTCCCATTGCATTCGAGCCATTGCTACCGAAATGAGAGAAACTGTTCTTGAATACACAATATCTTTACAGCAGAATCTCAAGTTTTTGCTGTCTTCTGTTGCTGAATACAGGCAGCTATTGTCTACCATTGACTGGGACGCAGATATTGATGCCTCACTTAAATGGGTGCAAATGCAGCGAAAATCAGAATTGAATACTCCAGTTGCTTGGCCAGATGATGAGAGGAACCAGAAGGAGAACGAAATGGAGAAGGAGAGACTGCTGGATGCAAAAATCCATTCTGCCGACATCCCAGCGTGCAAATTGTGCAAGAAAAATAAGTATGGAAAGTTGATCACACCCTGTAGCCATGGTCAGGGCCTACAGTTCATAAGACCCCAGGAGGTGCCCCAAGAGAATTGGTGATTACAAAATGCTTTAATTACGGTTGGCATATTGGGCCAATTACTTTGTTTTACTCAATCGAGTCCATTTATCCTATCTATGTAGAGATCTATCTCATCTATCTATTATAACATGCCATGACTTTATATACAAGCGTGTGTCCTATGTGTAGAGGGACACTCTCCGATGCCTAGTTAATATTAACATTTTCCTTCATATTTCCGTTCTTGAAAAGTTTCTTTCCAACTTCGTACGACGATATCATGATAGCACACGATGGCGCAATCTTGATCGCTCTGGGGATGAACCCAGCGTACAACGCCCGAATTCCTTCCTTCCTGCGTATGTCGAGCAAAAACTTGAACATGGAAGGCTTTTTGAATGGTTTGCCTTTGTCGCTCTGCTCCTGGCTGGTGATCTGGAGTCTAGTCTTGCCCACATCGAAGGCGTTGGTGGCAAATGCTGCAATCAAACCTGATATTGACCCGGAAAGGAAACTGCTGGTCAAGACCTTCCAGTCGTCCTCGTTGGCGGAGTTTTCAGAACTCATACTCCGACTGATCCTCTCCTTGAAGAACTCGTACGACAACCAGTAGATACCGGAAAAGGGCACGTCTCTCCACAAGGTGATCTGGAGACCAGTGAACATGGTTCCAATGCCGCGAGCCTTGACCACATTCAAGCTGTCTTTGAGCAAGTTGGCCAATATTTTGGGGGAACCGTTGTGGTCGGAGGGAATGGACTGGAGTCTGGTTTTGACGAGCTCAATGGGCGACACCAAGGTGGCCGCCATGATTCTGGCGAACGAGCCACAGAACAACGGGTTGAGCGGGTTCTGGCTGATGGGCGAGTGGTCTCGGATGTATTCGTAACCCGTGAAATACACGATATTGGAGGGTATAGCCATGAGGAGGGTCAACGAGAGACCTCTCCAGAGGGTGGCAACACCCTCGTTCCGCGCGATTGTGGTGAAGCCTTGAAACGTCGAGGTGATACGCGTGCAGTTGGGGTCTGTGGAGCAGTAGTTCTTATGGAGCCAGAAGAGTTCTGGTGAAGTTGCTGCGAGCTTGGCTGGCGGCTTGATGGCGTCGGGAAAGTGGGTCGAGCAGCAAGGTGCGCTGGCAGGCATGATTTCCTGCTGCTGTATTCGTATTCTGATCACATCGAAGGGTGTGACCACCAACGAGGTGATGAGGGACCCCAGACAGGCGCTTATCATGCGCTGGCCAATGGTGATATCGGAGGGGCGGGAGTGGGCGGCAGCGGCGGCAGCAGCGGATGGAGGTGGCTGGGGGTCGTTGTCTGCCCGCAATCTGGTCATGGGAGAGACAGACATCGTGGAGGAGAAGAATGTGGCAATAGTTTGCTTCAATAGTCTCGGTTATGTCAGCTGGAAATTTGCTGTGCGATGAATCATGGAGCGGTCATGTGACCATAGACCGAGTCGGGATGGTGATGGAAGCGATAGGCGACGAGAGGTGCGGGTACTGACGGATGTGCCATTGGACTAAATACAGTGGGAAGGTGGTGTGGCGCAAACCTCTACTAGCAGGCCAATGGGGAGCTCGGCTAGAAGTGCCAGGAGGCCAATTGGGCCACACCACCAGGCTATACATTTATACTGCCCTCTCGCTTATCGCTGCCCTTTGCGCTTAGTACTCCGGAATGGTGTCGCGACACCGGTAGATGTTGATGTGGCCGTCCTGGTTGTAGTTGGTAGCGAGAATCATCCGGTGGGGGTGGAAGGTGGTGGTCGACAAGTAGTTGGAAGTCCGGTTGCTCAAGTAGTTATCGTGGGGATTCTTCAACGTCGAGAGCAAGTCGCCAGCAGTGGTCCAGAGATTAACAGTCTTGGAACCAGTGGTAATGATGGGAGCGTGCTCGTGGACGTTCATGCACCGCATCGACTTCTCGCCTGTGTTGTAAGACAACACGGGGTCCGTGGCACGGATGTCCCAGAGATTGACGTAGCCGTCCGACGAGCCACTGACCAATTCTCGGTAACCTCCTCTTTGCATGTGCACCTGTCTGATGGATCCTGACCCCGTAGGCTTGCCCTGGGGCCCCTGGCCCCTGTGGCTGCGCCAGGTTTTGACCATGGACTCACGCGAGTCGAGTCTTCTGTCGTATACTCGCAAACTGCCATCGTCAAACCCGGCAATGAAGATGTTTCCTGCAACCTGGTCCGAGGTCAAGGAGGTGATCGACGAGGACGATCTGGCAGGGATGTCCACCAAGCACAACTCACGAGGAGCGTCCCATACCCGGATGATCTTGACATCTCCACTGACCAACAACGAGCCTCGAGACTGCTGCCATTCTGATATCAAACCAGAACTCTTGGATGTGAGGAGTAGATCGGTCAACGCTCTCCATGAGGCAACCAACTCGATTCTTTTCCTCTCATCATCGTCTCTAGTGTCACCGGTTCCATAATGGGCGCCTGCCCCATCGCCCTCGACCTCTTCATGGTTGTGAAAGTTTTTGTAAATCTTGATCACACCATCGGAACTGCCTGCAAGCAACAATGGAGAGTCGTCTTCGTTGAGAAACTTCATATCCGTGATTTTGGTCCCAAACGGATTTCCATTGGAGAATTTCTTGATCACCTTGTTATCTTCCCAATCCCAAACGGTAACGTTGTCCTTTTCGTCACTGGCAACCAATATCCTTTCAAACTGGGTGAACTTGATCAATTTGGGCTGAACTTTATTGTTCAAGGTTGTAGTAACCTTGGTCCAGTCGCCTCTGATAGCCAATTCCTTTTGTGGTTGAGTCTCTTGGATAATTGACTCGTTTCTGTTCCGTCTCCACAACCTCTGAACATACTCCTTGGATCCTGGCTCATCAATTTCATTCTTAGACATCTGAGGTTCTTGGAAGTACTCGCAACTGTACTCGAAAAATCCCGATTCGCTGCTTAAGAACGGTTGCTTAGAGAGATCTCTAGGTTTATAAAATGGAGTTTTGGGCTTGTACTCACTTCCATAGTTAGTCTGAACTGGCCCCGAATTAAGAATTCTGGTGAAGGTTTTCAAGTCATTATCTTCGTTGATCTTCAACGAGCTAAAAATTTTAGTGAACGACATGTTTTTAATTTTAGAGGAGATTGATTCAGTGTCCGACTTATCATCATCCCTGAGATGCGAATTAAGGTCGTTCGTTGATGCAGATCTGGTAGCGATTGAAGATCCATTGATCATCAAAGAATTATTCTTTCTGTTTTGGACAGAGTTTGTTGAAACTTGTCTTCTTTGACCATTACCAAATTGATGGTTTATAATGGGCTTGTTAGGTTGGAAACTCTTACTGATGTTGATTGTGGACTTATTCAACAAGTATTCCTGCATTTCCTTGACGAGTGGACCCAATTCACTTTCATTTAATTTCACCATAACTGAATCAACTAATATCTCTGCTAATTGTTTGACCTCAAGGTGTGGATCCTCTGTCAAGATCAACAATGCCTTCCAGATGGAACTAAAAATGGAACCATAAGCAGGAGATCTCTTTCTAAAGTCATTTAGATAGTTTGAGTTGTCAATCAAAACGATTTCTTCTTCCAATTGATTGAATGAAACAACTAAGAAGAATTTGAAATAAATTGTGATGAATCTATTGATAAAATAGACGATCTCCTTACGAACCATAGGTGATCCATCTCCCAACAAGATCAATATAGTATTTGCAAGTTTCAAGTCTTGTTGCTTTATTTCATCTCGTCTGATATCAGATGTGCCATATGGCACCTGTGAAGGTTGCTTTTGAGTTTGCTGTTGTGGTTGAGCTTGAGGAGGAGTGTCTTCGCTCAAAAAGTTGGTGATTGCTAAAATGATGGAGGTTCTCACTTCTGGAATAGGATCGTTAACCAACGTTAACAATTTATTTAAATATCCGTCTTTGTGCACAATCCATTTACCATCTGGATATTTATTCCAAAGTTGGGAGAGCAACAAACTGCACCATTGTCTTAACAACGGATTTTCACTATTCAGGATGAACTTCAAGCAGTTGTTGATAATTTCAATCGAGAAAGTTAATCTTTGGCCATTCTTAAAGTCCTTAATAAAGAGTGTCAAGATAAATGCACTCATAGCCTTGTGGTCATCATTAATGAGAATGTTGCTATTGATGGCACCATTGGCACCTGGGGTTCCTAGAGCACCTGGAGCACCTGGGGTACCAATTGGATTCACTGGGCTCGAATTGAGGATTAGGTAGAAGTAGTTATACCCTTTGTCCTTACACAATTCTTGCTGTGTGCTTTTATAATCAATAGCCATAATTCTAACCCAGATGAAAATCAAGACAGGCTTCAACTCCTGTGCTGGACTTTGTAAGAGCTTTAAAACATATGGAAATATACCAATGGATAAAGAGAGGTACACTGCCCATGGACCAAGGTCAAGAAACTTAGACAACAAGATTAATGCCCTTAATCTATGAACCTGGGAAAGCAAAACTTGGAGAACAATTGGTAATTGTTCTGGAAGATCTTTTGTTGAGGCTCCTGCGTACTTCAACCATATTTCAAATGCAGTTAATTGTTGTTCAAAGAAGGTAGAATGCTGATAATTTGTAAGGTTTTGGTTAATTCCAGGGGTAGTGGCGGCTGTAGCAGCTGCAGTAGTACTGACTGCACTTGATTGAGCTGAAACTTTAGACTGAGATGATGATTGAGCTTGCAATTGGGGACGTTGGGCTTGAGGTTGTTGAACCAGTTGTTGACTGGGTGGCTTGACAGATTGCTGTGTCTGCACAGACTGTGATGCAGGTGGTTGCAGGTATGAAAAAGTTGGATTGCTAGGAACCTTTTCACTTAAATTATTGTTTTTGATTAACTGAGAGAAAACTTGATCAATTGCTAAGTCCCAAGAGTCCCACATAGGATGAAATCTTACCGAGTCAGGTAAGGGAGGGTCACTTATGGGGTTGCAATTCATATGAGGCATGATTCTTTTTGCCAATAAGAAGTTTCTAAACAAGGCAGCCACCATTAAATCTTGTCTAAAGAGTCTTTTGAAGATTGGCCTTGACAATGAAGTCCAGGCAATAGTGTCAGTGATGGCCGTGAAAATCCAGTTTAACTCACCCAAAGGAGTTCTTCTATCAGTCAATTTACCTGGGATAATCACATTTCCTACTGAATTTTTGGGGAGAAGGGAATAGTAGTTTTTCTTCAATGGACTCTGCATGATGAGCCATTTCGTACTGATGTCAATGGGACAGGTTAAACAACACGTGAACAAATCAGCTGGCAAATCGGGACTCATGGGCAAAAGCTCATTACTTTTACAGGCAGCCAATTGGATGCAGTCCAAATAAGCAGAAGTAGGCGATGGGGCACTGGTGTCGTGGTTTCCCTCGTTGTCGTCGTCGATCCGCTTCTGAACGAACTTTTTGAAGTTGTGGACGATATTGCCGGCACTGTTGCAATCATACACAAATATCACTGGGGCCCCCAACCATGTTTGCAAGTCGTAAAGAGAAATGGGGATGTATTGGGTGTAGCCACGGTTGAACACCCAGATCTCACCACTGGAAGTGGGCTGAGGGACACCATGGCCGTTGTAGTGGAACAAAATACGTTCATCCTTGGCGTTTCTGCGCAAGGTGTTACAGAAGCGTTTGACATCTTCCACGCATGGGTCCAACGACTGTTTGTATCTGGTTCTTAATGACAAGGTTTCGTACTGGGACTGGAGGTTCTTTCCAATGGAGTCTATGGCCTTCTTGGTGTCTGGAAACGAGGTCGGGTTGCACCACGCTTCGTACTTGGCACACGGATAGGTCTTCATGATGTCGGGTGGATCCACTCCTAGATTGAGACACAACACGAGCACAGCGCTGATGGTCTTCTGGCGCTCCTTCATGACTTTCCAGTCGGTGATGGGCTGGTAGTTGCGGAAGTACTTGGGGGTCTGCTTCATTTCCGGAGTGATGGGGTTTCCGTTGGTGTTATGGCGCTTATCGTCGAAGTAGATGTAGAAGGTGTTGGCCAATAAATTGAGGAAGTTGGCGGAATTGTAGTCCTGATCAAAGCCATGCCTCATTTTGTCGTTCAACGGCTGGAGGGGCCTAGGCCCGTAGTAGACAATAGGCTGAGACATGGTTGGTGGATTGTGATGGTGACAACTGGTTTATGAGGCGAGTGGGGTCACGTGGAGCCTCGGTGTGGAAGGGAATTTGTGGTGGGAGAATTGATTCTACGGACCTTCGAGATTTGGACTGGTAAAGCCACAGAAACAGGGAAGGGTGGACGGTGTATATGTGATAACACCACTGACAGCTTTCTGGGTGTCCAGAGTTCCCCAAACCCACCAATATACCCCCCACCAGTGGCTATCGCCATTACGTAACCCAGCGCGGCCGTGCCCGCACCAGATCACTGATAAAGGATCAAAGGGGTGGCGTCCTGGCAGCTAAACGTACTACTCCTTTTCTGCTTGCACACCTTAAGTAGAACCAGAAAGTACTCCAGAAGCACCAAACCCCCTGCCTTTACTTTCCAAGTCACGCGACCACGCCACACTTGGTACTTCCGCTTTCCTGTCCCACTACCCCCTAACTACCATGATTGTGGTCCTGGGCACAATTCCCAATGAACGGATCGTCGCCCTTAACGAGGGAGAAGAAGTGTTGATCCGCCGGGCCTCCACGCGAGACAACTCCCGTGCTGCACGGATTACCAACCTCAACTTCAGAAATACCCACTTATCCAAGTCCCATGCGGTGTTGAAGTACGAGAACGCCAGTTTCTTCTTGAAGGACGAAGGCTCCACATTTGGAACGGTGGTCAACAACAACTTCCTCTTGGAAGGTGCATGGGTCAAGCTTGTCACTGGAGACACTGTTGGGTTCATTGTCACCAAGCCCCTGGCGGCGATCGCAGAGGTGACTCTGAGACACGCAGACCAGGCCACGGTTCCCATGAGCGAGTTCAAGCCAGCTTCGCTTGGGCTTGAGTTCCTGATCGTGATTTCTCACAACATCATCAAGTTTGTGCCAATCGAGGTTTTGGAGGTCAAGGAGGCCTCCGATGAAACCTTGTTGGAGGATTTCACCAAGGATGTGACCGAGGTGAGTGACGAAGAGATTGATGGCGACAAGATCACTGCCGAGTCCCTGAATGGCTCACTCAAACAAGAGAGTTCCAGCGAAGATACCGTTGTCGAAGAGGAAGCTCTGGAGTGCCTCTACAATTTGGGCTGCTGTCCCGGCCAAGCTGGAGTTATCCAACGCTACGATCCTCCAACGAAGTCCTCGGATTCACTACTCACCAGGCTGTTCGAATTCTTTATGGAACGTTTCTCTCCAAAAGTTGATAAAGAGTCGGAATCTCGCGTCGAGGACAAAGAATATGATGCTAATGAAGATGATGTCGAACTCATTCTAGACGAGCATTCTTCAGACGCTGTTGAACCAGAAGAGAAATCTTCCGGTGATGTTGTTGAACCAGAAGAAGAAGCTTCCGGTGATGTTGTTGAACCAGAAGAAGAAGTTTCAGACGATGTTGTTGAATGCAGATGCACTCAGACTTTGGAGGAAGATGAATCCAATGAAGAGGATGAGCTCACGGCGAGAGCAGTTGAAATTTGTGAATTTTCAGAAGAAGAAGATTCGGACTTGGATCTGCTTTTACATGGCATCAACGCAAGAGTTTCAGAATCCGAGGTAGGAAGTGAGTCAAATGAATCCGGTTCTGAGTTGGATGTTGAATCGGAGAACCTGACTGGTTCAGGTTCTGATTCCGAATCCGAATCTGAATCCGAGTCGAGCTCTTTATTGGATTACAATTCAATTTCAGAGGTAAGCTCCATTTCAAGTGATGCTAGTTTAATCTCGGATATCTTGCAGTTGGAAGCTGGATCAGATAATTCAGAATCCGAGTCTTCAGATGGAATTGAAGTAACTCCGGTTCAGGTTGGCAAGACAGTTTTCTTGGTTGCAAATGGCGAGGATCTAGTGGATTCACTTGCTTCAGAGCCTGATTGTTGGGGTCGCTGGAATCAGCAATGCAAGGGTAGAAAGAGAACTTTCGATGAAACTAAGGAGGATGATGAGGACGACGATTATGAGGTCGACGATGCCGAGGTCTCTCCTCCTCCCGAAAAGAAGGCTAAGAAGGTTTCTTCAACATTGAAAACTTTTGCCAAAGAAGTTGGTAAGGGTTTGTTCTATGTTATTGCCACTATCACTGCTCTCGGCATATATGGAGGAAAGCTTAACGATCAGAATAAGTGAAATACTCCTACATCTTTGTTACTTGATAAATTGGTTTATTTGGAAGCTATATGGTCTGGTTGAACTACGGGTATAGTTCGAGGAGCGTTTGCGATGCGCTATTGTTTTATCTTTATATTAATTGGAATCAATGCTTATGATATTGTAGTAGTTACAAATTAGTGATATCTAGATTACAATGCTACTTCTTTTTGAAGGCCTTTCTCTTGTCAGGACTGAATTGTTGCGAACCAGGAATGGTCTTTCCACCAACATTAGGACGCTGATTGAGCTGTGCAAGGTTTTGATTATTCCCTATACCAGGCAGAGGCTTCCTTTGGTTTTGCTGAAGTTGCAGCAGCTTTTGCTGTCTTTGTTGCTGAATCAATTGGAATTGACGGAGCCTCTGGAAGTATACTGGGAATTTTTGAACCAATTGTTGTTGGATCAATTTAGCTTGCTGAAGAGCTTGCTGCTGCTGTTGAGGAGTTAATTGCTGGCCAGTTGGGGCAACTCCTGAGCTGCTCATTTGTGCGAAAGCACTCATTCTGCTCTGCAATTGACGGAAATGCTGTTGCTCTTCAGCGGTTAACGAATTTTGGAATATTTGCTGTTGTTGCTGCTGCTGAAGTGATGGTTGCTTTTCATTGGCCGAGCCTGAAGAAGACAGTGGTTGTGCTGATGACTGGGCCTGTTGTTGTGCCTGTGGTTGATGGGGGACTTGCCCTTGTGATCTAGGTGCTGGACTTGCTCTTTGTTGTGGAACATTTTGGATGTTTGCACCGACCATATTATTGTTCATAGGCATATTATGCGAGGGCACATTTCCGAGATCTCCCATCCCATCTGGTTTCTGTTTTTTGAGAGGAGGTTGGTTGGGGGCTTGTGGTGGCATGTGTTGTTGCTTGATTTGAGGATCTTGGATTTGCTGGGATTGGTTCACCATTGCCTTCTTATCATTTTGCATGACAATTGGCCTAGTGTTACTCTGGTTAATGACATTGGCTTGCTCCTGGATCTTGGCATCTTGTCTCGCTTTGTCTGCCTCCCTCTTCTTTCGGATTTCTTCGATCAATCTCAATCTCATAAACTGGCCTGTATTTCTGGACGTGCTTTGAGTCTGAACGGAGGTTGCTTGTGGGGCAGTGGTTGCGGGTTTATCTCCCTTCTTGAGTTTTCCATCGGGTCCAGTAGCTCCATCCTTAACAAGTGGCTTGGCAGATGTAGAACTTGTTGGTGCAGTGGATGTGGCTGCTGCCAATGATGATGACCCAACAACCACCAACCTTTTACCTTTGGCTTCATCCGAGCGCTTGTATTTATTTGAAAGCAAAAGCATAAGCTCTTCGTATTCCGATGACTTGTGCAACACAAGTTCGTCTTGACGCAACTTTCTAGGCTCGTTTTCGACTGCCTCGCGGTGTTCATGAACCAAGTCATAATCCTGTTTCTCTTCATTCCACACCTTCTTAGGATACTCTTCTTCCGGCTTGAGATAGTCAGCACACAAGTAGGGGTTCAACGGCACAGATAAATCCAACTTTCTATTTGTTAATGTAAGGATCTCCGACTCCATCTGGAGAGATAGCTGATCAGTGAATTTTGTCAATGCAGAATCAGTGTGGTATAAAAGATCATAGTAAATGGAGAGTTGGGTGGGACGCAATAAAGTTCTGTATGTTTTAGGTTTGTTAATGGTGGGTGCTGGAGAACTTGTGGAAGTGGAGTCTTCGGTTTTGGGCTTGGAGTCAACTGCAGGGCTACTTCCACTGGCACTAGCTCTGGTGGGGTTCAGGGTAGCCACAATATTTCTGTGATCGTAAACCTGCAAGATCAAACACCCGTCGTATGAACGTATGGAGAAATCCTTGAGAAGCTCACTCATTTCTATGGGTATCTGTTCTTTCAAGACATGTTGAAAAAAGCTCTTGATCATGGGAGAGTTTTTGGGTATGACATTGGAATCCTGCGAGTTGTTGAATCGATAGTGTGTCTCAAAGATATGGAGACTGAGCGATGCTGGATATTTCGAGTATTTTCTCAAGATCTCTTGTGATGTAGTTGCAAACTGGTAGTTTTGGGAGTTGGGTCGCTGTTTGAGTTGCGCTTGCTGTTGCTTCATAAGCTGTTGCTGTTTCAACTGCTGGATCTGAGCAGGGGTTAATTGGCCCGCTGGCCTTTGAGAGGTCATGGTCCTTCCGTTGTTGTTATTCATGATCCATTAAAGAGGCGCTATGGTAGGGGATTTGTGGTGAAAAGTTTGTACACAGGAATCGGAATAATTCGGAAGGTGTCGACGTACTTCCCGAGTCTCAATGATGAATGCAGCCGCCTTCAGTAGATTCCACGGTGATTGATGGATGGTAGAGTGCTACGCTTATCCTTTCGAATCTCAGCGTTCACGGCACGTGAGAAAAAGTCACGTGGATCGCATGTGACTAGCACCTACATTTGGTCAAGAGTAGCTGTCTATAATAATATACAAGGAGCCGTCGGGCCAGGAAGGCTATCTGCGCTTCTAGAGATATATCCAGCGTCTCTGCTGTGTCTGGGCTGGATTCGACTGCAAGGGTTTTCCGATGAAATAAGATCTGTAGTTGCTTGCACAGAACACAGAGTCTGGTTCTGGTGTTGCACAGGATCCACGTGCAAAACTATAGCTATTCCAGCATTAGACGGTCGGGTACATGATCGCACACACACACACAGCTGCTGACCTCGAGCCAGCAGTATGTATACAATTTCGATAATAAATCCTCTAAAAGGCAGAATCGCTTGTCAAGCAGTATTGGAGCGACTTGAACATCTTGGACCTGTCTTCCTCGTTGAATATCCACAAGCCGTAGATTTCGCCCACCAAGTTTTTCACGATCACCAAGTTGTCGTTCAACTCGACGTCCATTTCGGTGTAGCCAGAGTTGTTGATGCCTGTGGGGAAAAAGTGCTTGGAAATCTTGTTGGGCAACAACCCGATCGAGAAGCAGTTGGGGTTGCTTCTGTTGAGTAATATTAACCCGTAGCAGAAGAGGTTCTGCAAGTCTTGGTAGCTTGGTTGATGCCCTTGTTGTGGAACTTGGAAATCTCTCGCATACAAGGCGAGTGTGCCCTGGTAGTCGGTCTTGACCCATTCCTGGGAGTCGTCGTTGAACTTATATATCACACAATGCGATGAATGGCAGAGGAGTTGCTTGATCGCTGGATCGTATCTGTTTATGACGTTGAAGTTGAGCGTACTTCTGTAGAGTTTCAACGCCTCTTCAGTGGTGATCTGCTCTTGCTGCACTGGGTTTGACTTGCTGGCTTTGGCTGCCATGGTGGTATGTGAAGTCTAGTGTGTAGTTTAGTGTGAGGTGTTGGCGGATTCGGATGGAGGTGAGATATAGATATTTGTTCCTGCATATAAACACAATGTCTAGAATAGATATTGCTGATTTACTGGCAAAGAGCTGGTTCTAAGGCTACTAGAGCTTCGTGTTTGGGCCTTGGTACTCGGGCTAGGTGTATGGGAAATTGCTTATAGTCCGAACTGGCTCCTTATTCTGAAGTTTTCTGGCCTCAAGACCATGGCTTCCAGGATTAAGATCCAGTTTTAACCACTCACTGGATTGACATCCAAGACGTCAATATGGGCATTTTGGCATATTCTACTCCTGTTTTGTCACGTACCTCCCAGGACTATTTTTGGGTGGCATATTCTGCTTGAAAAATAAGCAAAGTTCCTGTGTTCCACAAAAGGCCAGCGTTTGTAGCAACAGTTGTCCCAGCATCCAGACAATGCCTTCAGCCACACTAAACCATCGGCCGGCACAGCCGTTGGTTGCGATCAATCAGTGATGGCCACAAATTAGCCTTGCTAATACGTGTCCTGCACACAGTGCTTATATATCAGTTGCTGAAACCTCCTCCTTCCACTCTATCCTACCAATACATCCTGCAATGTTCCAATTAAGCAGAAACTTCGTCCGCCCAACCTCCTCCATCAGACAAGCTGTCCGTAGCATCAGCATTGGGGCCAAGGTCCCTTCGGTGCCATTGTTCGAAGGCTCCCCAGGAAATTCCGTCAATCTTGCGGAAGAGTTAGCTCAAGGAAAGTCGGTTTTGATTGGTGTTCCAGGCGCCTTTTCGCCAGCATGTTCTGCCTCCCATGTCCCAGGCTTCCTCAAGAACTTGCGTGCCTTCAACGAGAAGGGCTACACCGGTTTCTATGTTGTTGCAGTCAACGACGCATTTGTCACTAAGGCTTGGGGAGAACAATTGTTGGAAAACAAGGTGGCTGGCGACCAGATCAGATTCTTGGCCGATCCAAAGGGTGAGTTCACCAAGGAGCTCGACTTGCTCTTCGACGCTGCTAAGTTCTTTGGAAACGACAGATCCAAGAGATACGCCTTGTTGGTCGAGGACGGTAAGGTGACCAACACCTTTGTCGAGCCCGACAACACCAGCGTGGACGTTTCCGACGCCGAGAAGGTGTTGAAGGACGCTTAAGTATGCTATAGTGTAATATAAGAATAGGCAAGAGAACAGGTGTGGGGGCCAGTGCGAGCGTCGTGGTGGCCTTGAGTGCGAATAGGGAGACTTAGCGAGGGCTGTAGCTGGGCTCGTCCGCGCGCAGCGAGTTTTGTGCTGATCCCAGCGCGGGAGGCATGTTGGTCTCTCACTTCTCTCCCTGGGAGTGCACAACTCCCTCGCTATTCTCAAAACGGGCTCTACATTCAGTGAGAACCTCATCTCCAATGCCATGTTTAGACTTACCACCACGCTCAGGAACACAGTAAGAGCATGCCAGCGTGCTGGTATCATACGACACCAGTCAACCAAGGAGTATTCTCCCGAGCAGATCGAGAAGGCCCGGGACTGGCTCCAAAAATTCACGTTTTCGCAAGTCCCATCCAACATCTTTGACGTTAGCTATAGCAGATCTTCTGGAGCCGGGGGACAGAAGGTCAACAAGACATCTTCCAAGGCCACAGTGGCCTTGGAGCCGCACCAGTGGCTCAACCCCCAATTTTGCTACTGGATCCCCGAGCCTATTCGAGCCCAGCTTAAAGAACGGAAAATCCGGTACGAGACCAAAAGTGGAGGCATCTTGATCCAAAGTGACTTGACCAGAAACAGAGACGTCAACACCGAGGAATGCTTGAAGAAGTTGGTCGAGGAAATCAAGGCCAAAACCTTCTTTGCTGGCGAGATCAGTGAAGAGGACAAGAAGAAGTGGGAGGATATTCGTGAAGAAACAAAGGAGAAACGGTTATTTCACAAGAAGAAGCAGAGCGAGAAGAAGAAGTTGCGCTCCAAGAAATTCGACTTCTAGGTTCGATACGCGGGTACAAGAACTGGTGTTCATGAGTGTCGACTTCCCAATGTATATAGGATATATCATGGGTGCCAAATGTCGTTACTGTAGCTCCAGAGTTAGGGACAAAAGTTCGCGCGCCTCGTGCTACCACGAGGAAGATAGGGCGAGGGGTGCGAGTGCGCTAGGCCAGCCTCGGTAATCTTCCAGTGAGACCAGTACAAGTTAGAATAGTACGGTAGTGAAAAATGGACTTGCAAACGACGGTTTGGAGATGTCACGAAGTTAACATACACAGCGAACCTCATAGACTTGTGTCTAGGGCCAACTGAATAGGAATCCCTGTGAAAATCCTATCCCTCTATCTCTCTCTGGTGCGGTGTGCGCACTGGCGCTCGCTAAAGAAGTATTATCCATTCTCGCTCAACAACATCTCCAGTACCATGGTCTCTGCAAGCAAGCTAGCACAACCAATTGAAGAGCTCTCGCAGGCGTTGACGTCCTTTGTGGACTCTTTGCCCCAAGAAGGCCAGAATTACCTCACCCACCAGGTTGATTTCGAGCTTTTCCACGAAAAACACCATATCATCGAAGATGTTCTCACCAGGCATGGCGTTGACTATACGGTGCAAATCCCTGAAACTGATGAGCTAGCACCAGAGTCCGTCTCTAAGGCAGAGTCTTTCAACAAGGACGTGGCTCAGCGTACCAAAGACTGGATCATATCGTTTGGATTTCAGCGGGCCATCAGCACACAATTGTCACAGTACATCGCCAGTTATAGACCATCAGCTGCAGATGGAAGCAACGACTCCAACAAGGCTGCCGAAACCCACTTCTACAATCACGTTTCAATATTGTTGGACTTTCAGGTATACGTCTACATCAACCAATACCAGTTTCTCAAGCACTCCTACTTCGAGAGCGTATCCCAAGTTCTGAGGCTCCTCTTCGAGATCTCCACCTACGAAGTCGAGAAGTTCTGGCTCTACTTAGAGTCCAGAGAAACTCTCTTGACGGAAAAGGTATTCGACAGAGGTGTGGTAGCTGATAGAATCTCGTTGCTTGAAATCTGCAATAGAATCACCGACAAATACATCTACAAAAACTCCAAAGGCAACAAGGACTTGAAAAGAAAGGATTCATTCAATGACAGCTTCCAGTTCCGGGTTAGAGCTTTCTTGGCCAGGATCTTTGCTTTCGAGGACAATACTGGTCTCAATAAGTATTTCCATGTATCCAATAGAGCCTCCCCAGAATTTCCCAAGGTCAAGTCTCCGTTCTTGGAGGACATCATCTATATCCAAAAGATATTTAACGACCCCTACTTCTACCTCAAGAAGGCACAGTACTCGGAATTGAACTCTCTAGTTGATAGCATTCAAAGTGTATACACCTACCTTCTCAGCGAGGAGGTCGCCTATCAACAAAAACACAAGACCGATCAATACTTGGTCCAGAAGGAGAAACAGGAGTCAGAAAAGGCGTTGTTGAAAGAAAAGTACGCCAATGCCCAATACTTCCCTGAAACCTACTGGTTATCTTCATTCGAGCACCCAAACAAGAAAGACCTCGACAAGGCTAGGGACGAAGACAGAGAGTACCTTAACGAGCAATTCAGCAACTCTAAGGTCCGGTTGCAATATTTGTTGATGATTTTCATCATTGCCAACTTGTATCTTGAATTAACACCCTCCAACAAGGAGGACTTTCTTGTGTCAATCGGCGCTCCTGCAAATATCAAGCATTTGACGGACGAGAGTCTTTCGGAATCCCACAAGAACTTCTTTTTGAAGGTGAAGAAGGAAATGTTTTCGACCTTGAAGACTGTTGATAACCAGTTTGCATTTTTGATCCAGCATATGGCATTGGCCGAAAAAATCTGGTGGAGCTGGTTGATTTATGGCAAGGACTCTAAAACGAACAAGTCGTTCTTTGTAGACAGGTTGCTTAGCCAAGAAGAGTTGGTTGAAACGAATAATGCCTTTCAAAAGATATTTCCATTCAAAGAAAAGAGGTACTTCAACACCTTTGTCACTCCCCAGTTGACCAGGAAAATGAGAGGAACCAGAGGAATAGAGAAGTTGCAGAAGCAGGAAGTTTCTACCCAAAGCTACCAGGCCAGTTTGGAGGAGTTGAACCAAAAAATAGAACAAGAATCTAGTATAGAAGTTAAGAAAGAGTTAGCCGAAGAGAGAAACGCTCTCATATGGAAGAATTCCAAGGTGACAAGGCAAGACAACTGGCTTGAGCTTGGGAAAATCATTACTCCCGAAGTATTGGTGCAAGGAATGGAGGAGCCAAAGGAGGATCCTAAGGAGAAATCAAAGGAGGATAACAAGGAGGAATCTAGTGAAGACAATAAAGACGCAAAGGAACAAGATGGAATAGAGATTGAAGAAAGAGAATCCACAGGTGGAGCTGAAGGAGAAAGTACTGATCCAACGGAAGAAAAACCCCGTGAAGCCAATGGAGAAGTTGTAGCAGATGGGGTCAACGATATGGAAATAGATGTAACTGCCAAGGATATCTTGGTAGATAAACCTGGTACTCCTGAAGATAAACTAGACCCTTCGAGAACTACCACACCAGAAGTCAACGACAGTGTGGAAAAGCCCGAAACGGAAAATTCAGTACCAGAGCACAGAGGGTCGAAGAGACCGCGTTCCGACTCCGAAGAGCCTCCAGTCAGTGCCAAAAGAACTCATGTATAGTACGTGTATAATAATCAAGAGTAAATTGATATGTATTGATATGTGCTGTTTAGAGTAATCAACCAGCTTATTATGGAAGTGGTCGAGTTCGTTCCTAACTCGAATGTGGCTCCGGCTAAGAGCACTTTACGTCCCAGTGTTAATTTTGAAGTACAGATATCACGGAACTAATGCCAGTGGCATGCCAAATGCGGACGAGAAGCACAAAATTCACACGGGATCTCTATTAAGGCGTGAATCAAAATCTTTCGAACGTCGTAGAATTGCTCCTTCGATTTTAATCAAAGCATATTGGTAATAGTTCTCGTCTGCAAAATTATGATTAAGGGACTCTACGCTCAGGGACCAGTATCGTAGTAGAAAGCATAAAAGGATAGCATTTTTGCCAGCTTCCCCTACCACATGCTACATTTCGTAGGGAGTGGCACCTGAAAATGAAGGCTACGAGTTAAGATATCGAAGTTCAGTAAATTTTTCAGCCAGTATCTCGCTTCTTGCCTCACCCAGCAGAAGCTCCACACCAAACAGCAATCTAAGACAGAGAATTGAGCTGCATAACTCTCATCGACATTCATCCAGTACACCGATGGCCTACACGGGTGTTGGGACTATCCAAACAGATGTTTTCCAGGGTATTGGAGTAGGCCCTGGCCCATTTGTGTCACGAGCCCTGTGCTCTCGTCAACCTGCACCCAATTAGTTGGCCAGATCCAGACGCGTCAACTCATCGTAACTCCACCACATCTTCACCACCAAATGAGCCTAGATGGGGCCTAAGCATAGAAAACACCAACCGCCAACCAGGCGGGACAGCACCAGCGACACTCACGTCGCAAATACCACTGCAGCTGAGATCCCAGACACTTTTGACCTCCATCTCCAAAAAGTACAAATGGCCCAGAAGTTGAATGGAGGATGGGAACAGGAGTCAGAAACACATGAAAAACCGGCAGAAGCACGCGAAGACCTGCATTACAGCGGGAATTCTTTTGAATCCACCGAATCCGCTTCCTTGAACAACAAAACAGGCTCCCTCGGCACAAACTCGGCCACAGACACCCAATGCACGATTTTAGGCGTCAAGGTGCCCAACCTCAGGCGTAAGAAGAACCACGAACAAGAAGAACTCAACTCATCACCCATCAAGAAACAAGACCACGGCATTCCCGATATTTCCCCCGTTCATCTCAGACTCATCAACTCATCCCCCATCAAAAGAAAGAAGTCGGTAGCATTTTCAGACGATTTGGTGTCGGAAGTGCCCAGCTCGCCATTACGCCCATCCACCCCACAAAGATCCATTTTGAAGACTAACAACCTCATCCTCCTGAACTCGTCCCCACCCCCAACAGACCCCAACGACACCAGGCGCTGGACACCCAATCACTCCCCCTCCGCATATGGACCGGCAAACCCCATGTTCTGGATCCAGGGAACCATCATCCAATTGGCACCCAACTCGGTAAAACTCCCTCAATTGGTCGAGGGCTGTGTCTCAGTTCTAGTTGAAGAAGATTTCTCCAAAAAGTTCGAGGTCTACGCTACTTTGAACAATATCTACAAATCCAATCCTTCCGAAGTTTTGGTAAAGCTTTTCACAATTTCTTCCACAAGCGTACATCTTCCACAAAGTCTTAAACGTGATCCGTCTACTAACCACATCATCAACCTCACGTACCTCATCAAAAGAGACATCCTAAAAATCGAAGAATCCATCTTTGAAAACGAACTAGAGCAAGACAAAGAAAACGTGAGTCCCCCTCGGACGGATCCGTTCAGAATCCGTGTTATAAATCAAGCTCTTAAACTCCTCAACAACATCATGTTAGACCCAGAGTTGAATAATTTCATACCTATGGATGAAGTAAGATGGATCTACAAGCATTGTGCTAGTATTCTAACAAAACCTTATATTTCAAAAGCGTTAGTCGCGCCATATTTATTGATCATTAAGGACTGTAAATTTAATAAGAAAAGGAAGAAAATATTGTTTGAATCTCTGGATATACCGGAGTCTTTGCTCATGAGTTTACTCAATATGAAAAGTTTCAATTCCTCATCAATCGTCACTGAAAAATTCCTTTGCATACGGAACTTTGTTATCAATTTTCCAACAGTGATGGCTAAGAATGTTCATCACTGGATTGGAGTTCTTATCTTGAGTATTTGCAACTTATCTTGTTCCTTCTATTATACGAAATGCATAGGTGTGAGTATTAACACACTATTGGAGGTTTCCAAGGTTTTTTTGGATAACAGTCTAGTCAGGGCAGCTGTTAACCAGCTTGTGGAATCAGAGTTACCAGAGAAAATAAAATTGATTACCTCGGACTCTCCAGCGCCAATTGAAATTTACGAAACTCAGGACTCTGTGAAGTTCAAGAAGGCTCCAGCAATTCACTACATTATTGGAAAGCTTGAAGAAAACATAATGGATGAAAATTACAAGGCCAGCATGGATACCTGGTTCTCGATAACCTTATTTCTTGGTGATAATGGATCGTTGGAAAGATGGATGTACCTCAGTGATTGGCTCAAAATTCCCCAAATGTGTTTTAATACGTCTAACTTACAGGCCAAGCTTTACGCTTTGAACAGCTGGAAATGCTTGATCTATAGTGTATGCCACAATGATTTAGAAGAATTAAAGAAGCTCGTGGATAGACCAAAGAAGGCACAAGAAGCTAAAGGGTCCAGTCAAAATGATCAAGGGTCTAAGAGTATGCTCAATTCTTCATTCAAACAGAAGGTGAGATTGCTCACTCATTTGTTCTCAAGTATCGAATCAAAACAGCCCCCTCAAACAGAAATAATGGATTGTTTGTTCAATTTATTTCTTTCAATAATTTATATGTTATTGAATCCTTGCTCTTTTAGGGTAAACGTCAAATACCTCCATATTTACTGGGATAAAATTATTCAACCAATTATCTTTAGCTTCTTCTTTAAAAAGGAGAATGATTCATCAAACTATTTACAAAATTTGGGGCTTAAGATTTTAACACACCTTTTAAAGCCCTCTTCTATGAGCATAACAGAAAGAAATTTCAATGAAATTAGATGTTTGAATAATGATCCGGTTACTTTGGCTGAGATAAACTCTCTTCCTTCAAGATGGGTCTATACCAAATTTGATCGTATCTTTAATAATATTGCTGTGGTTTTTAATCTGCTGAAGTTAACTTTGGACCAAAAGGTAAACTTTTTCAATTCTTTCTTGGGGAGTATCAAAGGAATAACAAAAAAGGAGGTGAAGACTTCGGAATTAACACTCGATATCATTGACAACTTGCCAACACTTTTGGTGGAGTTATTCAAGCAAGAACCACACAGCTTTGATTTAGCCTACCGATTGGTGATAATGATAAACGATACTTTTGATGCAAGCCATCTAATCGTTGATCGTAAAGATGGAATTTATCTGGTCATCTTGGGTAGCTGTATGTCTACGTTGGATATTACTCAGAAGAAGGACTTGTTAACTTTGATCACCTCATCTTTATCAAACAAGAAATTAATAAGCTTCCTTATTCAGCTAACCCAATCTGAGTTTTATTCCACGGATATGGATCTGATAATAATCAGTTTCCTCAACAATAGGCCAATAGAAAGGGGCCAACAAGAGCTTCTGATTTATGGGAAGTTCTGTCAATTAGAAGCTGAAGGGTTTGAACCATTTGTTAAGAAGTTAATCCAGAGTGTTGTTGCATTACTGAATACAGAAGACTTGAGGACTGCTTTTGATTCATTGAATGTCGAGAAATGGAGTTTTAGTGTTTTCAAATACTTATTGCTTCTTATTCAAAATGCACCAAGTAAAACAATTCAATCATTTTCAAAGTCGATTACCGAAGCCAAGTTGAAAGTTGCTACAGTTCAATTGGATTTCGTAAAATTCTTGATAACTTCAAATTGCAGTTATCTCATTAGTGTGTTGGCAGATCCAATATTTGAATTATCCAGCGCTAAGCTGTTCCATCCAATTTGGGTATCGTTTCTTGAATCGAACATTGAAAATTACGCCTTGTTGGATAAGCTCTTGGTGAAATTTCATGATCTTGAAGATTTTGATGTGAAACCCTTTACTAGGAATAAGTGGGATGACTTACCTTTACTAAAGGAAAGATGGCTTCAAACTAATGGTGAGTTGTACTTTGATGAGAACTACACGGCAAGCTCAATTGACTCCAACGATTACAGCCAAGACCAACAAAGTGACAGTTTAGATAGTCACAAAGAAGAGAACAACGCTGCCGAAGCAGCAGATATTGTTGATGTTTCAAAGGACGAAGTTCCGTTAGATGAAGCAGATTTGTCCAAACGTACCCCGACAAGAAGCAGAAGAGCTCGTTCTACCCGAAACTCCGGCAGCACGGAAGTATTGAAATCTCCTGAGCGTTTATCCTCCAGAAGAAGAACGAGAAATTCGGAATTAGACAACCCTGATGTTGGAAATGAACAAGCCATTGTTTCAACGCCCTCAAAGAGTCTTGTTAAGGAGTTATTGGAAAAAGAAGCAAATGAAAAAATCATGCAAGAAGCCGAGGCTGCTACAACCCCAACTAGAAAGTCCAAAAATAAAGCAAAGGCTTCATCAGTTACCAAGAAGAGTACCAAGAAGAAGTCAAAGGTTTCGGCAAAGGATACAGAGGCCAAAATCATGGATGATCTCGCAACTCCAAAAGCTTTTGATATTCATTCTTTCACTGCGTTATTGAATGCCAAATTGTCATCTTCACCTTCTAAAGCACCAAAGAAAAGAAGGGCTTCTGCTAATGTCTCTAGTCCTATTGTTGAAAAATCAAAAAAGCAGCCTGAAAGTTCGAATGTTCAGGTCCCTTCGTCCTTCGATGCTAACAATGATGAGATATCTGAATTGGAAAATGGATCACTAACTCCTCAGAATGAATCCGAAGTAATCGATGATGATTCATTGGATTTGATAGAAACTTCAAGTTCAGTAATTAACTATAGCAAACTTATGGAAAGTGGATTCGAAAATAGATTAGCTGCCGTATCGGATAGTCCTAATCGGAGAGTTAGTTCTAGGCTCAGTTCGAGAAAGAGAAAGTTAGTTGATTTGGACGAAGTTGAAGACATCAAAGATGTGGAAGAAGTTGAAGAAATAGAGGAGGAGGTAACGCCTGTTGAGCCGAAGAAAAAGAAGATATCCAGAAAGGCAAATGCTGAAGGACAAACGAGAAAGACTAGAAGCAAGAGCAAGGTGCTGGAAGAGCCCATTGAACTTCCAACGAATAAAGAAAATGAAGAGAATAGTTATTTGGACGTTCTGAAGGACATTGAAATGCCCATCTTGCATGAAGATAACAACGAGGTGGAACCGGCTCATGCAGCGTTGACCCCAACCGATGAGCTGGAAGCCAATGGCTCTCGATTGGAATCAAGAGACTCAAATGGGCCAAGCTCGCTTGACCTTGGCCACGTCGAGGAAGGGGAGTCATCTAGTCAGATCAAGACAGAATCCTCAGTCCTGGATGAACTACACAAATCACCATCTCCGAAGCCATCAAGGGAGTCGAGAAAGTTATCCCGGAAGGCATCGCGAAAGCTTGCTAGAAAGTCGGCTAGTTATTCACCTTCACCAGACCTCAATGAAACCAAGTCTCCGGAGGTTTATCAGGAAGAAATTAGCTCGGGTGAAGTTCCAGAGAGTTTCAAAACTATGGCTTCGACTGAAAAGTCTGAAGTTTTCGTACTTTCACCCTCACAGGACTTCTCCGACGGTCTCTCGGTACCGAAACAGGAAGAAGATCAGCTGTCACAGGTAAGCGGGAATGAAGACAAATCTCCTGAAGCTGAAGTGGTTTCTTCGGCCCAGGTGATGGATTCTAGCAGATCCTCGTCGGACGACTGGAGCATTGTCAACTTGGCGAGCTACATACCCAAGGTTCCTGATTCGGATCTCGCCAGAATGACCAAGCTGGAGCGGGAAAGCTTGGTGCTACAGCTCGTGAGTCTCACCCACAGAGTAATGAATATCAACTCTGACTAGGGTTATGTATAATAGTGTAGAATAAGCAGATTATCCCAAATGCATCAGATCAATCATGTATTGACTTATTATCATGTTGTAGGCCAGTATAGCATATAATTTATTTTATTGGGCTATTGGTAGGTCAGGAGACTCAATTCCATACATTCTTGGTCCAAACTGCGGCAATGCCACCCATCGAAGGACAAATAGAGTTAGAAAGTCCCAAACTGGCCACAGGGAAAAATTCAGACACCACATGTGTCAAGCAATGGCTGTCGCTGTTTCGTGAATTTCCAATCAATGAGTAGTTACTTTTAAGCGAACAAGACACTCAACTACATTTCAAGCCACTAAATATTTCTCTACATATAATTGACTCCTCTAACAATGCTCCACCCATTCCGGTCATAAACTCCTGCTTCAAGCCTCTTCCAAGAGTATTGTAATTCGAGTGTTTACAGCTCACTCTTCTCCTCTATTCACCTATTCACTGCACATAAACTCAGTCTATATATTCGCATACCCCACAGATCCGCAATATCCATCACCTCATGTCTATAGTCCCCTACAATGCCAACAACGAGATCCTTTACCACGACCCCATCCATGGCATCCTAGTCCTTCACAACAACCAGTACAACTCGATCCTGTTGCTTTCCACCAAAACCCCAGGCTTTCCAGGCTTAGGCGGTGGAACAAGACCTGGCGGCAATGGACCCTCCAACCACACGTTTCCAGGAACCAGTTCTGGCCACACATTTCACGACCAGTTTCCAGGGTTTTCCCAGCCCAACGCCTGTCCCAACTGTGGGTTTCAATGGGCACCCAATACCAATCCATTCCGGCTGCAAACCAGGCGATCAGGCGATTCCACCTCCAGCTTGGCCAGAGTGCCTAGCGTGGAGCAGACAGACCATCCACCAAATATGCTCTACGGAAACTCCCAGGAGTTTATCCGCCACGATTACTTCAAGTTGCTAGGTCAATTGTCCCATACAAGCGAACACGAGTCCAAGTCTCGAGTCCACCATTCCCTTCCGCAAGACATCTTCAACCAGGGATACTTCAAGCGGTTTTTCAAGAAAATTCCTCCCTACACTTTGGGGTCGGGAGCTCATGCCCAGGTCTATAAGGTAAACCATGTACTCAACGATATCAAGCTTGGAACTTACGCTGTGAAACGAATCAGCGTGGGCAACAAAATTGAGTTGTTAGAGCTGGTTCTCAACGAAGTGTTGATTCTCTACGAGCTTTCAGTCAAAGGCGCCAACGAGAACAACTTGATACGCTATAACCATGTTTGGTTGGAATTGGGTGACATCCTGGACCTGGCAACCTACCTTTTGCCAAACGTGGGCGAGAAAATCAAGGGCGAGAATGCAAGAGTCCCATACGTGTTTATACTTCAGCAGTACTGTGATGGTGGTCATTTGGAGGACTTGATTTCCACCCATTACAAGTTGGAAACGACAATGTCTTGGAAAGAAAAGGTGACCAAGGAAAGACTCAAGAGACGCAGCAGTCGTCTGGGACCTACTGTGCCTGATCCAGAGAAGAAATGGTTGAGCGAAGTCGAGATATGGAAGTTCTTCAAGGATATCACAAATGGGGTAAACTACTTGCATCTTCACGGAATCCTCCACCGTGATCTCAAGCCTTCGAACTGCTTGCTTGACGAAAAATACATTAAAGATGGTATCCCCGACACAATAGATCTGCAGAATTTTGAGAGTGCAATAAAACGTCTTCCAAAAGTCTTAGTTTCTGATTTCGGGGAAGGTAAATTCATCGACAAGCATTCTTTACCCGAATCATTCAAAATCGAAGAAGAAAGACAGGGAAATACTGGAACATTGGAATATACTGCACCGGAGTTGTGGCTCTTCTCCAATTATGATCCAGCGTTGGGCTTGGGAAATGGAAAATACATCAATGACTTTACCTACGAAAGTGACATTTACTCGTTGGGGCTTATCTTGTGCTACTTGACAGTGGGAACTTTGCCATTTTCGAGTCTCATATCAGGGGAAACCGATCCACAGGTAATTAGAACCCAGATCATAGATTGGTACTTTGCATTAAGCAAGGAAAGTTTCCGTGAATGGTATGTCGAATCCCTTCAACAAGTCGGAGGAAATAATTCTGGGGTTTGCAACCATGATTTCGAGAAGCTTATATACATGATGATAAAGGGTGATGATGGGGAGGATGTTGGAAACTATTCCCCACGAAATAGAGCATCAGCTGGGGATGTATTGAAGTACTTAGATACCATTAAGACAGAAAAGCTATTTGCATCCGAAGAGGATTTAAATTATCATGAAACATCCATTGGTACTGAAAGGCCAGAAAAATACCCACATCTCAGCTTAACAGAAATGACTGATCCTTTGGGCCGTATCGATACGCGCAGCATCGAATCTTTAGATGACGATGATGAGATCAACTTGACTGTATCTGAGGAGCCGCTTGAATCGGCCCAAAAGGTTACAGAGAATACAGATATTGCCGGGAATACCTATGTTCTAATACTAATTATCAATTTCCTAGTATTAGAGTATATTTCTGCCACAGTAGAAAGCACTTCAAGATGGGTGTTGGTGACTGCAAAGGCAATGAATTACTTGGGATTCTGGAGCCATTGGAAGCTAGAAGCTAGGTTCTGGAGGTATTTGATGTTGGTTCTGGCCACCATACTGGTTTTTGCGATAGCGACAGTAGCATATACCAATGACTCATCCACCTTCCATGAGTTGTGGCCTACCTCAGATAACAATTAGCGAGACTGCCACTGCCTTGGCGACTATACTTGCATTCACATTAGCCTTAGACAGGCACCACTATACTGCTCTCCATTATATACTTACGTAATCACATTTTCAGGACATGCAAAAATCATCGCGGCCATCTATCTTATAGCCATCACGATGGCTAACAAGAGAAAGAGAGAGCCCTCGGTGGCCAAACCTAAGTCAAAGAAACAGAAGAAAAAGCTCGAGAAGTCCATCGTTCCGTCTGATAATAAGTTCAGTGTTTTGCCAGGAAGTGAAGACGACGTGGACCACCAAGACTACATCTTCGACTATGAAGGAAAGAATCGCGACCATCCAGAGTTAGTGTTGTTGGACTCAGACGAAGACAGTGATGCAGTGATAGTGGAGTCCGAGGGGGAGCAGGTGGTAGAAGTGGAGTCTGAAGAGGAGCAACCACCTTCTAAGAAGGCTAAGGTTGAATACAATGAATTGTCCAAAAATGCCGATTTTATTGGATTTGGTGAAATATCGTCCGAGGAAGAAGAAGACTACCACGACGAGCAGCATGAAGGAATCTTGACCATGGATGAAAACGGAGAAATCAATGAGACTACAGGTTCTTTGACTAATCCGTACCCATGGATAAAGGACCACGATCATTCCAAACAAAAGGAGATTGCCGACTGGCTCACATTGGAAATGAAAGATTTTGTCAACTACATATCGCCATCCTCGAGAGAAATCCATACCAGAAATGGAGTTATCAATCAGCTCAAGTCCAAAATTAAAGAGTTCTGGCCAAGCACGGACACATACGTTTTCGGATCGTCTGCAACTGATTTGTATTTACCAGGCTCAGACATAGACATGGTTATAGTTTCTGATACCGGAGACTATGAACAAAGATCAAGATTGTATCAATTATCCTCCTACTTAAGAAACATGAAACTAGCAAAAAATATAGAGGTTATTGCAGGAGCCAAGGTTCCAATCATCAAGTTTGTTGACCCCAAGTCCAACATACACATAGATATTTCGTTCGAAAGAAAAAATGGTATAGAAGCTGCCAAAAAAATCAGAAAATGGTTGTCAACCACTCCAGGATTGAGAGAAATGGTACTTATTGTCAAGCAGTTTTTGAGGTCGAGGAAGTTGAATAACGTACATGTCGGGGGACTTGGAGGATATTCCACCATCATTCTTTGCTACCATTTCATGAAGTTGCACCCAAAGTTGGCCACCAATACAATGAATGCATTGGACAACTTAGGAGCCTTGTTGATAGAGTTCTTCGAATTGTATGGTAGGAACTTCTCATATGACAACTTGATAATAGCGTTGGATCCAGAAACCGACTTGCCCAAGTACCTCTTGAAGCTGAAGTATAAATATTTGGATACCTCCAGAAATCCATTCTCCATCATTATACAAGATCCTTCAGATCCATCAAATAATATCACTAGATCATCATATAACTTAAGAGATATCAAGAAAGCTTTTGGAGGTGCATATCAATTATTGGTGGAGAAATGCTATAGCTTGAATGGTTCCTCGTACAAATCAAGAATTGGAAATTCGATTTTGGGAGACATTATCAAATTTAATGGATCAACGCGTGATTTTAATGACGACAGAGATAAAGTTAAAAATCATGCATTGATACAGGAGCTGGAGGAAGAAGAAGATCCAGAAAGTGACGGAGCCGAGGGCAATGACAAGTATTACTTCTCTGATATGACGGTAGAAAGTGATAGTGAGATTGTGATACCTAATGAAAAGCCTAAAGAGCAAGTAAAAAAGCCCAAACAGGAACCCGCTAAAGCCAAAGAAACCAAGAAGATTGTTTCTAGCTATTTAGGCTTGGAGGACGATGACCGCGAAGATGACGAGGAGGAAGACGTCAAGGAAGCCGAAGAAAGAGAGAGTGCCAGAAAGTCCTCCTTAGATAAGAATGTAAGAAGGGACTACTGGAGACAGAAGGGTCTTGAACTCTAAATTTGCCCATGAATTGATGAGTAATGTCTGATTCTTAATTTCTTCGAGTCGCCATGTATATTATAGTCGTTTGAATTGAGTGGTCAGTTCGAGCATTGTAGCATCTAATGAAGTTTCGAGTTGTGTACAACGTAGGAGTTAGTAGGCATTCAGGAAGGATTGGTACTACCCTACCCTCGATAAAGAACCGTCATCCATAATCCATGTGATGACAGTGGCTTGCAAGTATACTTCGGAAGTCTGATGATTGGTTTGTTCTCAGAAGATGCGCTCAGCAGCAATTGTTGTTTGCTTCACGCCTATTCAAAATGAATCCTAGCTGTCCCAGACTATCTGATCTGCCCCTGGCATCCTCAGCCCTCTGGTAATACTCCGTAAAGAAGTCTTCCTCAATGTCTTTCACGATGCCATCAAACAACTCATTCACTCCATGTCCATCTTTTGCACTGGTCTCCCAAAGCTGCTCTAAATCGTTTTCACTGCAGAAACCCTCAATTGCCTCCTGCTCCTCCTGCCGACGAGTATCCTCATGGGTCTGTAAAAGGTCCCGCTTGTTGCCAACGAGCTTTATGCGTATTGGAACCGAGGAATCCGTTCCTCCATTCACTGCCAACTGATCAATCCAGTACTTGGCAGTATTGAGACTTTCTTCCACATTATCCATATCAAAACATACCAAGGCCACCCTGGCATTTCTGTAGTACATCGGAGTCAATGAACGGTAGCGTTCCTGGCCAGCAGTATCCCATATTTCGAAATGGACCTTGCGGTCATCAACCGAGTGTTCTTTTGTTATGAAAGCAGCGCCAATTGTATTTGCAGTGTGCTGGTTGAACCTGCTGGTGGTGAAGCGAGTGACCAAAGAGGTCTTTCCCACCGATGAGTCTCCCAAAAGCACGACCTTGTAGGGGGGAGGGGGAACTGGGGAGGACATGGCTGGAAGGATGGGATCAGTTACGATAAGTCTGGCACGTGTAGGGGGTCACATGGGATGGAAAGACACAGTCACGTGATCATCGAATATGACTATATCCCGCGGGGTTTGGGCGTTTTCCCAAACCCCGCATCATTACATCTTTCTTATCAACGAAGGATGGTTTTCATTGATGATACGCCTCCTGAGCCGGTCGCCGACGCCACGTCCTACAACTCTGCACGCAAACATGTTAGCAGGGCCTGTTTGGAGTGCCGAAAGAGACACACCAAATGCGATGGTGAACTCCCAAGATGTCGTAAATGCGTCAAGTTGAAGAAAGAGTGCACCTACGTCCAGAGTCATCGTGGTGGATCGAGAAAGAAGGGAGTTCTGGTGACAAAGAAGCCATCAGCAAATCCAGCATTAAAAAACGAAATTCCAGATATTGAAGACATCGGAACATTTCAAAACAAGGGCAGCCTGAGCAGTGACGCCTCGGTCAAAAGCCTGACAAGCCCTCTGGATGTGTCGCCTCCAAGTTCAGAGTACGAGGTTAGGGGATTTAGAAAACTGCAGTTGTTGGCACCAGTTGGGGGAATGTTTACCCAGATCAAACCAGCTACCAGTATGTCCCAGAGTGACGCGGAGCTTGTCCAGGAGTTGGACAAACTCCCTTGTGCCGACCCTACTCATAAATGTGACAGTTCTAACTGTGCCACCAAGAAGGTCTTTGATCATTTTAAGGGAAGGCCAGCCACTAGACCTTTAAGTGACGAAGAACGCGAAACCATCCAAAACTTAAGGAAGAAAGCCAAACTCCATGCCAGTGTCAAAAAAATCGATGGTTTGTTCTCAGAAAATGGAGTCAAAAGGACAGTCACCTGCTTTGAGGACTTAAAACTTCAAAATTTCTACACTAACTACAGTAATTTGGTGGAAACCGATTTCTACGATAAGGAATCCATTCTTAAAAATTACTATACAACCTTCCACAAGCCACATCCATTACTTCCCCAAATAGACCAGCTAGAAGCGTTTTTTGTGCATCCCAGCATTGAAAAGGAGATGATGCTTTTAATGAAAGTAATCGGTGATGGACAAACTACTAGCAAGTATAGCAAGAACTTGGATGTGGTTTCCGATGTGATCCTCCAGTGCTTGAACTTGATAAGAGAAAATAAAGTGTTGGATATTGTCTCGGTGCAAGTGTTATTATTAACTTCCATTGTGGCACATGTATCATCACTTCATGTCTTGAGTCGAGATCTTCGTCACTTTTGCATTTACTTGACAACCGAGTTGGAAATTCATTTAGTAGATGGTCCTAATACTCCCAAGTTCGTTCAATGTCCTCGTACATTAGGCATACCGCATGATCTACTCTATGATAGTGCAAGAAGAATATACTGGGAGTTGTACTTTTTTGATGTCATCATGGGTTCTGCAGATGGTAAGACTTTGACTTCACTTTCTAAGATCGATGCCACGGTCAACTTTCCCACAACACCTTCTCGTGAGATTTTTGACTACGACGGAAGGTCCAAAACGGGGCACTTGGTTTCCGAGGCAATCGAGATGAACCAATTGATTCTTAGCAAGAAGCCCATTGAAGCCAAGAGAAGCCGGTTGAGATCAAACTTGTCATCTTGGGAAATGAAATTGGGTGATCCAAAGTTGTTCAACGCACCTCCATTGGTAAACAAGAATGGTAGAGTCAATGAGGGAGTACATCAGTCGATATTATTGTTCAATTATGCCAGTGTCTTTGCGTACAGACCATTTTCAAACCTTTGGAAAATCAATTCACCTCAAAACCCACAGTGTGGTGTGGAGGAAGGGTTGACTTCGAAACATATGACTCCTCAAATTAAGTCAGAGACAACATCTAGCATCATCGACACAAGAAAGACCATTCAAGCAGCAGACTCGATTGTAGAGCTGTTGATCAACACCAATTCGTCGAAAGTTGTACAGAGAACACCCGTGTTTGCTTGTGCACTTGCCCTCTCCTCGTTGGTCCATGTAAGTGCATATATCTGGGAGGAGCAGGTTCTCAATGATAAGAAAGGTGAGGAAGAAGGAATCACACCATCTGATTTAGAAACTGTTGCAAACAACATCAAGTTGACCCTTTCTGCCATCTACCCCATTTCACAACATTGGATACTATCAGGAAAGTTGGCCAAGCATATTCGTGAATCACTCTCTACCTTGAGGCCCCAATTGTACACTAAATTGAAGGAATTTTTGCCAGACATTGAAGTTAGCGTGGTAAAAGAGAACGATTCAATGTTGCATAAATTGCCCAATGCAGCACGTGAACACTACGATAATAATTCATTGAATGTATCTTCCGAAAGCCCCAGTGTTACTTCAGAGTCATCCAATTCGCAGGCTAGTATCCGCAAGAGGACCCTCCCTAGTATCCAGAACCTCGAAAATCCAATCCAAACCCCTAGTGCATTCATCAATACCATCAATGAAAATGATTTCTTTAGTGACCCCTTGAATGGATACGTCAGTCCTGTTTCTGATACTGGATGTGATTGGATTGACAAAGCATTGGTTGACTTTTTCGATACTGAAGAAGTGATTTTATCTCAAGGTCTTTCGGCCTAAGGTAATTTATTTTTAACTAGATTTGCACCAATTGTCTCGCACCATTCCACCGTGTATATAGTTACAGAGACTTTACGATTGATGAAAAATATTCTTACCACCTTTACATTCTGTTTATAATATTCGTTAATAAATAATGGCCAAATTACTCTGTAATCCCTAGATTACCCAGCAAGCGTTGAGAATAATCCAGCCATCGTGAGCATGCCAGACACTGTATCAGGTATTTATGCCAGGAATTCCTAGCAATTGTAGTAACTAAAACCATGGGAGTTTATCATTGCCCTCCCACAATAATTTTCCTTGTTTGAGGTTTTCTTCATCCTCGTGGTTGTGCATCAAAATGGCAGATCTCGACGAGTTGTCTATTCCATGTTTGCTGCCCCACTTTTCGACCAAGAAAGATAATACCAGCTCCGACACTTCTGATTGCCAAAGCACGATTTTGGTGGTGCGTTGATTGAAGTCATTCCCGATCTTGTCAAAAGACCTTAAATACTGCTTCATCAACTTGAACAATTTGATCGTGTTTGAGTCTCTGTCATGGCCGTCCTTGATAATAATTTTCAACACTGTGGCGTAATTCTCGGTGTCGCCCGAGAAGTCCAAGGTCCAGGTTATGGCAGCGTACCATTCTTTGGCTTCGTCCACCAACTTAATTCCATATACCTTGGGCTCGGTGTCTTCGAACCTGGCGAGAATCTGCTCGTAGGTAGCGTTTGCAAAGTCCATCTTGGATGGTTCCTTATGCTCGTAGAAGAGCTTGTAGCTGATGTACTTGCTACGCAAGTGGAACCAATTGACGTAGTCAGAAGTGGGCGCGATGGTGACCCTGGACTTTTTGTCTGCTTCAACTTGTTTAAGGGTGTTTCTCTGTACCTGGTCAGAGTAGTATTGATAGTATTCGTCAAACTGGTGGTAGTAGATCAATTCGTGGTTGCCCAAATCGTGCTCGTCGCCCTTGTCGTCCAAGGAGATGTTTGTCAAGGGGACGGCAAACGACTTGAACCCGAACTGGGTGTAGTACTCGCCGATTTCCGAGTACAAGAACGTGTAGCCGTCGGGTCCCACGTATTTGCTCAGCTTGCTGTGTTCGACCAACTGGTCGATCATGATTTTGCCCAAGCCTTGCTTTCTGTTTTCAGGATAGGTGAAAACGCCCCCCACGCAACCACACAACACTTGCCGCTTGACAGGCACGCTGTCCACGTAGTCCACTCGCCAGGCGCTTCTGATAAAGAGCTCGCACGACGCCAAGGGCTCTGTGGTGCCCTTGCGACGTAACACGAACACTGCCAACCGGTGGGGAGTGGTGGTGGTGGCCCTGGACTTGCCCAACACCCGTTCTCTGAGCACGTAGTCCTCGGCAGACAACGCGCCCTTCCAGGAGACGGCGTTGCGTGAGCGGGTGTAGTTGATGACGTCGATGTCGCTGGCCTCGACCAATTCGTACTGGGAGGAGATGGTCATGGAGGTGGTGGAGGAGTGGTGGATGTAAGCGAGGTCACTGACTAAAATGGTGAGGGTGTTTTGCTGCAAACGCGGTGAATAAAACAACCAGCTCGATTGGCTGGCACAACCACGCTGGCGTGCGGTATATATAGCTGGAGGGGGCGGTCCAGGGGGCGGAAGTGGACGATTGTTGGCTGGCCGTCGCCTGCCATGGCAGTTAGAGGACTGGTGTGGGCGGCTGATTTACTGGATTCGGACAATTAGGCGCACCCGGCCTGGCACCTGGCTGGAAGAGTGTACGGTTGGTGAGAGCGAGATGGGGGGAAAACCAGTCAGTGGTAGAGAAGGGTAGGGCAATGGAGATGGTGGCAGAGATGATGCTGGCGATGCTGGTGATGCTGGCTGTGCCTGGTGGGTTATGGCGAGAGAATGGCGAGAGATTGACAAGCTTCTGACCTTCTCGTTAACGGTCTTCTCACTGGTTCTTCTCCTTAATGGTCTCGTGGTGATCTAGCGATAGTGTCAGGTTGTGGGTGCGAAAGCACCGCACCGCGGTGGGAACGCCGCGAGACTGTATGAGCCACGCGGAGGGGCCCGGTGGAGAACTGCCACGAGTGACATAGCACACACCGAGCCTGAGACCGAAATAACCGAGTCGCAGCCATTCTGCGGCAATGGGCCAGATCTGACGACGGGTGGCTGCTGCCACGGCGTTGGTGGGCCAGAATAAGCTATCGTGTAGGGCACGAGCATCCACAGTGATAAGATAGAATGATAGAAAGATAGAATGGTGGACGGCGTTGGGACATCTGTCGTGGACTGGTTAGAATACAGTCATTGTTGGGGGGCAGGAATGATGTGCGGAGGCGTGGTTGGCTTGGCTTCTCCGCCCGAGTCACGGTCTGGTCACTGGAGTCAGGTACTGGAGCTGCAGGGCCTCTACTGGCCCCATTGACTCGGAAAGGTGCTCTAGGCGGCCGTGGTACAGATCTTGGGGAACCAGGGTTGGTTATGGGTCACGTGTGTCTGGTCACGTGAAGGACTCTACATCGGCCTCGCCAGCGCAGTCTTCACCGCCACGAGCCACCATGGAGTTATTGCCCGACGGACAGAGAAACACCGCCACTGAGGTCTCGTGGGAGGACCAGCAGAAGATCAACAAGTTCTCCACCCTCATCAACAAAAAAGACGAGCAGTTGGAAGTGCTCGAGAAGTTGAAGGTCGAGAAAGAATACCTCGATGATTTGTCCATGGAAATAGAGTTGTTGGACGAGGACGACCGCATCCAGTACAAGGTGGGAGAGGTTTTCATCTTCATGAAAGTTTCCAAGGCCATTGCCAAGATCGAGGCCGAAAACGAGAAGCTTGAGACCAGAATCTCGGGAATTGACGAGATTATTGAAGAGTGTGATGAAAGCTTGGGAGACTTGAAAAAGCAGTTGTACGCCAAATTCGGCAACAACATCAACTTAGAACGTTAGGCGACCAGGGGGTATCAGCCAGCTTGTCGTGGTTGTGGGACTCTGGCGTACCATAGACATTCGAGAGCCATCCAGTCAACTGGCAGTGTATATATAGAGTAATTTACGTAACTAACCAGGAACAGTAGAAAGTTTTGTACATTAAACGGCCGTTGGCCAAATAATTTATCAGAGACCAACACTGATTGTTGTTTGTGGTAATTATCACATAGACACAAACTCAACCGTTTGTCTCTTATTAGCGGACTCGCCCATTTGTCTCTAATTGTTGAAACGCACTCGTTCAGTCTCTCGAACTGCCCATTAAGCCTGTCTTCATCCAAGCTAACAACGAACGAATTCTGGTTCTGCCCTTCCTGATGTTCCATTCTTGACAAACAGCAGGCTGATAGTAACAACTGGACTATTGGCATCAATCATATCAGAAGTGGCAGCCATTGAGCTTGCTGCAACTTGCCCGGTTGTCCCTCTCCCCAGGATAGTCCATCACCATCATACTTTTTATCGTCCACTACACTTATTATTCTATACTATTTATTCTCTATTTTACAACATTTCTACACAGTGTAAGACCATCTCAAGCGACTGGCCTTGAAACTGCCACGAGCGAATTGAATCAATCCCTGCTTAGAAGTTAAAGCCATGCTCCTTCAACTTCTCGTCAGAAATCATGATTTGGTCAATGACCTTGGCATCCACCAACTCTTTGTAGGAGGTGACTGCAATTCCGGTCATCTCCTTGTACTGGATGTAGGCCTCCTTGATACCCTTGAGAGATCCTCTAATGGCAGTCTGTTCCTTGTCCCAAAGCTTAGGAATCAAGCCAGGGTTTTCTCCTTCCTTGACGGAGTCCAAGATCTGGTTGTTCAAGCGGTTGGAGTAGTGCACGTCGTGGGGGAAAAGCAAGTCGTGGAAGGTCTTTCCGTTTCCGCCTCTTCTTTCGGCTTCTTCGATCTCCCACTTCTTCATCTCTTCAATCGAGGGCAACGCTACCTTGCCAGACCAGATCTTGGACAACCAACAACCTTGGGTCTCGGCAGCTCTGGTGGGCAACACGTACCTGGCAATACCAATGATGGCAAGGTTGGGGTAGTTGTACAACAAGATATGCTCATAGATACCATGCAATCTGTGACCATCCGTCAAGAGCGGCTTGTCGGTTTTGTTCAATTGGTCGAGGAACGGGAACGATTTAAGGTAGCCAGTAGCAAAAATAACGATTCCCACGCCCTCCAACTTGGAGCCGTCCTTGAGCTCGAGGGTCTTGGTTTCAGCATCGAAGTTGACGATGTCGGGCACATCCACAATCAAGTCACTCTTTCCCGAGGGCAAGAGGTTCTCAGATCTCTTGGACTTGTAGATCTTTCTCTTCAAGCCAGTGGCCAACTGGTAGGCCAAGTCACCCCCAGAGGCCGAGTTGCCCACAACCACGATTTTCTCGGTGATGTCAGCATAGTCCTCTGGTTGACGGTACGCCTTGACGTGGAAAATGGACCCTGGGTACTTCTTGTTCCACTCGCTCATTCCTGGACGGTTGGGAATGTAGGGAACGTCGTAGTTTCCGCTGGCAATCACCACTGCGTCGAAGATCTCGACAGTATCAGCAAACTCAGGGAGTTCTGAAGCAACAGCAGACCCGTTGGTCTCAGCCACCACCAATCTGGAGGTGACCCTCCATTTCTGGTCGTCTGTCAACTCCACGTTGACCACCTTGGTGTTGAATCTCACGTAGGGAATCAATTCCTGACTATAATCGACCATGTACTGTAACACCTGCGATCTGTGTGGGAAAACAGGAGTGTCCTCGGGGAACGGCTTGCCAGCGTAGGTCATGATGTCCTTGGGCACGTTGGTGTCCAAGTAGTTGTACACAGGAGCAGCCCACACGTACTTGCCAGTGTCCTTCTTGTGGATGGGCTGGACCTCCAAGGTGGGCTCCTCGCAGGGCACAGGGGTGGTTTCCAGGTCTGTTTCGGTGGTGTAGTTCCACAAGCCCCCGAAATTGGGTCTTCTTTCAAAAGCAACAAGCTTGGTGTAGTGGCCCTCCTTGACCATGGCCTTGAGGGTTCCGGCACCGGAAGGACCAGCACCGATGATGGCTACGGATTTGATGTTCGACATGCTGGGGAGAACTGAAAAGTTTGTGTTTCAGATTTCCGGATCGCTCAGGGCTTAAATATGGCCAGACCCACCAGTGCGCGCATGCTCATCGCGATGATCGGCTCCACTACCAGCGGTGGTTACTGGATGGGGCAACAGCCGTGGGTGCTTGCTCTTGGCACCGTGCATACGAGACCAGGGAAGGGTCCCGAGTCGCACACTAGGTCATCTACGAGCTGTTTCTCGGGCACAGGGCCAAAAAAGGCAACCCTGCTCGTGGCCAGGCTTCCTAGCTACCAATCAGTGCTTCCCCCAGTGTGGCGATAACATCGTCACCACTACCACATGCAGAGAGCCCATGGAATGGGATTTCAGGGTCATCTGGAGACGGTGAAAAATCAAAAAATAAAACAGTTTTCGGGGCTATCAAGTGACCCATCGGCTATCGGGATCCATCCCAACCTGACGAGGGCCCGAGGTGGGGGTGGAGGGGGTTCTCGACACTTGACACTGGCTAATTATAGCGTAAATTAGCGTTAATTTAACCAATTTTTCAATTTTTTTATTGGAGCGGTGACACAAAACGCACCTGGCTTCCAACGGCATTCCAGGCATGGTGCTTGCGGCATGCGCATATCCCGCCAGGACCCTCAGGTAAGATGAGAGCCCGAGCTGGCGACTGGCTGTGCGGGCCCAATTGAAGCACTTGGCAGGAGTGGCGCTATCCGCAGACAAATGATCCGTAATGATAAGTTCCTAATAAATTAATAATGCTCCCATAAATACGTGATGAAAATGCATTGTGAACACGAATATTTGTATGTTTCATGGATTTTTTAGATAAATTTTGTGAAATTGAAATTTTACAATCTTATAACTGCATCGTTATAAGCTACGTTGAGAAATGTACCAATTAGTGTATCCAATTGAATTAAAGCTTCTTTCCCTACATCAACTGTCTTCTTACTGCTGGTTATGCTTGTGCTGAGTGAATTACACTTCTAGTTCCGCTCGTGGGTAAATTACTTTTGTGTTCCGAATTGTTTAATTAGAATAGATACCTTTCTATTAATCTCATGAAATACCAGAACTCGTGTTTAAGGTTGCTACTTAGAATGTAAACCGTTAGAGAGCTGTAACTCCATCTGGACATGGTAACAAATTCATAAGAATATATTGGCTACACAAGAATTTAGATTGGCACATACTATGCTAGTATTGCATCAAATATAATGTTGGTGGAGAAATGTCTTGTAGTAGGTCAGTTGCTAAAATTTCTATAATTTTAACCCCTTAAGTGGATACCAGCAATCTTTAAATGCCACCTACACACGTTGGTGGCAATACACTGTGTGAAGGTGAGATCTCCAAAAAATGCAACCATCGCTGTTTCTGAATTATGGCATAGGACATAGATATTAGACTGGATCAACGACTTAGTGCAAGGAAGTATATAATAGTGGGATGTCATCTTTTTGCCTACCAGTGGACACTCTTCCTTGAACTTTCGGTGTCATGGCCGCAAAAGACCATAGTATGAACTCTAACTGGATAGATAACGACTAGTTGCGTACTAAAGACTATGTTAGGCCGAAATCCCGTTCCTTCCATCCTACTCAAAATACGCCACTCTCGTCCTTGGGAGGTTCCGTGTGACTCCATAGAAACACATTTTCCTACCGATGAAGAGATCTAGCCATTTTGATCTAAAAGTACTATTTCAGGAACCATTTCTGATAGCATTGGTTTCGAGCCAATTTCTGAGCCAACGAGCTACAACAAACTCTAAGGGATGCTTTTTAACCATCTATAATACATAATTCTTCGCTATAGTACACTGCGTGTTAGACCCTATTCTAAATCGCTGTCTTCATAAGTAGGAAGATCATCCAACACAGCTTCTTTTGGCTGGGGTTCAGCGTTGGGCTTGATCTTCTTGGCTGGGGGACCCGCTCTTTCCTGCTCCTGGTGTGAGTGGTCATTAGGCTTCGTTTTGATACCTCTTTCTCTCTCGTAGGCTCTCTTTTTCCAAGCCTTTGATATCTTTTGACACGATTCTATCACTTCCTGCTCCTTAACACCGTCTCTTATACTGTGAAGAATCCTTTCAACCACACTAACATGGTTACCATTACTTTTGTCATTTCTGAATCTCATCATCTCCCAGTACCCCGGCTTTGTTTGACTCTGTCTACACTCCACAATTCGTCCTTGTAATGGAATGTTCAATGCCTTCAACCTTTCCCAATCTTCGTCTAATAAGTCGAGCTTTGCAAAATCTGTGTGCTCATGCCCGCCCTGCCAGACTTTCAATTTTATGAGGTCAGGCTTTGAGTCGTAGTCGATGTATGTGGATGATGGATCCTTTTCGTCCAAATCTGGGTCTTGCACTTTGTTGAAGACTAATTCCAATTTGTAGTCCACCGTATTTTCTTCGGCGGGTTTCCACTTCAACAAGGTTTGATCTGTACCGAAAACGTAAGGAGTTTCTGCGCAGGTGAAAATCAAACCGTCTGACTCATGAAACAACTGGTCTTTTTTGGCCAATACATCGTCCGCATGATATGCCGAGGTCATGAGCTTGAAACTGACCTTGAATGGAAATTCTGGCGCATTCACAATACGTGGGTTCTTTTGCTTGAATTTATCGAAGGGCTTCATGACATTTTCGGTGATGTATCCCAATCTCTTGGGCAATGGTCTGTCCACAATAATCTTGCTGTTCATGGCCAAAGCGTCGAAGATACAGTACCTGAGTACGGGCTCGGAAACGTTCTTTGTTTCCAATACCAATTCGCCATCCAAGAGTGTGCCGTGGTGGTATGTTTTCTCCGTCTCTGTCTCGTCGGTGGTCAATGGAAAGTGAATGTTTGGAATATGGTAGAAATCGTTCTCTCTGGTGATCAAGAACACTCCTTCTCCTCGTACAGGATCATTGAGTATGAAAAGAAGACACCTAAGACCATCAGACTTCTCACATACGAAGTAGTCTTTGTTCATTAAAGTTTCTTCCAAATGCTTTCTCTCAAACGACACCGGCTGCGATCCTGGGAACGAGGGGTACCTACGCTCCAAAAGTTCGGCCACCATTTGCTGGAGCTCTCTTGTTTCATATTCGTCGAGCTTTGTTCCGGGAATGACAGGGATGTCCCTTTCTTCAAGTTGAATCATGATGGGTGAAGAGATACGTAGTTTTGTTGATATTGTCGATATCACGTGTTTGCGAGTGGAGTGAACATCGACAGAGCTGTCCAGAACAGGCGCAGCTAAAGGATGTTCGGGCGCGCTCCGGTGCCGCGCGTGCGACAACCACAGCTCAGAGGGCCAGTGCCCGTGCTGCGCCAAGGTGAGAAGAGTGTATTACGTAAGCGCTTACGTAATCACGACCCCATCACCATCCCACCTGGATCCACGAATGCTTCACTGTCTCTTCCACTACAGGCTCGTTAGCACAGGCTCCGTAGACTACCAGGACCGTGTCCAGCTTTCCACTAAGTCACCCTCAAAGCCATAAACGCGCCATCATGAGGCTAACTCCACAAGTCATCACCAAGGCACCCACCGTGTTGAACCCAGAAGGGCAGCTCACGCTCCAGCTACGCAACCTCCAGATTCCCTACATCGAGAACCTCGGCATCACTCAAGATAAGTACACAGTGATCGACTTGACTAACAATGACATCATTGAGCTAGCCAACGTTCCTGGAAATTTCACCAACCTCGAAGTATTGCTTCTCGCCAACAACAATGTTGCCTACATCGACGACAACTTTCCCGAAGAAAACAACCTCAGGTCGCTCTCTCTCATCAACAACAACTTCAGCAAGATACCGTTGAAGGCAGGACAGAAACTTTCCGTGCTTGAAAACTTAGCGTTGATAGGAAATCCCATATGTAAGACCCAGCATTACCGAGAGTACATCATCTGGTTGATCCCGTCGTTGAAGGTGTTGGACTTTAGAAAGGTGAAGGATGCCGAGAGAACGTCGGCAAAGGCACTCTTTGGCGAGAGCCACGAGGAATTGACGGAAGTGGCATTGTCGTACTTGGGCAAGCAGGCTAAAGCAGAGGAAAAACCCGTCCAAGGAGCAGACAAGCAGTTGACGAGCGTGGGGAGGAAGTTGAGTGAGAACGAGAAGAAGGAGTTGATGCAGAGATTAGAGCACGCTGAGAGCTTGGACGAGATTGAGGAGATCGAGAGGACGTTGAGAGAAGGCAAGGTATAGGGCTGTAGGCTTGAGGATAGGAGACAATGCAGAGGACCTGAAAGGGACAATCCCATGCTTGAATGTCTTTGTTGGGGCCAGAACCCAACCCAGCTTTATCAATGATCAGAGATACTACGCTACAGACCCAAACGTGTTCTTCTTGGTCTTCTTTACTCGAAGAGAAAACAGCTCCTGTCAGCTCTTCCTGACGTCTCTGCCGTTCCCCCACCCCGAAAACCTCTCCTGCTGGCTCGCTAGCATCGCATGTATAGTAATGTACCATAGAAGCAATGAAGATCCACTTGCCGTAGCCATCTATAATCAATGCCAAGTACTCCAAAGAGAATATCCACGTCCGTTTGGGCTCACCAGCCTGCTGGACCAAAGTAGCCTCCTTCAGTGCCTCCTCCAGTGCCTCCTCCAGTGCCTCCTGCGACTCCTAACTGTGCCACTCCGTCCCTCCATGAGCCTCTTCACAGTCCTATCATGGCACGCTGAAAAAACCGTAAAGTGCCTCCACCACCAACACGGCAGGTCAGCGTGGCTTGTAGACATCCGACGCTTCCAGTGCCGCTGGCCAGGCGTGTCGGCCGTTCGTGGCGTTGTCTCGTAATGTCGTAAATTCGTGCTCAGCTTGCCGCTCTTCTGTTATGCTGGAACGCTCCAGGCAAAACCTGAAAAACTCTCCTTAGACTCACCACCACCACCACCACCACTTTTCTAAATAACACCAGCCCCTGCCCCACTCGCTATGTACACCCTCCATGTCCCTAACTAGACCAAGAAGAAAAGCGACCATCAACAAGTCCTACAACGACACGCTTGACGAATCCCACTACGAGGATCCGTCTGTGGCATCCACGGCAGCAGCGGCTGCTGCCATGTCCCTCTCAGCCAAACGGAAGCAGAGCTCCAAGAAGAGTCCAGAAGCTGCCAAACCACCCAAGTCCCTGAAGCTCACGCTACCGCATAACTGGCAGGCTCCTCCCACCAGCCAGGAGTACTTTTCCCACAAGTTGGACCTCGAAGACGCCTACATCGACTTCGAGTCCCAGACGCTCTACTGCCCCAACCAGCCAGGATTCTCCATCCAGAAGGGCGAATATGTATATATGGTCAGCGAGCCTCCCGGTGAACCCTACTATATTGGACGAATAATGGGCTTCAAGAGAAAACGCCACGACAAGGCAACCTTGGCGCTGCCAGGCGACACTCCAGTGCCAAATGGCACTACCAGCGAACAAGAGGTTGTCCAAGGAGCGGCCCAGGATTATCTCTTCCAAATCCAGTGGTTCTATCGCCCTCGAGATATCTCCAAGTCCACGGCTGATTCGAGACTCCTATTCAGCTCCATGCATACCGACTCCTGTCCCATCACCAGCTACAGGGGGAAGGTGACAGTCAAGCACAAACAAGACATCGAAGACTCTTCGTCGGGTGCCAGCCCCAAAAAGAAGGCGTCGACACCTACAAGCCGATTCGAAGCATACACCCAGAATCCAAACTGCTTCTACTTTGACAAACTCTTCGACAGGTACATGTTGAAATTCTACGATGTGTTGCTGACGGCAAACTTGCTCCAATATTGCAACTCAGAGGACAGCAAAAGTAGAAACTACTTGATAGCATTAAACAAGCGTTTCGAGTTCATTTTCGTGGAAAGCCAAAGGACAAAGTCCCTCATCAATTCGTTCAGTTCTTCCTCGTGTAACTGTGTCAAGTGTGGTCAATGGTGTGACTCCAACCTGTATAGTATCAGTTGTGTGGTCTGCAATAAGTATTTCCACATGTACTGCCTTGACCCACCGTTGACAAAAAAGCCGAGCAGGGGGTTTTCCTGGTCTTGTGCCTTATGTACAAAAAAGCAAGACTTGGAGTATCACCGCAAGAAAATTCTAATGTTATCCCATGACAACAAGTCCTCGAATGCATCCCAGTTGTCCACAGAACTAAGTGCATTAAGCTCGCCAGATTTGGAATCAAAACTTGAAGACAGCCTAGAAGTGGATCTGGACAATAGAAGTGACGATAAAGAGGAGAATGGAGATCACCTTCCGAAGTATGAGACGATGGCAATAGATTTTTTAGCCAAGGACAAGCATCTAAGTCTCGAGCAAAGAAGGCTCAAAGAAGAGTGGTGCATGAGATATTTGGGAATGCACTCTAGACTTGAAGATGGTGTTGACTTGGAAGACAGATCTCCGTACCCAAGAGCATCCACTCGGTTGGGAGCAAAGCACCAAGCTACTAATATTCCCGAGTTTTATGACCACCCATTGGTATACTATGATATAGATAAGGCAGGCCCAAAGAAGAAGGGTTCAAACCCCTCAAAAAAGATCCAGGAGAAGACAGAGGCTCTACCAAAGCTACACGTACCCGAGGAATACAAAGACACAAACCCTAAAGAATATCCCCAGTGGTTGCAACCTAGACCAAAAGGCTATGTTGAGAGAGGTGTGGATGACGGAGAAGGTGTCTCTTGTACCCTAATGTGGAAACTGAGTGAATCTGACATTCAAGATGGATTTACCAAGCTTGAGGACTATGTCAAGTTATGTGCTCCAACTGCAGAACTCTTAGGCATTGTACCATCAGCTCCAAACTTCATGGATTTTATTTTGAAGACCTACATGGACCAGAACGGGGATATTGCCAAATCTCTTGAAATAGTTCAAAAGCTTACCAAGAAGGCATTGAATGAACCAGTATTCAATAAAGAAGAAATAAAGAGGTTTGAAAGTGGAGTCAAACAATTTGGTAGTGAATTATACTTCGTGTCCAAGAAGGTTAAAACACAACCCACGTCAATGGTCGTGAGATATTACTACCTATGGAAAAAGACCAAGAATGGGAAACTCATATGGGGAAATTTCGAAGGTAGAGCACAAAAGAAGGTGCAAAATATGAAAGATGAAAATAAAGAGAAAATTGTCACACCCACTACTTCAACAATTGATGATTTAGCAGACCCAGAGGATGATTCTTCCTATGAGGATGATAAAGTGATTGAATCGAAACGCCCGTTCACTTGCAAGCATTGTTTGACTCATAGTTCACATCATTGGTTCAGAATGACTGGACATGATGCAGGTCCAAAAACAAAAGTTGATGAAGATGACCATTTTATAGACAAATACCTGGATTCGGTAATCGCATTGTGTTTCAGATGTGCCCGACTCTGGAGAAGATATGCCGTCGTTTGGGAAGACCCACTTGAGGTGGAAAAGAAAAATACTAAAACAACGGGATGGAAGAAAAAAATTGAATGGGAACTCCTTCAAGATTCCAATAGAATTTTGGACGAAGCAGAGAGTAAGGGATTGACTTTATCTTTCGTTGAGGAACAGGTCGAGGTTGCTGTACCTGACAAAAAGAAATCTGGGAAAACAAGGAGAACCGAGACTATTGGAAACAATACTATTCAAGAAAAGGTGGAGGAAGAACCTCCAAAGAAAAAGAAACCTACTCCTCCAAAAAAGAAAACTACGAAGGCTACTGCAGAATCAAAACCGCCTACAAAAAGAGCGAAGAAGGAACAATCGGCATCACTAGAGCCCAATGATACTCCAGCTCCACCTAAAGACAATAAGGATATCAAAGATGTTAAGAATAATAGGGCCAATGGAAACTCCAAGGAGCCTAAGGAAACTAAAGAAATCAAAGAAACGAAGCCTGCCAAGGAAACCAAGTCTAGAAAGAGAAAAATCAAAGAGGAACAACCTGCTGTTGTTTCCGATGTGGTTGATAACACCACTGCCAGTTCTAATTTAGTCAAACAAGAAACCAAAGCTCCAACCAAAAGGCAAAAGAAGTCAGGAAGTTCACAACAGTACGATACATTAATTCCTCCACTTAATCCCGACTATGTAAAGTCACAAGAGCTGTTGGTTAAATTTGATAAGAAAACTGTGGTCTTTACCAAGGAGATCTTATCGGATGTAATTGAAAGCTTCAGGAAGCGCCAGCTTCTAGATATTACTTCCCAATTTCAAGGTATGCAAATTCCCCACTTGACATCGGTAGCATTACCCTTCGAAACTAATGCAAGGAAGTGTTGCCTATGCCGAGAAGATGATGGCCATAGCCAAGAGCTAGAAATGTTGATTTGCTCACATTGTGGAGTTAATGTGCATGGGTCTTGTATTGGTATCCAGATCCCAGACCAAGTCCCAAGACCAGTAAAAGAGTGGCTTTGTGAACCTTGTATCAACGATCTTAAGCCGAACCGGTCTACAGTTTACACCTGCTCCTTGTGTTTGGCGAACGAGTCCAATTATGAGTTAGCAATACTAGGATCTCCATTGGTCAGACCTGACTTTTTGAAATCAATTCATGAGACAGGAAAGTGGTGTCATCTTTTGTGTGCTATTTTCAATCATAACCTTGTTGAATTCAAGGCATTGCCATCTAGTTCATCTTCAAAGAAATTGGATATCAACTCGACTAAATCGATCATTGAATCGGTTCAGAGTCCTATTGCAATCGAAGGCGTATCAAAAGTCCATCTCAAGCACTATCACTCCAAATGTGGAATTTGTGATTCCAGAAATGGTTCAATGATTCGCTGTGACATCTGCTCAAATGACGACGCGTATCATGTGACATGTGCCCAGGACACTCCATATTTCCATCTTGGATTCGAACTTGATTCTTCGAAGTTCAATGAAAAAGATGGTTCGGTAGTAAAAGTTGGTGAAAAGATTGGTAAATTGAGGCCTGTGTTGATTTGTCCTAAACATGAAAAGCCTGAAACAGTGGAATCCATGCGAGCAATTGGCCACAGATTGCATGGTGGGGGAAAGGATGAAGCAAAGCCCTTGGTGCTCCTATTTTTGGAGGATTTGGTCAGACATAACGCAAGTAAGTTGACTGGCCCACAATTTAGATCAAATAACTACATTCAAAATTGCAAGTTATTTGAAGAAGAGGATAAGTTATTGAGAGCGAAGGTTCAGACTTCCTATTTCGGTACTATTCCAAAGAGGTTCCAGCCAAGCTGTGGAAAGTGTCATACAGTTGCATCTCCTGTTTGGTGGGCCAATGACGTCACCACTAATCAGAAGTACATGGTATCAAACTTTGAGGGAAACAGTGGTCTGTTAGAGTGTCAAACATGTCACCGCCACACAGTTGAAGGGGAAGGAGAAGTGGAGGAGAAGCAGGAATCTTTACTCGAGTTATTAGGAAAACCATTGGATGGGTCTAATTATGGTGTTCGGGACCAAAAAGACGATTTGCTGAAGGTTTATCATGAGAACACCGTTGAAACTTCGAGATCTAGGATTTCGATAGGCGATATCTTGAGTTAGTGTATAAACAGTACATAATTACTATACAATATAAAAAAAAAGATAAACCAATTTGTAGGCCCCTAAAAATATCAATTTGTAGCTGCAAATAACGAATCGTCAATTCTGGGCCTCAGAATCGAGTCTTCATATCATGATCCACCCCAAGAGGCCAACTCCCTGATTACGTAATACCGGATAAGTGTTGCTTACGTAACAATCACCTTGATATGACAAAGCGCTAATTCTTATCATGACCCTTATCAACACACCACCATGATCTACGAAACCGTCATCGTACCTGGAGAGGGTTTGGGAAACCACATAACTCTAGGTGACTCGATGTTCAACATAATCAAGCAGTTGTCCAATGCCAATTACAAGCTAAAAATCAGCTACAGTGACACTGACTTCCTCAACGTTCCTGTGGTGGTTACAGTCGTTAAATTGGGGATTAGATTGACGTTCCGGAATCAGCGGGAGCAAACTTTGGATTTAATTGAGTTGCTTGACTTGGCTATCGATGGTCCAGTTCTGGCTTCAAGTGGCGTGGGTGGTGCCAATAGTGTCAAACGTCACCAGCTCCTTAAGATTATATATAAGAACGTGAGCTTGAACGAATTTGAGAACTCTGAGCTCTTGAGTAGCCCACTGATGGATCCCGAGACTAACAATTCGTCATCGAGCAGCATTGCAGAGAACAGTTCCTCTTCATCAAGCACCACCTTAACCAGTGTGGATTCAAAAGTGTTTGCAAGTTCTAAGATAACCCTCAAGCTGATCTACAATCGGATTTTTGGCCCTACCTATCCCGGGAAATTGATCAGTTCTAGCCGCTTCTATGTATTGTCCTATCCTGGGGTATCCTTCAAATTCAAGATTTTAAGTGAAGACTTGTTCCAGAAGGTGGCTCCAAGTACAGACTCGGACCCCCAGGAACAATCAAAAGTTGACGAATCAATTCTATCTTCATTATTAAATTGGGATAAGCCAGAAGAGATTGTATGCGACTCGATTGCGTTGTACAAAGGAAATTCCTGGAATGATTTTGATCTCAAGGGAATCATGGATTCAAGAGGACCTGACTGGTTCAAACAGAGTGAAATCGCTAAGTTGCTGATAAACTTGGATGAGGGTAAAACCGATATATGCTTTGGTAGAAGTGGTGCGAGAGACTCTTCAGTAGAAGCAACTGATGTTGCCTCGTTAATTATAGGCCACACGACACAGCAGGAAGTTTTAAATATCTTGGGTCCTCCGGATGACTACTTCAACAAATCTGACTCCAGATTACTTATACATGATCACTTACCATTTCTAAAAGAAGCCGATTCAACAAATGTCATAGAGCAAGACATTAGCCACTATAAATTCCACAATTACTTCAGGTATGGCATTGACATTTTATATGATCTCAATAACACCGGCAGTCACATTGATCAAAATAGCTCCAAGACTGTAATCAAGAAGATTATAGTACACAACGGAGGAATTACTGAAAGTCTCAGCTTCATGAAATGGAATAGATGTAACTGGGAAATGACTACAACCTTAGATGGTCGTAGCGTCAAAATTGATTCGACAATGTATCTCAAAGATTTTCCAGAACAGATTAGGAACTTGGCCCCTGTCTTATTGAATAGAAACGAATCTGAATTCATTGATAATGATTTGGATATCATTCAACTTCCTCAGCCCTCCAATGGACACGCTCGGACAAACAATGAATACTCCAATGGTCCGAAGGTCAAAACCTGGGGCCAATCGAAGCTTCATGGGCTTGATCGTTGTATATTTGAGGCTGTCGATTCGTCAGGATGCATTTCCTCGGTTACAATATATTAATTATACGAGTATTTAATGAATAATTACTAGTTTAGATGAGTATCGGGGCATTTTTCGTAGAGTATATGCTTGGTCTTTGGTACGTGGATGCATTGTATGTGCGAACGTTCTTAATTGAGAAATGAAAATAGAAATTACCCATAAAAATTATAGAACCAGATTATGTATTAAAACTAAAGCATTGAATAAATCGCAAAAGGCAAGGAGAAATGAAATGATGGCCCAATTATAACATAAAACAGAAGAAGAAGGTATGTCACTCACAGGAGCGATGTTTCAAATCTATACAGAAAACTTCTTCTTGAATCGAGAAAACTTGTTCAGTTTCTGAGAAATGTTGAGGTTATCATTGCTGTTCTTGTGAGAAGCCAGAGGGGAACTTGACTGGGCAGTAGACGCTGTCTGGGACTTGTACAATGAAGGGTCGTTCTTGGTGCTGAAAATCGAACTGACGTTGGAGTAGACCTTGGTCAAGTTGTTATTACTGGCACTCTCTGCTTCCGAGTCCTCGTCCTCGTCCGATGCAATGGTATCAATGGTTTCTTCCGGCTGCTTGGTGGCCACCTGGGGTGGCTCTAGCACTTGAAAGTTGACGTTCTTGAACTCAACCTTAATGTCTTTGCTCTCGGAATCAAAGCCAGAAGTTTCACCGATGCTCAAGTTGGACATTGACTCGGACAACTTGGTGGATTTCTTATGTAAAGCATGCTGCTTGCTGACCTTTAGCACTTGACTCATGTCCAGGTTGCTTGAATAATTGAATGATGAGGGAACAGCAGAGGGCCTTCTTGACGAGTCAATGGATCCCGCAGTCGAAGATGCAGACGATTTGATGATATGCTTTCTGCTGTAAGGAGAGTAGTTATCGTAGAAGCTTTCGTTGTCTGCCTTCATGTGGTGGTTGCTCGAAGGAGAGGCGGCCTGCGTCTTTCTCGATGGAGCGGTAAGGGTGGTTTCATTGGAGCTCTTGGAGTCGCCAGAGGTAATGGACATCTTTCTGGTGGCCGCAAATTGGTCGTTGCCAGAAGAGGAAATAGACGTTCTGGGGGTTCTGGACGAGTATGCAGAAGGCGCAATGATGGAGGGGGCTGCGGATGATTTGGAGGACTTCTTGGACCCCGTGGACGAATGCTTGCGCAACTCCCTTTTCTTGCCCTCCATTTGCTCCTTCAACTTCTGTTGGGTCTGGTAGTTAGCTGCTGGAAGCAAGTAGAAACTCATGGCCAACCAGGGGATACAATTTAATGCAAGATAACAGCGGATTAAGGCACAAACTGGGGTGAAATTCTACCACTCGTGGTTATGTCAGTTGGACAGGTGAAAAATATGGAAACTTAGTTGAAGTATTCTCTGAACCCCTGGGAGGGGAGGGGGGGGCTATATATACCAGCCTTGGTCAACAACTAGTTGCAGCGGGCCCTCCTACTATTGTTCCGAATATTTTCTAAGTTACTCAAGATCTACATATAAACAGAAGACAAAATGGTCAGGGTTCATGTAGGCAACTCCAGACGTAGCCGCCAGGGCACAGTGCGACAGAAATGCGCTGCCACAAGGAGAAAGTTGAGGTGACAAAGAGCATGGAAACATCAAATCACTCATCGAGACAAATTCCTATGCACAGTCTATTGTTTCAGAGCGTATTGTTCGAAGTAGAGTCATAACTCCATACCATGTGGAGAGAACCAGGACTGAGCGCACATCCCTCCTGGCGCCAGATTCCCCGGAATATAACGTCCCGGCTGCTTTTACCTGGTTAACCCCAACCCCTGCCAGTATTTTCAAGGTTTGCTTACGACTTTTAATACACTTCTCGGTAATTTCTACACTTTTTGGGCGGGCGCGTGTCTGAAAGATTAATGTTCGAGCATACATTTCACAAGCACTGAAGGTTATCCATTGGACAATGCATATGTCAGGACAATAGAATCAGAAAGTGCGACGTAGACTCGAGCAACTCGTTGATGGGGATGAATGTTGGCCAAAATTAAACAAACTTTACCAACTAGTCTAGCAGAAAAACGGTGGAGTGTACCTCCCCTCTGCATCAGCCAAGCGAAGCTGGCTGAGCGACTTACGGACCTAATTATCAATCTGGAAGATCATGCAATATCTATTCTTCGGATCGAACGCGGGAAAATGCACAATTCCGCCCTCTTACCTTCGAATGAGCGCATATTCTCGTCGACAATTGCTGGGGCCTTCCTCCTAAAATTCTATCTGTCCTGGACATGTTGTCAGTAAGCAAACGGCTCACTGGTCCAAGAATTAAAGTAGTTTGACAGTCTTTCGATGGTTGTTAGCGAGCACCCGGTTCTAGGCCCGTTGGTGCCCAATTTAGAGACGTGGATTTTCCACTTGTCGGTAATTGCCTGATTACGGAAAAAGATATTTTTATCCCAATGCGCAATTATGGGCTCGGGGTGATTGTAGTTGTCCGTACAACAAAGACGCCCACGAATATGCCCGAGAAGGTTTTCCGGTCCCTGAGAAGAACAAGAGATAGCCTAATTAGAACATATGACGGAAATCAGTAAGAATCGGCTACAATCCAGCGAGATTCAAAATAGGGCAAAACTCAAAACTAATAGCCGTTCAAGCAGATTTACTTCAAATATTCGTTGACTCCCACTTAGATCTGCCCAAGCATTTCGCTTCTTACATACAGCTCCCAAACACTTTGGTTGGTTTCAGGTTCCGGTATAAGGTTCCGGTTGCCCCGAGAAACAGGGAGTATGCAATTAGTTAACCAAATTTGTCAAACCGGGGTTATGATCCTGCATTTCATCTTACCCGGCATTGCATCAAAAATACTGTCGATCCATCAGATTTAGGACCTATGCTTCAGCCTGGAATGTTAGTTTATGCTGTCTATATTGGCTTGATTGAAGATGTTTCTCAGTTTGAATGTAAGGGCCCTCTCCCAACAGAACGAATACTGCTAGTTCTTTTACTAGAATATTGTACATTTGTTGATGTTTACGCGTTCAATCTATAGCCTTTGTTCCTGACTTTTTTTCTTTATTCATATTATTAGACAATAAGTGAATTAGCTACCTAAAGCCTTTCCTACAATACTCTGGAAACTCAACAGTCCCCGGGGTGCCAAGTGAATTTTTTCTTCGTGCAGTTACTCAGGACCTTACTTAGTTAAGCTTTATGACTTTTTATCCTCCTTTCGAACAAAATTAACTATTGGACGTCTCAACCACCCAATCAGAGCATGCATGTGAAGAACTTTGTGCGAAAATATTTGTACCTTCCGGGCAGTAATCAAGGCAACTTTAAACTAGCCCTTAGAATACGCGCTAGATCTAATCTCCACGAATTCAAGGGGTCATAACCAGATTGCGCAAATTGAAGAGTCTAAAGCCTAATTGCGCGTTCTGGACCCCATTCTAGACGGAGATACTGCTACCAGAGAAGTACTGCATTAGATGGATTAAAGGTAACGACATAGGTTAACTAAAGAGTTCCTAAAGCCGATGAAAATACATCATCTTCCCAGTCTAGTTGTTAGTACATTTAAAGAGCATCTAGTAATGCTTGCTCTTAAATCTGCTTAGGTTTTGAAGTGTAATTTATTAACCCATGCGGGGTTTCACAAAGGGTGGAGGACCAGAACAGCGGTGGCTATTCCGAAATAATAATACCATGGTGTCAAAATTCCTGAGATTTACTACATAAAAGCAAAAGTCGCGAATACCGCGAGAAGCAAGACAGTAAAGGTAGAAGCAGATTTAGATGAAGCAGCGTTGGCCACTGGTTCGACTGCAGAAGGTGAGTTGTGAACATTGCTGCCATTTCCGCTACCAATATCACCGTTCCCACTACCATTGGATCCATTCTCGTTGTTACTGCCAGCTGTGGTGCTGGTAGAAGTCTGAATGACGGCGTTGGTGATAAGAGTAGTTGAAGCATTTGTAAGGCCGGTTGGAGAACCAGATGGGGAATCACCATTGCTGTTGCCTGGTCCAGATGGGGAACCAGATGGAGAGCCGCCATTGCCTGGTCCAGATGGGGAACTAGATGGGGAACCAGATGGAGAGCCGCCATTGCCTGGTCCAGATGGAGTGCCAGATGGAGTGCCAGATGGAGCACCTCCATTGCCATCATCACCAGTTTTAGTTGGTCCAGATGGGGAACTAGATGGGGAACCAGATGGAGTGCCTCCGTTGCCATTACCTGGGCCAGATGGGGAACCAGATGGAGTGCCTCCGTTGCCATTACCTGGGCCAGATGGGGAACCAGATGGAGTGCCA